TCAGGATGTCTGCATGATTGAAGACGACACCGCAATTCGCGGTGGGGGGGTCAAACATCTCATTTTCACTCTCGCTCTTCGCGTTAACTCTCGCTTCTTTTTGATCTTTCAAACACTATACTTCCTTGTCACTCGTTGTGCTGTGCACTTTGACATCTTACCTTTTTTAACTATCCAATCACATCGAAGCAACAAACAACAAACACTCCTACAATCGTCAACATGAAGTACTCATTCACTTACGCGGCTCTCATTGCCTTTGCTGGCGTTACCAACGCGCTTGCTCTCCCTCGCCCTCAGGGCTATGGCAACGGTTACCCCACCACCCCAGACGTCCCCAAGACTCCCGATGCCAGCCAAAGTCTGCCTACTTTCTCGATGCCTTCGCCTACCCCTGCCCCAGCCCCATCCGGTGGCGAGACTCCCTCCAGCGGTGAGGGTGGTTCCGGGGATGACTCTGGCGAAGACTCTGGGTCTGACAGCGGCTCTGGCGACGGTTACGGATTCTGGATCCGGTTCAGGGATCCGGTTCCAGGATCCGGTTCAGGATCCGGTTCAGGACTCTGGTGGTCTATGGAGGAGGCCTCGGAGGTCTCATCGGTGGCGGTGCCGGTGGCTCTGGGGTCTGGTGGCCTTGGTGGTGGCCTTGGAGGAGGCCTTGGAGGAGGTCTCGGTGGCAACCTTGGAGGAGGCCTCGGTGGTCTTCTCGGCGGCGGTGCCCACGGGCGGCGCCTGGTGGAGGTTGCCAGGCGGAGGCCTTGGAGGAGGTCTCGGTGGCAGCCTTGGAGGAGGCCTTCGGGCGGTTCTTCTCGGCGGAGGGTGCTCACGGTGGTGCCAGCGGTGGTGCCAGCGGTGGTGCCAGCGGAGGCCTCGGTGGCATGCTTGGTGGACTCCTTGGTGGAAAAGGCCAAGGTGGCGCTGGCGGATCTGCATCTGGTGGCCTTGGTGGCAGCCTTGGAGGAGGCCTCGGTGGCAGCCTTGGAGGAGGCCTCGGCGGTCTTCTCGGCGGAGGTGCTCACGGTGGTGCCAGCGGTGGTGCCAGCGGAGGTGCCAGCGGAGGCCTCGGTGGCATGCTCGGTGGACTCCTTGGTGGAAAGGGCCAAGGCGGCGCTGGGGGTCACCTCGGAGGCGGTCTTAGCGGTGGAGCTGGTGGCAGCGTAGGAGGAGGTGCCGGTGCTGGAGCTGGCGGATCTGTCGGTGGTGGTGCCGGTGGCCAAGTCGGTGGTGGTGCTGGCGGATCTGTCGGTGGTGGTGTCGGTGGCCAAGTCGGCGGTGGTGCTGGTGGCTCCGTTGGAGGAGGTGCCGGTGCTGGAGCTGGCCGGATTCTGTCGGTGGTGGTGCCGGTGGCCAAGTCGGCGGTGGTGCTGGTGGCTCCATCGGTGGTGGCGTTGGAGGAGGTGCCGGTGCTGGAGCTGGCGGATCTGTCGGTGGTGGTGCTGGTGGCCAAGTCGGTGGTGGTGCTGGCGGGCCAAGTCGGTGGTGGTGCTGGTGGCCAAGTCGGTGGTGGTGCTGAGTGGCCAAGTCGGCGGTGGTGCTGGTGGCTCCGTTGGAGGAGGTGCCGGTGCTGGAGCTGGCGGATCTGTCGGTGGTGGTGCCGGTGGCCAAGTCGGTGGTGGTGCTGGTGGATCTATCGGTGGTGGTGCTGAGGGCGGTGCTGGTGGTCACGTTGGTGGAGGTGCCAACGGTACTATCGGTGGCTCCGTCGGCGGAGGCGTTGAAGGCGGCGCTGGTGGTCACGTTGGAGGAGGCGCTGGTGCTGGAGCTGGCGGATCTGTCGGTGGTGGTGCCGGTGGCCAAGTCGGTGGTGGTGCTGGTGGCTCCGTTGGAGGAGGTGCCGGTGCTGGTGCTGGCGGATCTGTCGGTGGAGGTGCTGAGGGCGGAGCTGGAGGATCCGTTGGTGGAGGCGCCGAGGGAGGTGCAGGTGGCTCTGAGGGATCTGACGGCTCTGAGGGATCTGACGACTCTGAGGGATCTGAAGGCTCTGAGACTCCTGAAGGAGAGGAGGGTTCTGGCTCAGGATACGGTGATGACTGCGATTGCGACAAGGAGTAAGCTTTAAGAAGCTGTTCGGAGACCTAAAACGTTGTTTGTATATACCTTTACCACAAATTTTCATATTCACTTTCAAACGCCATCGCCATACTTCCTTAACAATGCTTGCATGATGCTCGTCGCTCCGCTCTTGTAGCTGCCACCGAAGAGCGCAAAGTGGTTCAAGTGGTGGTAGAGCTCATACAGCTTCACACGGTCTTCATACTCGTCCACTGGCTCTGTCTTCTGACATAGCTCGTGATACTCCTTCGAAAAGCCTCCACCAAAACCTCCAAACATCTTCATAATGCCGAGCTCAAACTCGCTGTGCGCGTAGCATGCAGAAGAATCGTAGACGACGTCTTCGGGCTCACCCTTTTGGCTGCCAATAACACCGATACTGGCATTGCCACTCCACAGATCACCATGGACGACAACGGGAGTGACGCCTTTGCCGTTGTTCAAATGATCGTCGCCGAGTAAGCGTGGAACCACCTTCGAAGCAATGGTCTCGACCAGAGAATGAAACTCCTTGTCGCTGCCATTTGCTTTCTCTGCTCTTTTGAGGATGAATCGCAATCTATTGTCCGCGTAGAAGTCGGCCCAGCTCGCTTTGTAGCTGTTGTCCTGTGGGGTGTCTCCACAGCAAGTGGTCACAGGAAAGCCAAACATTGGCTTGTCATAGCCTTCCGGTGCGGGCGCAGGCGTGGTGTGCAATTTTGCAAGCTTCTGTGCTAGCGACTGTGATTTGGACGATTTCGAGCTCCATCGTGGGCTGAGGTGAAGGAAGTCGGTCACGAGAAAGCTCGTTCCAGGCTGCGACTCGAACTCGCCGTGGCCGAATGATTGAGGACAAAGCGATGGTACGGCGTTGTGGATAGCGCGTAATGACGCGTTTTCTCCTTTTGCGCGCGTTGTTAGCGCGTCATTTTGGCAGCACGAACACCCATCGACCTACCTGCGAACATCACCTTTGCATCCTTTCCGCTGCCTGTCTTCATGAAAAAGGCCTTCTCTGTTCCATCTTGGCGCTTCGACACAATCTTCGACGTCGATGCTGAGCTGCAGCCTCCCCCACCTGCAGAAGTAACCGTCGTCGTCGTCGCCGTGTCGAGCCCGAGGAGCTTCACGACTGCCGGATCGAGCTTCATCATGGTTTGGGTCGCGTATCTGTGTTCCAGGTTAAGCATCAAAGAAGTGATGTTAACTGTCGTGATGCAGCCAGGCGTCAATTGTTTAGATATAGATGACGTCACTTGCACAACACGAACACTCCTTCCTAGCCAGCCTTCGATGTCGTTCATCGGGACGTGAATTACCGCCAGTCGCACGTCCAACGGACTCTGCTCAACTGCGCACTAGATAGTGCTCTAGCCGCGAGTATCTTCCACACATTAGCAAGCGCAAAGCAAGCAGGACCTGCACCTCTGCTGAGGGCCGAGCTGAATGTCATCAACGCCGGGGTTGTCGAGTCGGGCGGGAGGCCCTATAGTAGGCAGTCGACAGCACATGTCTTCCGACACTTTACTCGCACGTGGGTCTGCGCTACACACCCGATAGATGACCGAGGAAGGCGAAGTTCTCGCTGTTGAAGGCGAAACAAGTCGATTGGTGCGCCATCGACTTGAGGAAATCAGAGGGCAGCCGCCAAAACTGGGAAGTATGGATGCTGCATTTCGCGCTGTGTGGCCCGAGGCAGCGGCAAAATTCGTGTCCGGTCTGCACATGCGCGAAGTAATCTAAAAGTCTTCAGGAGCGCACTAAAAGGTTTATAAGGAAGCCTAGATGTTTTCAGTGCTGTAAGATATCTTATCTAGTCTTTCAAAAGTTTTTGAATCTATTCAGCCTACCTCTTCACTCTTCTTCTAGATAAAGGCGGGCAGTAATTTTGCCGGGGTCTAGTGACGTCCCAAAGGCGAGCAGCTTTCAATTGCTCCATAATGCAATACAAACGTTACACTACACAGTCGATCAAGAACTTGACGGCCGCAATATTCCACAGCCTCGGTTCAGAGCCTGTCAGGGCGGACAAATCGTGACAAGTTTGGCTGATACCGTATATGCGGGGGCTGAAGGCGTTCAATTCTATTCGACAGATTGTACCAGCCTCGTGGAAGCTGGAATAATGGAACGATATGGCCGGTCAACGCGCAATACTCTACAGGGGTGTTGGCGCCAATGCTTAAAACCTGGACTTACCCTGGCCAGATCCATCTCAACATTAATTCAGAGCCTCGCGCACACGAGTAGTTCAATCATCTCGCAAGCATGCGTAAGTAAATTAATCTAGAGAAATCAACAAAGCTCACGAGTGGCTAGATTCGGTTCGTAGAGCGGCTCATAGGGCTGCAAGTCACGCTAGCCAACATGAGCATGGCACCGTCATGAATTACAATCCGTTCGCACGGACAAGATCTCGGAACAACGGTGAACTGGATGCTGAGACCGCAGCGAACGAAATCAGCTCGGATCAATCTCACGAACGTCCGACTCGTGCAGATACTGCCCCTGCAATTCTGGAAACGCCCTCGAGTATGCCGACTTTTACCAGCCCGTTCTCTGGCCCGGACGATTCTCACAAACATGTTCCTCAAGAATCTGACCACCTTCCTGTGCGACCCGGGATAGAGACTATCAAGAAGAGGCAAAAGATCAAGTCATTTCTCAAAGAAGACAAGGCTCAAAACAGTGCGTTGAACCTAGGAGATTTGGAGCCTGAAGAACGCAGAATGCAACGCAAGAAACTATCTCTAAGACGCAGGATTCCCGTCGGTGCCCAGATCGGGTTTCTTCTTTTTTACAATTACATTGCAACTATCTTGTTGCCTTGCATTCCCGCCGGATTCGCTGTCAACTATATCCACACCAATGCCGTCGCTGTGTTCTGTATCAATTTTGCTGCCATTATTCCTTCCGCAACCGCCTTGTCGGCAGCATTGAATGATCTAAGCATTCGATCTGGTGACAAGGTCAGTGCGTTGCTGAACCAGACGTTTGGGTAAGATACACTCCTAACTTGTGGGCAAGGAGCACCTCTGACGCACATGAAGCAACACGGTCCAGCTAATTTTGTCGATTCTACTCCTCAAATCTCACCAAGTGAGCGTCCTGAAGCTTTCACTGCTCGGTACTATCCTGTCGAATCTGCTTCTTACTACTGGGGCGAGCTTTCTCCTGGGCGGGATCTATCGTATGGAACAATTCTTCAACGTTAGGGTCGCTCAGATGGTTAGTATGCTGTTACTTCTAGCAGTGGCAAGTCTCATAATACCCTCTGCTGCCCGGCTTTTGACAAACACCACACCTGAGGGCGTACTGGCGCAGTCTCGGGGTATTTCAGTCGTAGTTTTAATATCCTACCTACTCTGGCTTCTCTTCACACTCAAATCGCATAGGTCGCAATTCGAGGCTCCATCACAAAAGGTCGCAAAAAGACCATCGAGAAGATTACCAGAAGGTGCTGCCAGTCGAAGTATTGTAGCTGTTGGGGCTGGAACCGCTGCTGCGAGTGGTGGTTCAGTCAATTTTCGAAGCGTGTTTGCAGCCGTAGAAGGAGACAATGATAGCGACGAGGAGCCATTCGAAGAGTGTTCTTTATCTCTTCCCGGCGCCATCGTCACACTAATAGTCTCAGTTGTTTTGGTCGCTTTCAACACACAGTTTGCTACCGATAGCATACAAGCGTTGCTGCAACGTCGCAAGGTGTCACAGACCTTTCTCAGCCTAATCATCCTGCCACTACTAAGCAACGATCCTATGGCAGTTAATATGGCGATGCAAGACAAAATGGATATCAGCTTATCACTTGCTCTCGAGCGGTGCATGCAGACATGCTTGATGGTCGTACCACTCACCGTGCTTCTCGCATGGTGCATGGGTGTCAATGAGATGGATCTGGATTTTGACGGGTTTTCAATAGCGACTCTATTTGTTTCCATTATCATTGTCACATACGTTGTACAAGAGGGCAAGTCGAACTGGTGAGTCGCACCCAATGGACTGTAACGCCGATGCACGTTGGGTCTCTTCCTACTAACAAGACTTTCAGGCTGACTGGAGCTCTATTGATTAAAGTTTTTGTTATAACTGCGCTGGCAGCTTTTTACATCCCTTAAGTATGGAAATGAAGCGACAATGGTAGGTATCCATTGAAGCAATAATGAAAGACGAAACCTCGAACTAAGTTGCGTGCGAGCACAACTTCTGCCTTGTGCATTCATCCCTTCAACCAGAATAATTGCTATGTCAATCAAATTTCGTGTACCTTTTTCTTCCTTCATGATTGCTTTGTCGATCTCCAGGTTGCTCCGCCGACCACCACAAGGTTTGCTTCGTCAAATGCTTGATTGCAGGTTCAATCGTCCAAGACTTGCATCGTGAAGTACTGTGTTGCTTCGTCACCCACTTCGAGGCTTGCTTCTTCAAGCACTAGATTGCAACGATCAATCATCCCAGTCAATACATTGCCGTAACCTACAACGCTTCATCTTGTGAAAATGTTATGCTACACTCTTGTGACACGTCATATAACATAAACTGATTCATGCCTGCAGATTATTGATCTGTGCTCCGTTCCTAGCGAAGTTGTATGGACGTAAAGCACTCACTCTCATCGCTAGACAATATATAGTTTCTACTTATTGAATTGGAGACTCAGTAGAGGGCAGGTAGTTGCATGATTAACTTACTAGGCCGGGAATGGGTGACGCTGGGCAGAAGTATTGGCTATGCACGCTTTTTTTTGGAAGGTACATGGAGAGTAGGGGCGTGTTCTATGACAGCACAAATGAGACCACTGTTCCCGTTTCGATAAGACTAAACGTAGCATTTTCTTGTGTGACGATCTTCACGCGCCGGACATCATGGAGCGACACAAGCTCACCACTGGTCTCTAATTTCCAGCTCAATTTTGGAAGCAAGACGCGGTCTACAGCAGCTGTACTTATTCTGAACAAGAGTTCAGCCTTGCTTGACGTGCGATGTCCGCACTAAACTGCAAGAAGAAGACTCAGATACCAGGCTAGCCGACAGTGTAGGTGTTGGAGAGCTTGACAGCTCGACAGTAGCTCCGAAGAAGACGCTGAGAGGATGCCGGATGACGAGGAAGCTTCAGAAGCAGATGCAGTGCTCTACGATTGGCCAGAACATAAATCACGTCATATATTGAAGTTCTACAGGTTTCTGTGAGAGCCTGAAAGGTGAACGCGCTTTGTCTTGGCGTGCTGTTTGATAACAAATTTTTGTCACGTGCCTGAGCTCCCTCACCTCAATACCCACTTTCCTCAACCTTTTTTTTTCAAAAAATTACGATATACACACAAGCCTCTAATATGGATGACCTAGCTGCCGAAATAGCTAAAGTCAAGCTGCAGTCAATTCAGGTGCACCAGCTTTGCCTCGACAAGGCGGGCGTTGCAGCTCGTCTGGTTGAGCTGCGCAGCGAGCCCATCGTGCCATTGCTGCTCAACCAAATCCTAGCGGTGCTGGTGCACCTCCTCAGCGCCTCCAAGGCCTCGATGCTAGCAGGTGGTCCGACGTCGCGCAGAGGAACGCTCATCACGAGCAGCCAGCTAGCGCAAAGAAGCCCTTCAGGTTCATGACACCCGAGCAAGACACCAGGCAGTTTTCAGGTATGTTTCATCTTCGTGCCCAACTATGATAGACGTGCTAACTCTGCATAGACAGAGACCTTGCTAGGGAATGGATTCCGGGCCTTGCCGAGCAGTTCCCACTTCCGAGGCCTTCTACTGAGACTCCTGGGACTCCTGTTCCAAAGAAGGGGGAAGAAGATGAATGATATGATTAAAAGCTTTGTCTTTTCCTGGAAAGCACCGTCTTTCGATTCCCATTCTTGAGCCATGTCTCAACCTGCGAAGCATCGTCGTCTTCTACTTCTTCAAGCCAGGTCTTGATCTGGAAAGCAAAGTCTTTCAATTTTCAGCATAGATACCCAATGACATTCTGTAACTTGCATCATGTGCGACGACTAGCATATTGACCATTCTCATATTAAGATTTATGACTCCTTGAACAGGTTAATAATGCCCTTCTCGAGGGGCCAATCTGTAGAAGCAGTCTCATTAGCTCCCGCAACGTATAACAGGTGTTTGACTTACCAAATACGGGACGCTCCTTCACACGCTTCGTCAACAGAATCTCATCACCTGCGCGAATTTCCTTGCCGTAGTCCTTCTTTGCGGTGTACGAATACTTGCCGAAGACAGGGCCATACTTCCAGCCCTTGTCGACTCGACGATCGGACGCCAACTTCTTCCACACCAAACCTTCGTCACCTTCCGCTTTTTTACCCGTCTTATAGTCCACAGTAATGGCCTGGCATCGCCAGCATGTGCCTCCGAATTCCATCTTGATGCCGCCTGGGAGAACTACTTGCGCCCAGTAATCCTCATCATATGGCACCGGGCTGCCGGACACGATAATGTTCGGACGGAATTTGGTAATGTCCATCTCCTTTCCATCTTCTAAGCGGGAGCTAACTTCATCATTCGACTCCTTCGTCACAACAAGGTACTGTCCAATATCCTGAAAAGTAATCGTTTCAGGCTTCGGAAGTAGCGAGGAGGGCAGCAGCTTTCGCAAAGACGCTGTATACGGCGATCGCTTCGCCTGCGCCATTGTACTATTGGGCGCTCCGGAGCCCAGTACAACGCGCGAATTCGCACCGATATAAACCATGCGCGTCTCGAATCCCATGTACTTGCTAAACCACGTGGATACCTTGTCACCCATGTCATACGCATCTGTCTCACTGCCGTGGAGGTTTAGATGCACTTTACCCCAAGTCTTTGACTTCAGGGCGCGGCGGGATGCGAATCTGATGCTCCGAGCCCGTCCATTCAAGCTGTTCAGGATCCGGATTCTCCGGTCCAACGCGTGTCACGATGATTATTTTTCCGCCCTCGCCTTCCTCGAGCGTTTGCTTGAACAGCACCATCTGCAAGTGAAATCCACTGTACATGGTCTCCCATAGAGTAACTTCCTTAGTCTCAGGGTCCCGGTGGATTTTCTGGAGACAGAATGTGCGGTCATCTTCAAAGCCTTGCGGCCCAATCTTTCCGGATTTGATGCGGATGCCGCCGAGGCCTTTGATCGGATAGTGCCATAGCTTGTGTGAGTTAGTGAACGCCATGTAGATGGTTTGCTGGTCTGATCAACCTCTTCAATCTTCAGCTTCACATTTGTATCGACGGTTGTTTCGACGCTCTTGGTCTTGATGTCGTAGATGAGGAGGCCTAGACCGAGAGCTGCAGCTCCAGAAATTGCAGCCCACTGTAATTGGTTCGTCAACTGATTCGAAGTCATGCTGGTGCAATCGCCAATGTCAAATTTGAAAGGAAAGAATATGTAAAAAATGGCTTGATGTACTCAGGTGGGCATTGCTGCGCTTTATCACACCACATCCCCGCACGCTGATAAGGGTTGTATGCGTATGCATGGGCTCGCTTCCGATGCCCAGAACCCCGCTATTGCAACCTACCTACTACGCTACTGCATTTCCGCCGAGAAGAGGCCGCATCATTGCCAGACTTCCTATGCTTCATAATGCGACCTTGTGTTAGTCTCATTCGTGGCTAAGCAGCGATCTCGTGCCCTCACAGCAGACCTCCAGGGCTAGTATGCTCTGGAGCACACTTCCAATTGGATCGCCGTGCTAGCAGTTCGAACAATCTCATGTCTCAGCACGCTTCGCAACTTTCAGTTCTCCCTTTTGGTTGAAGGTCAAATCAGTCCCGGCAACATTTGCATCCGCCCCGTCGAACAGTATCGCAATCTCCTCGAGCGCCGGTCCTCGTGTCTCGACGTATAGGAAATAGATTGCCAGACACTCCAGAACCAGCACCACAATGTACACGATATAGAACTTCCAGCCGAGTGCCTCAAGTCCAATAGGATTGACGTATTGGTTGAAGATGCCAGCGAGTGAAGTGAACACGAAGCAGAGCGTGAGCCCTTTGGCCCGGATTCGATATGGGAGGATCTCGACGGTGTAAGAGACTGTTAGGCCGGGCCAGGCGATACCCGCAGCTATTCTGATGTTAGCAAAATCTTCACAGTCAAAGGACATCGATACTAACCTCCATAGAAAAAGAAGATCATGGCCAAAACTGCCGAACCAGCGCTTGAATTGCCAGTCTGAGCGTAGACAGCGCTGCATGCAGTCCATATTGTGAACGCGATCAGCATGCCGATGCCGGCGGTCAGGAAGAGCGTGCGGCGTCCCGACACGGTCGACAAGGAAAGCGCATCCAAGAGAAACGATGAAGCACCATATTGTAAGACCACCGTTAATGATGCGCTTGGTCCGTACTTTTGGTAATACCGATGGTATTCAACACTGCGGAAAGGTAGTAGGACACGAGGCCGTTACCCGAGCATTGCGAAAATATGGCCGTCAGGACGATGAGCAGACATCTCTTCCTGTTGCCGGGTGTTCTGACCAACTCGTACCAACCACTATCGGCACTCGCAGCTTTTTCGGCCTCCAAAGTCTGGCTGATCTCGTTGTACTCCCACTTGACGAAATCGGTTTCGGAACCGTTGCCGTGGTACTTGGTGAGCATTTTCTTTGCCTTTGAGTGCTTGTTCTTGCTGATCAGCCATCGTGGTGACTCGGGAAGCAGGTAAATGCTGAGAAGTTGTATGCCTGGCATGGCGCACTGAAGTCCGACTGGCAGCCGCCACGACAGGTCTGAAGCGATGTGTATCAATGTACCATACGTTGTCCACGCGGCAATGATGGCCCCGAGATACCACAGCGTGTTGTAAATGGTCGTAACCCTTCCTCTATGACGAGGATGCGCAATTTCCGTGATCAGAAGCGGACATGTGGCGTTGGAAATGTTACTGCCCATGCCCATGATCCACCGACCTGCGAGAAACATGGCATCTGGGTTTTTGCGCTCCGAAAGTGCTTGTATGACGGACCCGAGTATCACAAGACAGCATCCTACTGCTGTTCCCATTCTTCGACCCAGTATATCGGCGATGTACGGCGTGAAGAGAAGTACAGCAAAGCCACCGAAGCCTGGGAAAGCTCCTAGGAGACCAAGGCGTGATCCAGTTGGGTTATTAAAATCTGTCGCCGTCAGATGAGAACAATATGACATATCAATCTTCAAGACTTACACTCTTTCCAAGCTGGCATAGTCTGTAGTCCATTAAGGAGACTGCCATCGTAACCAAGGGTTGTTGAGCCCAGGAAGAGGAATGGCATCATTAGGTAGAGTTTCCGAAGCTCAGGCTGTTTGTACCACGGCCGTGGGTCTTCAGCATTGTGGCTATGGACAGCAATGTCCTCCGAGTGAACGATATCAACATCGTGCTTGGTTTCCATGGTTGTGGCTGTAGAAGAAGGGATGGAGGAGACAGATCAGCTGCCAAGTGTGCGTGAATGCATCGAATATCTCTTGACCTGAGACAGTGCCGGTATACTTATACAGACAGACCCCTGGCTCTGCTTGCCCCAGATGTGCTTCCGAGTCATCGGTAAGCTCGTTAGAGCCGTCGCGATGGTAATGCGGAGGTGGACCAACGAATGCGGAGATGCTCGAATCATGCTAGCGTCCTGCCAACCGTGGAGCTAATGCAACATTTTTCCCATATTTTTCCGACACAGGGCAACCCTACAAGCCACCCACCAATGTTTTTACATGTGCGCAACTGACTTCATATAAGCCTACCTTCAACGGCGTGAGCGATGCTCGAACAGGTCTAATGACATAATGTCGATGGGCACACTTGGGTTGCATAAACAGAACGCCTGATCAAGTGACTTTGCTGGAGCGCAATATGGAAAAACCTCGGAATAATGAGCGTGGCCGGCAACGCAGCTCGGCGGCATGCGATGCATGCAGAGCAAGGAAGGTCAAGGTATGGAGCACAGACTCGCGCAAGCAGGCAACGGCTACTGACAGTCTTCAGTGCATTGCTTCGGCGAACCAAGGAAAGTGCTCCATGTGCTCAGAGCTCAACATCGACTGCACAAGCGAGCGACCTCGAAAGAAGAGGGGCCCCAAGAATCGCTATGTTCAGATCTTGCGTGCTCATCTCGATGGCGACACAATAGCGAGTGACGAGCCAGATAAGCCGAGTCTGGATTTGATCGCTCCTTCCGAAATCCTCGACCTGATTCTTGACGACTGGTTCAATTGTTTTCATCCAATCGCCCCTGTTCTTCATCGCAACTCGTTCATGGCACGAATCAGAAGTGTACATGATGGCGATGTATACGAATCAAGATCATTTCTTGTCCTAGTAGCGTCTGTGTGCGCTGCGACATGCGCCAGCTTGCGCAGGCGACGACACCACTACAGTACAGTAACTGTTGACAGCTGTCTGGCGCTCGCAGAGCGATTCGGTCTTTGGGCTGCTCCTGAAAGCATCACCTTAGAGAAAGCGTTGGCGTTTTACAACTTCTCTAGTGCGGTGCACCTTGAACATGGGATCGACTCTGCCATAGCTTTCCGCCTCATTGGCGACAGCACAGTTTGCATCAAGTATCTTATGCAGCAAAAGCTGGATGACATGTCATTCACGGACCAACAAATCGTCAAGCGTCTCTACTGGATGAACTTTGCTTGGCAGTGCACCGCTGAGATGCACGGCAGACGGTTGCTTGTTCTTCACCACGCACACGAAGCCTCAAGCATACCATTTCCGCTGCCAGTATCGTTTGAAGAGCTTCTCAACGGGTCGGTATCGCCGCAAGCGAGCGTTGGTGGTCCGGACTACTCATATGTCTCAGGCCTTAATGCACTCTCGGGATTGTTCCTCGTCTGGCAGTCTAGCCAAGCAATCATGGTTCAAACTATGGAAAACCTGCAGGAGTATATACTCCGCGTCCACCAAGCTCTGAGTGAATTACCACCCGAGCTAGCGTGGACTGATGGGACCAACCAAGCCGGGGACTTTAGCTTCAATGTACAGAAAGTGAATCTCAAGGTCACACAATTGCACATCCGATCAAATCTGCTCGAGCAAATGAATTATCTTGCGAGAAGTCAGGGGTGTGCTATCACACCCGATGCGATCATCGATGAGCGCCACCGTGTTGTGGAAGAGTTACTAGACGTCCTCTACACGATGCCAGAAGAAGTATTCGATGCAAACGGCTACAGTATCGTGTCGAAAATTAGAGATATTGGAGGGGCGCTGTTGGATGAGCTTCGAACGGGTGAACACGGTCGCACACTACAAGCAAGCGTCGCTTTGGATAGATTGCTTTCCAAATTGGAGAATCTGGATCTGAATCCGATGGTTCATACGCCATTTTTTTAATCATCGATGATATTATGGACGGCGCCGCAAGTCGATGTAAGACTAAATCTTGAAATAGCTAACCCCTCGCCACAAAGCACGATCAACAATCCGACTCCTCCTCTTCAAGGCTGTACGCCGAACATTCGGCGATACATGTTCGAGCTGGTATCGTCACAGCGATGGGGAAACCTCCATAATCAGGGTCCTCGTTCGGCATGATGAGAAACTGCCCACTGCGAATCTCATCGCCACCCAACCACTTCAGCGTCGTCAACTCACAAGTTTCGGGGTTTGCTTCCTTCTCCTCCGCATGCAAGATGCCAGTAAATGTGGACTTGGGGTTGGTGCTCTTGAAGTAGAGATTGAAGCCCTGGCCAGCGCACAAGAACTTGCCGTCGCCTTGGTGTATGACCATGCCAGCGCCGCTTGACTGCTTGCCGAACACAAATGCACGCTCGACAATGACTTCGAAGTCTCCCATGACCTTGGTCCACTTCGGCTTCTGCTCACCGGGCACAGGCTCGTCGAAGAAAAATCCGAGCATGTCTTCTGGGCGGTTTGCTTGTGCTTCGAGGATTTGCTTCCTGAGAGAGTGGATCAGCCCATAGTGCTTGGTGAAAGGGCTCTCAGACGCCTTTAGCGAATCGATGCCAAACGGAGAACAGCCCAGGGCAAGATAGTTTCCATACGCGCTCCAAATGCGCCGCGCGCCTGACTCCGTGCGCTGCTGCTCGGGAATGAACAGTGGCTGCCCACCGTGGCGGTAGTTCTGGCACGTACTCTCGTAATCGTGGAAGTACAAATCGGGCCCAATGAAGTCGAGACTAGGGGCGTTGTGAATATAGACGTCCATGGTATGAGGGCATGGGCCTCCAGATGGGTAGATGCCAGCTTTCGCACCACCGCCTACGACAACTGGTGTATCCGGACTAATGTCAAGCGCCGAAACGTCGTCGAAATTGAGCCAGACATTAGCGTAAAGTGGGATTGGGTACTCGGCTTTACCAGCGGATGCAACGTGCTGTATATAGGTTGAAAAATAGTGCGACATGAACATTTCCCCTGCGTCAATGTCATCGTTCTTCCCAAAGACATCCATCCAGGTCGCTTCTCCAACCGCAGCTGTCTCGATTTCTGGGAAGCGCTGCAGGAACTCTGGATGTAGGTCACGTTTCTTGGATTGTAGCTTCTGCAGCAGATCCTTTGGCACTGGAGCGTGAAACTTGTCATTCGCAATCTTTGACCTGTCTCGCGAATCTCCAATCATTCCCGTTTCGTTCTCAACCTGCACCATGAGCACGGTATTTTCTTTGCCGTCGAACTCTTTCAGATGCGCCATGAGCTTCGCAAATGCCTTGGCATCAGCTTTCCATCCTTCTTCACAGAAGGGACTCATGAGCTCCAATGTCCTCCTCTTCCCTCCCGCCTCAAGTGTATGCACTCTTGGGAAACGTTTCACGTCTTTCTTGACCCAAGCAGGCACATATGTCGACAGCGCGTTCTTGAAGCTACCGAACCAGAGCAAGACAAGCTTCATGTTATGCTCGCGCGCAGCTGAGATGACGGCGTCGAGATTCGAGAAATCGAATTGACCTTCTACTGGCTCGATTTGCTCCCAAGACACCGAGCCGAGGAGTGTGTTGATGTGCATGTCCCTCATGTTCTCCCATATCTTGTCGTCGGCCATGTATTTTGCAGAGCTGAGCGTAGAGTTGTGTAGCTCGGCACTGAGCATGAGAAACGGCTCGCCATGGACGATGAGCTGGCTCGACGTCTTGGTCTTGCGGAGATGAGGAATGTTTGTGGCAGTCATGGTTAGAGACCTTAATAGTGAGATTTGAATGTGAGAGATGATGAGGGAGAGAGAGAAAGTGTTCAACAAGTCTTCTATTTCGATCTTATGGTTTGAACACAGACGCGTCACATTTCCAATTCAGTAACCCGCACGCTTCATCTTCGGATTAATCGTGCATCGTAAACGTGGAGAAGGGTCGATTAGCGGGGTCGCCTAGGATAATTGCACGAGTCATTTTGCCGGGTGTGATGCACGTGGCATGGTCGAGTCTAGACCCAGCTCGGCACAATTATCTAGATTTACAGTCTCAAAATTCATGCTCGATTGCTTGTCTTCCTTCACTCATCTCCACGTACTCACGGATCAAGTGGTTGTGACAAGGATAGAAAAACCACTTCAGCGGCTAGGTGATTGATTTCAAACTAGAACATGTATCGAGTGCGCGTGAAACTCTAGAAACGTCCCAAAAGACGTCACGCACACGCAATACCATCATCTCATACGCTGCTCTGGCGATTGCGCGACTTGCGCAAGAGATCGCGAAGTCCCCTCTGCGGCTTCCTCGTACCAGCGAGAAGCTGCTTCTCATCAGATGCGGCGATGATATCCTCCCCAGTGTTCGGCTCGGACAGCATGCTGGGCGTGTGTGGGAACCACTTCATCAGGCCCCAATAAAATATTCCGGCGGCGATGAAGGAGTAGATGTAGCCGATGGCAAAGCTGCGTATTGGTTAGTATTGCGCGACTACAGCAAACATTCACAATAAACTTACAGGTGCTTTCCACCGTCATCGATATCGATCGTGTTGAGGGACACACTGTTAATGAAGCCAGGAAGCGGTGGTACGAAACCAACAATGAGCGCAACGACGCTACGCCAATTGGTAGCATAGCGTGCCGAGTAGCGGTACATGCCATCGAAATTGTACATATCGGGAACCGACACATTTCCACGACGGGAAATGTAGTAATCCGTCATCAAAATGGCAGTCATCGGTCCCAAGAAGATAGTATAGCCACTAAGGAAGGCGAGAAACTTTTGTGCCGAGGCCAAAATCTTCCATGGGACACAGGCCCAGGCTCCGATGAAGGCGGCGAGAAGCTGACCACGACGAATGTTGATGTATTTGGGGCAGAAGGCGACGAGATCGTTGGCGGCACTGATTGAGTTGGCGGAGATGTTGATACCGAGCGTGACGATGAGCAGGCCGATGGCACCAAATGCAGCAGCAGCCCGACCGCCGTGCGAGCCAGACTCCATCCATAGGTCGATAATTTCGATTGGGTTCCAAATAACGTGACCGTAAGCAGGTTCCGCAGCCGCAGCCGTGAAGATGCCAAGCAGACCGACGATGGTGAAGATGAATGGAATGACGAACGCCTGGACATTTTGTGCGCTTGGCTTGTTGGCATATCTCGAGAAATCGGCAATATTCAGACCGAGCGTTGAGTAATTACCCAAGACAGAGTTGAGATTGGAGAAGAACGACCAGGCAAGGACTGATCCATGCACCTTAGTACCATCCGTGATGACGGTGCTCTTGCTAATAGTTCCGCCAGCCTTATGTAGAGTCGATCCGAACACAGCAAGGAATATAATCGGGGCGATGATGGACTTGAAGCCAAAGAAGTACTGAATCTTTGTGTAGGGAATGCACAAAAATGGTAGTTGAAGCAGGAAGTAGAGGAAGAAGGCGACAAATCCACCAGTTTTGAGGCCTTGACTCTCTGGGACGTGATTGGGGATGTTCCGGAAGCTTGGCCAGATGGCAGTGAGCAGGACTTCCATGCACTGACCGCCAGTCACCGTTTGTACACTGAAGCATGTGTTAGCACGATTTGGAAAACAATTTCAATTTCGAACTTACCCAAGCCAAATAATAGCGAGCGCGCAGCGCGATATGACAACAAAGTAGCTGAAGTAGTAGCCAAAGGGCACTCGAGCGAGGATGGGGAATGGGGTGTGGAGCTAAACGGAATCAGCTTTGTCAAATTGGCATATCGCAATGGATTTAAACTTACAGTAGCACCGATGCGACCGTTCATGGTAATGACAAGGCCCATGATGGTGTTTCCGAGAACACAAGCTCCAATTGCCATCCGCCAACTCAGCCCCGCAGCGATCATAGATGAAGCGACCTCCCAATTAGACACAGCCCAAGCATCCGCCATCCAGTAGGCTACATAACTGCCTGTACCCCAAGTTCGTTTCGACGGCGGAATAGGGTCGAAGTCGGCATTGGAGGCATTCGGAGTAGCAGCGAAACTGCTAGGTTCCTGGTCGACAGCAACAGAAAAGCGGCCACGTTTGATTGGCTGCGAGCTGCCTACCTCAGCCTGCGAGTAGGTGTCGGACCCTGAGGTGGCTGTCTTCTGGTCTTGGAAAGCCATGACAGGAATAGTCTTGAAGAGGCGCTAGCACGTGTAACCAGGTTCGGCGTGGAGATGATGTAGGCACAGGGAGAAGCCGCATTCATATACGAAAGAATGGTCGCATGCGTGCAGTTCTAGACGAGGCGCTGAGCTTATCTTCGAGCAAGGTTCACGGACTGGAAGCGAAGTGCGCGAAGATACACGGTTCCAGATGCGCCACCTGGTACTCCTTATCTCAACCAATGATGTGGGGGCGTCAATCAGCATCTTTCGCGTAACAGCGATCGCGTGTCCTAGGACGTCACGAAGCATCGTTTGATCAATGTACTCTTTGCTGGTACTTCACTGTCTATCTGTACTTAGTAGACTATGCCACAGTCTCGACTGCTTTTGGAAAGTAGAACGGTAGCTATGCGGTCTTCAAGCAATTCCAAGGTTGCTCGCCGCCGTGCTGCCTCGCCTGTGGTCGTTTCTCCGGGCTGTTGGGCCTGCATATCTCCGGTAACGGCTGGATGGCGCACCCCAGAACGCCTGGGGCAGCATCGCGTCTTTTCTCCGGGCGTGGGCAGGGGAGACCAACCCTGTTCGATAGACCTTTGCCGATAAGCGGAGGCATCCTGCGAGGCAACACAGTTGTGTTGCTTTTTCCTGTCAGCCGAAAACCACGTCAAGCAACTCCAAGGTTCAATAAGCTCTATGGACGGTGCGGCCAGATCCGATCGTACTTTCGTCCAAGGCCGACCGAGTGCTGCCCCGGGAAGCGGAGAAGCCAGAGGCATTTCCTTCGCAGCTTCCATCGGCTAAGAAACCCCCAAACTGAAAATTCGAGATGCGCAACATCTCGGTGCGAGTCTGAACGGATTGATTGCTCCGCGATAGAGGGTGCTGCCGCTGACTCGATGCGATTTCGTTTCTGTGGGGGCGCTGAAGCTCTTCCGCCAGCTCGGCGGCTCCGCCCTCACAAGCTTATCCCGCAACATCAAAGACCGCCGTCCCCACGTCAGCCTTCCCTCGTCGGAGCCATCCTTCAATTACGTCATTGCGCAAGAATTTGGACTTTGCAATCAAAAATCCGAAGGATTAGATTGCCTTTGATACCCGCATACTGGCTGGACATGCCGCTGCTCCAAGACGATGAACCGTCACGGGCCACCCACAAATGTCATCTTAGCGCATCACGTCGCGCCACGAGCAATCATTCGCACGAAATGAAAGAACATGTCCTGAGAGAGATGTAAATTACAAGCATACTAGAGAACTCGCCAGTATGAGGCGGGTCACGGCTGTAACCTCTACATTCACGAGAACAGACCTTGCCAATGCATTCACACACCGCCGAACAGGAACGTCCGTCATGAAAGACATGTTTAGATTAAAAGCTGCGAGGCATTATCTAATCGTCTTCGGAAAAACTTCCCCAACGCCATCGTCCTCGATACACGTCAATCCCATAACACATCAGGAACTAGGTGCTCGGGCACGTCACAAAAGTGCTAACAAAAGCACTGTTCCCAGTAACACAACCACCAACAGGCGCCGAAAACGCAGTTCCCGTGCAATCCGGTCCTGTATAGATCTCGACTGTTGCAACAATTAGCCTTCGCTCAGTGCACACACAACAAGCAGCTTACCAGAGCATCCAGCACTAACACTCAGTGTCTCGTAGCTGTTGATCGCACCGCCATCACCGAAACGATCGAGCGGCTGGCAAACGTTGCCGTTGCCAAAGATGGGATCCGCGAAGATGAGTTGGTTGGGATTGCAGCCTTTGCCCGAGTACTTATTTCCAACGGAAACGAAGTATCCGCCTTGGCGGGCTGAGAGGGCGGCGGGGGAGGCGGCGGCAAGGGCCGTGAGAAGGGCGATGGTGAAGGTGGTGGAGATCATATTTGATGGGATAAGTTGAAGTGAGAGTTTGAAGTCTGTTTGATAGAGAGTTCTCGACTTACAGTGTGGGTTGATGTCGATTGAAGTACCACGGTGACGCTTTTATACCTCCTCGCGGCTTCTACGGGCTCGCGCCTCGAATACCATCTAGACTCATCGTTGGGTTCAAGAAAATAGTTGCGGTGTATCACAGGCCAGTCACACGCTTCTCGCCGTCTCTCGAAACGTGAAGCAGTCCACAGCGCAGTATCGCAAGTCGTCCATTGGAGCCACCAACACTCAGATGACCGTATTCCTCATCCGCTTCAGGTTCCATTCGAAAGGCATTGGTCTATCGCCGTTTGGCAGTTCGTATTCAGTCACAGTCAGACGTAAGTGTAGAATTTCTTCGACCTGCAGACGTTAAGCCACCGTCACATTGGAACGTGATGAGAAAACTTCTCGCCAGGAGAATGTAGAGCTTCCACACTGTCAGTCAAAGCTTCAGTTCGCCGACCTTTTTGAGTCTGGAAGGTCTAGATCAGTGACTAGTATTTCTTGTGCTTGCGAACTTGCGACCAGTGTGGTCTTTGAAGTCAATAAATCTTTAAAGAAAAATCACAAGGTGCTCGTATGTGACGAGATGCACGGATAGTAACTGCTCAGCGCGCAGCATGTTGAGTAATACAGTGACGGCTTTCTGGTCACCGGGTCAGATCCCTGTGGCGCGGCTCCCACGTCTGCCTTCCGCAGTACACCGGTTGCATGGGGAGTCGCTAATTCGATCACAAGTTCATGCATTGAAGCTGACGATGCTGACTATGGTGTTGGAGGCTTCTATAGGTCCGCGATTGCTACTCCCTGCCTATGTGGAAGAGTGTAAGACAAATTTTCACTCGGTGCCTAACGTCGATTGGCTTAGTCGTCACTGTGGCTGACATTATGAAGCTTTACAAGAGAGGTATTCTGCGCGGTAGTGATAAAGCAGACGTGAGGACCTGAGATAGATGATCCAAGTCGCGGCTCGATCTTCTGTGGGTGTGAGCAAGCCATGAGCTGACAATGATGACTTGCCTATCCTGTCAAACCACCGCCACCTTTATTACCGACGTATTCTTGGAGTTCTCAAATAACTGTGTCGTTTTAATCGCCATGGACTTGTTTTAGGACATAAGGCTACATGAAGTTGTCTCTGGAATGCTCAACACACCCGTGCAGCTTGCGTCGGAGTTGTCTGATGGTGGGATTCTTCTTAGAGAATTCATGTATCATCTCTCTGTGATCGGATACAAGATGATCGCGCTTCAATCTAGGCTGAACTGTTGTTTGAATAGGTACTTTGAACAAGGCAGTCGCATGGCGCGGTACGGACAAGATGAACGGGGTGGAATTGCAGCCTCTATAATCCCAAAAGCAGATCTTCGGCAGTCCTGGACCGACATTTTTGAAGAATGAGATTAAGAGGAGTTAGGAGCACGAAGGGAGTGTTCTTCGGAGCTTCTTTTCGTTCTTGTTGGCCGTAGGTGGTTAGCGTACAGTGCATATCCGAGCGTATCCGCGCCACCAGATCATGCTCATCACACTCCCACCAACGCCCGCCGAACTGCCATCGCTTCCTGCAGAGCCAAGACATTCACCCTTTATCACCATGATTGCTCCTAAGATATCGTAGCAGATGCACCCATATCGAAAAGGCAGGGCGAAAGTGATGAATCTCGTAGGACGCGAACATTGAAATGGCTTGAAGCGCAGGTCAATTCACGAGATCTTCTCCCTGCCGAGCGTGCACTGCGCTAATTGCCAATAACATGCATAGATCCAATTCCGATGCCTCCAGCGATGTGCAAATCAAAACATTAATGGTAGACAAGCAACAAGTATAATTCTTCCCATGTCTTAAAATTTCATCTCCCAGTCAACCTTCCGTTCTTTTTGCTTCGTCACGGTCTTTTCAGTCTCATGATGCAACCCACATTCATTTGGTCCCTTACGGCTTTCGCTCTTTTACACCCCTCTTTGGGCGCCGAGTACCCTGTCCCTTCGGCTGTTAGCAGACCAACGCCTTACCGCGAGGCTCAGCCCAGTGCCATTTATTCATCGCTTCCAACCAGTCAACCTGAATACACACATCACAATGGCGGGCCACCTTGTTGCCGTGTAGTTTCCAAAGATGGGAGGTGCGGTGCTTCCAATGGTGGTGCCACGTGCTTGGGCTCCGGGTTCGGAAATTGCTGCGGGTATGTTGCCTTCATCATAAATGCCAATCATTGGACTGACATATACGTAGCCCTGAAGGACTTTGCGGAGGTGAAGTGGAGCAGTGCGGAGGAGGATGCGATTCAAACTTCGGTCTGTGCTACTTGTCGGACCCTTGGGAAGAGGGATACCCAGGCGGCTTCCCTATCTTCTCTGGCGGCAGTTCATCGCTTTTGAGTTCGGCAACTGAAGTCTCGTCTATGGATTCGTTAATCATGAGCGCGAGCTCGACGGTGGACCCAAACTCCCTTGGCTTAGGCTTGGGAGGCAGCGAATCGTCATCAGCAACGTCCTCACCCGTGAGTCAAGTGAGCTCGGAAGCAAGTTTAATCGTCACTTCCACAGACATGCCGTCTTCTTTAGACCTTGGATTAGGAGGTAGTATCACGACATTAGCTACAGTAATTCCTATCACCTCCGTAGATAGCTCGTCGTCGAGCGGCTTTTCATTGTCAGTGAGCGAGAGCTTCTCATTGAGCGATACCTCAGCCTCAAGTATCGTCTCAGCCTCAAGCACCGCATCTGGATCTGAGGCTTCATCATCGGGCATCCTATCAGCGTCTTCTTCGGAGCTACTGTCAAGTTCTCCAACACCCACACTATCGGCTAGCTTGGTAACCGAGTCTTCTTCCGCGGTATCGACATCATCCGATAGCACTATCGTCGACCCTATCTCTGCCGGCGATCAAAGTCTGTCGAGCTCAGTTATCGAGAGTTCCTCAACACTAGTATCTTCGATCGACAGTGTGTCACTATCAGCTTCCTCCACCGACAGCGCGTCCATCTCAGCATCACTCAGTGAGAGCGCGACTCTGTCCATTTCTTCCAGTGGGTCTTCATCCATCTCCGCGATCGACGTGGCATCCGAAGTCGCCGGTGCGCTTGACTCGATCATCGACTCCATTCAACCTACGCCAACCGCCTCAATCGACCTCACCTCTATCGTATCCGAACTCATCTCGCTCGTCGATAAAACAAACGCTCCCACGAGTCCTGCGGCATCTTCCTCTGAGTCGGGATCTGCTACGATTACAGGCCCTGCAAGCCCCACCTACACAGGTAACTCTGCTGCTTTTACGATACCTACGCTTATGTGTATAATGCTGTCTACGCTTGTATTCGGAATCCTACTCTTATAGGCTGCCGGTTGTAAAATGTCCGATCAAGACATATAGACGTCACGCTACGAATGATATAGTAATGTTAATGATGCCCGCTGGGCAATGTTCGAGAGAAAATGTCAGCGAGCCATCTCAGAGCTGCAAAGCGACAGGAAAACCTGCATGTTTCCACATCATTTTGAACGTCCTCCATTTCTGTGAAAATCGCTCGAAGATATTCAGGCTCTTTGACCAGCGGGTCCCAATAATTGCAGCAGCTCGTATCCCTGCTGATGCTGTGACGCAAAAGAGACATCATAGTATTGATCGTCTAAATGAATTTGTCTATGTACCAACCTTAACCCATAAGCACGACTAACAGATCACGCATCAAGTCGTGCACGCTCTAGGCGAACCCATAGCGTGAGATGTCTACTAGCAACCCCAAGAAACGTTCATTGCGATCTACAGACAGGGATGGTGAGATGATTCGTCTGCTAAGGCCCCAAACTTGCACAGTCATCTGGATGAGACTAACGCCACAAGAGTGTTATGATGCATCGGAGCTGGAAGGCGAGCGCTACCGGTAGAACGAGAGTCCCGAAGCTTTACCGGCACCATCACCACATCAAGACACTGCACATGCAGCGGCTGAATGACTCGCGTCGCCTAGCGTTGGGTACAAGCAAAATACTCCGCTTTCCCCACATCTTGAACGGTTCTCGTTGCGAGATCCACCAGACCTCGGAAATCGCTGTCGGTAGAAGGACCGAGTCGATACCTTGGCAAACGCGGTGGGAGGCAATAAATACTAGGTGATGGACAACCCGCAATGTTCTTGGGTTTGCTCTAGAAACGACATCTCCATATTTACATCGACCATGGCGTATGGATTGAGTGCTTGCCAACAATTGGCCACTTCCTTAAACACTATACCTGGTGTGAATGTGCTCAGTACTGCACATCTCACTAACAACACATCGATCGATCTTTCGGGACTCGTTCCATCATGCGCAAACGCTGTCGGATATAACGTGGCCAGAACGACTACAGATCTTTGTCGAGCTGTTTTGAACGTCAACACCAGCTCATCAAGTACCGATCGAATCGAAGCGTGGCTGCCTGACAATTGGAATGGACGCTTCCTCGCGACTGGTAACGGCGGCACTGGAGGCTGCATTGACTACGGCAATCTTCAGACGGGTGCTAGTTACGGCTTTGCTACTTTCGGTACAAATGGTGGCCATGATGGACAAGCTGGATATGACTTCTTCTTAAACAAGCCGGAAAACATCAATGATTTCGGGTACCGGGCAATTCACGCTGAGGCAGAAACGGGAAAAAAAGTCGTTGAGCACTACTATGGTCGACCAGGCGACTACAACTACTACATGGGGTGCAGTACAGGCGGCCGACAGGGCTACGAAGAGGCGATTCTCTACCCCGAAGACTTCGATGGCATTTTGTTGGGCTCCATGGCTACCGATTGGCTTCATATCGTTGCTTCCAAAGCGATTCTTGCGCACCGTCTTGGGTGGCCAGACCTCAGCTCGCCCAGCTACGTCAGTGCAGCACAATGGGCAGCCATAGTTGCGGCGCAAGTCGCGTTATTGGATCCTCTGGATGGCGTCAAAGACGGTGTCATCGACAACCCGACCCTTCACAACTTCGATCCTTCCATATTAGCTTGCGGTACTGGCGTGTTGAATTCTTCCGTCTGTCTTACCGCTGCTCAAGTCAACACCGTACGGGAGATCTACCAACCACTCGCAAACAGTTCTGGCCACATTGTTTACCCATCTTTCGAACTCGGTACACCCACTGGTGTCTTCTCCACCAATACAAAAGTTGACAACGGAACCACGATACCATCACTCAACTATGGCCTCGTTGATGACTTCTGGCGAGGCGCAGTGTATAACGACACCTCGTTCTCCTCGCTCAACTTCACCACGAAACACATGGATTTCGCGACCAATCTCAACCCAGGCGGCATCCAGATCGCTGGCGACAAGTCGCACAACGTTTCAGCGTTCCACGCGCGTGGTGGCAAACTGCTTGCATATCACGGTCGTGCAGATCCCACAGTCATGTCAGGTGTCGCGTCACGCACTTTTCAAAAGACTGCCGAAGCCCTCAATCTCACCTTGAATGAGATGCATGAGTTCTTCCGCCTCTTTTTTGTCCCAGGTATGGGCCATTGTGCAGGTGGTAACGGTCAGTGGGCAATAGGACAACCGGGCGTTGAACGACCAACTGCAGCAGGGTTCAACGATACGCAGCACAACATACTGTTGGCGATGGTGGACTGGGTGGAGAATGATCGTGCGCCGATTAGTCTTGTTGGCACGAAGTTTTTGAACGATACGATATTGGACGGCGTGGTGGAGAGTCAGAGAACACATTGCGTGTATCCGAATGCGAGTCGCTGGGATGGCGTTGGTGATTCGAAGAAGGCGGAGAGTTGGACCTGTCAGTTGGAAGGTGTCTTGTAGATATTCTTGCTCTCACATTGCGGAGAATGCCAACGAATCAATGCAGACCTCGGAAGTTATTTACAGCTGCGTTGTAGCCATCGTAATGCATTGATTTGGTTCTACTTATGCCGAGAATTGAGAGCCCTAGTAGCTGAACTCCCTCACCATTCCTGTCGCATCTGGACCCAATCGCTGCATTCGCTTGTTCCTCGACTGGTAGTAAAATCGCAGACCAATACATCCCAATGCAACCATGACTAACATGCCAAAGTTCACCCAATGACCTGTAGGGTAACCTTTCGCTTTCTCATCTGCCTTGTAGATCCAAACTCCAAGAATCTGTCCCGGCGCTCCCCAAGAAACGTTCAATGCGATGGCAAGACCAGCCGCAGCAGTACTGTGCATGTTACTGCTCAGCCAGCCCAGTAGTGGCGGAATACAGGAGAATGCCCCGCTGGCTGCAACGATCAAGCATCCGTATCTCGCATGATAAGCGTCTGCAGGAAGCAGTGCAGATACAAGGAAGCCAATCGCTCCTACGGTAGATAGGACCGCCGAATGAAGGGCGCGCGCGTTGAAGTAGTCTGATGACCACGCTGTGATGATCGAAACCACATAGGCCACTGCATATGGAGGTACCGTCATGAGCTGAGCTTGGAGATTCTCGTAGCCCAAGCCAGCAGTGATGGTGGGCGTGAACAAGCTTAGTGAGCTGAAAGGTGCCGAGATGCCAAAGTAGATGACATAATGCACCCACAGGCGGCCATCCAGTAGCGTCGCCTTCGCAGTCTCCCAGTTCAGGGACGGCGCGTTGCCTTTCGATCCTTCCTTTTCAAGTCGCGCGACCGCCAGTTCGCGCTCGGGTGTCGATAACCATGATGCTTCTTCAGGATAATCCGGTAGAATGAACCACACCGCGACCGACGAAACGCAGGAAGGGATTCCTTCCAAGATAAATAACCATCGCCACGCGGCGAGTCCTTGAACCATTTGCATATGCCCAACGCCATACGCAATCGCACCACCAAACGCACCTGCGAGCGTCGCGCTGGCGAGGATGATGGCGACGCGCATACTTCTTTCTCTTGAGCGATACCAGAATGTCAAGTAATACTGTTACAAGCAATCAGCAGAAGTTGTACCTGAGGTATTACACCAACACTTACCACCAGTCCCGGAAACAGTCCCGCTTCAAACATGCCCAACAAAAACCTCACCGCCGTAACTGTCGCATAGTTCTCTGCGCCTCCGAGACCTATTGTACAAATACCCCAACCTAGCATGAGGAAAGCAATCCAGCGGCTCGGCTTTAGTTTCTTTAGGAAGTAGTTGCTGGGCACTTCGAAGACGGCGTACGCGACCAAGAATACCATGAGCGCGATAGTGTACTCGTAATTCGTCATGTGCGTCGATTGCAGCAAAGACTCTCCAGCATTAGCATTTAATGTTTTTGCGTTTCCGATGTTTGAGCGATCGAGAAAGCATAGGAGATAAATGCCCGCGGCGAGCGGTATGATGCGGAGGTCTTGTTTCCATATCAATTTGCGAACTGCGACGGGGTCAAAAGCTTCGTCTATATCGTCGACATGTGGATTGGCCTGAGATTTGTGTGAGATTTCGAAGGAACGTGGAAGAGAGAAGGTGCACTAACCGCATGTTTTTGCAAATCCTTTTCGATGTCGTGGATGGATGCCATTTTGTCTCCTGAGCCTCAACCACGAGAGACGAAAGGTTAAAGCGATGGGCAAAACAATGAGCAAAACCCTAGTGGAGACTCAAGCATTTACCATAGAAAAGCTTATGCCGCTTACTTGCGTCCAAATTGTTGACCAGGCGACTTTAACGTAGAAGGGAAATGATTGACGAACTAATGCGGTGCGTTCAAGTAGCCCCGCGTTGTTGACCGACATGACTCGCTTACCTCCGCAATCGTCCCGTGCACTGTGTGCACTCTCCACATTGCACACGAAGTCCCCAGATGTGTGAAGGAGCTACTCATGTCTCAGAAGCAGACCCATTGAGTTCGACTGCGCGCACAACAATAGGATGTAATTTCTACACCGATTCATTTTTGAAATTATGATGTTCGTCTCATTGTCCTTAATCCAAATCCAGCATCAAACATTCATCTCCGGCTGGTCTTCCGCTTAGCCGCTCGTACACTTCCTCGCATCCCGTCACCGTCGTCCTCAGGTGATTTGTGTTAGACTAATACATGAGTTGTATTATTGCATCGACCATTGCTACCTTTTAGAAAGGATGTCTGGCGTGTTGGGTGCAGACCTGCGTCTGACAGTTTGTGATTGGTAAGAAACGCCCGGGCCTTTCAAAGACCTCGGGAGCTTCGGCGAATTGACAAAGCGTCCACCTGTCTTCACCACCAGATAACTCACGGTAGACAGACAATCTTGGAAGCTCTCGCGGTAGGCTCCGATATTTATCCATTCATACCATCCATACGCCATCATAGGCCCTATCGCGCCTTGCACGTGAAACTGTCATCAGCTCCCACCTTCGTCATCATCGGTACAACACTGCATCGACTGAAAATAGTGAATTACGAGGGTCCTCGATCTCTTTTCAGGCGCGTGGAGTACGACATAGATATAAAGCTTGGTGTCGTAGTTGCCAATCAAGGAAGAGACGGAACGCGCGCAATTGAGCACTTTAATGAGCCATTTCCCAATTGGGCATTGTACTGAAAGAGCACCCTGTTGGTATCGACACGCCATCCTGACAAAGCTGCCGGAAAACAGTGGATAACTTTTGCGCGGCGATCAAGATGGTGTCTCACTTGAGCTTGTCGCTCTGTCTATCTACTCTCATCTTTATCGTACCTGGTATATTCGCAACAGACCAACAGCCATTTGAATTCGGAGCAATGTCTACACCTCAGTACACACTACCACCCCTCCCGTACTCATACGATGTCAGTACCATGTCCTATGAGTACCCCGCACGCGTCATACTCACCTTCTGACAGGCGTTGGAACCCCACATCTCAGCCCAAATCATGGAGCTCCATCATAGCAAGCATCACCAGACGTACATCACGAATCTAAATGGCTTGTTGAAGACACAAGCCGAGGCGGTACACACCAGTGATATCACGTCGCAAGTGTCTCTACAACAGGGCATCAAGTTCAATGCTGGCGGCCACATCAGGTAAGCAGTAGTAACAAACACCGGCTTTTATGCCCTTTTGCTGACTTTCGTTTAGTAAGTTGAACCTCTTTCCAGCCTAACAGATCAAGCGAGTACCGCCATCCGTACACCCTTGCCGACACTCTTTTCGATATAACATACACTGACTGTGGCTTGCTCTCGACTAGACCACTCCTTGTTCTGGTCAAATCTCGCGCCCGCAGACTCAGCGGAAGCAAAGAGTAGTGCAGCTCCCGAACTGATCAAACAAATCAAGTCTATTTGGGGCGACGAGGAGAAGTTCAAAGAAGCATTCAATACGGCACTGTTGGGCATTCAAGGCAGCGGATGGGGCTGGTTGATTAAAGTTGACACCGGCAACCAACAACGCCTTGCGATCGTCACCACCAAGGACCAAGATCCAGTTGTGGGCAAAGGCGAGACTCCGATCTTTGGAGTTGATATGTGGGAACATGCCTACTACTTACAGTATCAGAACGGCAAAGCTGCATACGTCAAGAACATCTGGAATGTCATCAACTGGAAGACCGCGGAAGAGAGGTTCTTGGGCTCGCGTGCTGATGCGTTCAAGGTCCTCAAGGCGTCTATTTGAGCTGTCAAACCTGTCAGAGTGTCATCTGTCATCTGATGTTCTGGAGTACCGTGGTGGCATTCAGTACGCACTAGTTCAGCCAATCAGGTACCCACATGAAACATGCTCAAAGACACTCATTAGGACTCAACCCCAACTTGCGCAAACACCTCTTCCAAGTATCCTTGCCCATCTGTAGACTTGTCTATGTCTATACAGAAGTACATGCAAAAGCCGTATCCTCTCCCATTCTTCCATCAACCAGCCTTCTTCCTTACCTAAACACACTACCCTTCGCCCCCTTTACTATCTTATCACAACAAGCTGTCTAGTCACCCGACATTCAATCTGAATAACGAAATGTGTACCGGTAACTCAACGCGCATCAGCCAAGGGGGCTCAATAGCTGTCCTTCGACCAACACATCACCTCCAACGCACACAATCCGAAGATGATATGCTCCTCTTCTTCAGCAACAGATGTTCGAGTCGCGGGACAAGCGTCGAGTTGGAAGGCTGGAACGAGGAAGAGCAGAACGACAAACACTGGGTCGTCATACAGTGAGTGCTCGTAGCAAGAGTTATTTCTCAGCAGCGCTAATATGGAAGACAGTCGGGACGGCGACCTCTCTTCGTCACCACAACAAAGTGTTCCACTATATTCGTTCTCATTGGATTCGAGTATGGCGCCAGTCATGCAGCTGCCTCAGCGGCTAGATCTAGGAGTAGGCGACGTCGGTATTATTGGGCGCAGAGTCTCCGTGATGACTAGTTCTACTAAGGGGCCTCTAACAGTAGCGGAGGGCATCATCGGTTGGAATTGAAGAACAACAATAAGAAATCCTGTAATATTCCACATGCGAACCTTGGCGACTACCTCAAGACACTGATTGATACTCTGCAAGCAATGTGTAAGTCTGGACAGAGTCGCACGTATACTAGCGCAATGCGTAGCAATGAACGCTATCCAAACATACTGCGAACACCCACATACATGCTATGGGTACAGATGGCTGATATCATGATCTAACCTCTAGGACTCCACGGCTGCCCAATCGCCTTCCTGAACCTTCCCTCAAAAAGATCAATGGTCTGATTCATATTCATCCCACTCGCGATAGCCAACTGCAACATGATCCTCGCCTGGATGACATGTACAAACCCTGCTTTCGCAAAAGTAGGTGTTCGAGCCGGACTACTTGGACCATACGGACTGCGCGTACCCACTACCACCTGCAGCCCTTTCTCCATTGCTTCGGGAATCTCGTCTCCCCCCGATGGTACCCCGCCGTTGCCAGTGCCTGCAATCACGATTCCCTGCGCGCCGTTTGCTTGTGCGTCGAGCGCAAGCTTACCGTCGAATTCGCGGGCGGCATAGAGAATGTCGACTTTAGGCAGCGCTGGGAAAGATTTATAATTCGAGACTGCACTAATGTCGAAGTTGTATTTGTGCAGGGGTTGAGACGGCGTGTTGAAAAACACGGGCAAGCTGTTGATGAAGATACCCAAATCGCCTCCGGCTGTTGGGCCAAAAGCATTAGGATTTGTACTGTGTAACTTGGTCACCCAGTAGCCGGGTATAATGCGCGCGTTGAAAGCCACCATCAGGCCTCTGTTGCGCGACTCCGGACTGGCGGCTAGCATGACGGCGTCGAAGAAGTTGGCATCGCCTTCGTAGCCGATGTGAGTAAAAGGCCGCATGGCGCCTGTGCCGACGATGGGCTTCGCGCAGTTCACGAGGCTGTCTAGGAGGAAGGCTGTTTCTTCGAGGGAGTTTGTGCCGTGCGTATAGACGGCTCCGTCGATGTCGCTGTCTTCGGAGCAGAGTGCATCGTGTGCGAATCGCGTCATGTTCATCACCAGCGCATCGTTGGTGCCTGTTGAGCCTTCTTCCGAGGTCCAGTTCGAGACGGCAAGTTGGGTGTGGTTGAGTAGATACGGGTTTCGTGCGATTATTTCTTCTCCAGTAATTTGCAATTGACCGTATTGCGTATCATCGAGAGCGCCATATATCGAGCCACTAGCAATTGTGCCTCCGGTGTACAGCACGCTACGACAGTCATTAACTATCTTGGTGGTCCATGAAGAATGACGTACAGAATCTTTGGCAGGCTACTATTTCCGCCTAGCCATGTAAGTCCGAGACGCTCGCTTGCGGTCTTCACTTGGCGAGGTCTGGAAGGTGAGGCATACGTGCTCGCGGTTGCGATACCAGCAAGGACAAAATTTGTGAAGCGCATGGTGGGCACTTGGACTTCCCAGCACTTCTTATTGTACCACACTCAGCGCAAAGGAAGGAAAGGTTCAAGCTTTTATCGGATTGTATACCTAGTCAGAAACCTAAATACCTAGGTAGGTATCGTCGATCTTCTACGGTGTAAGCCGCACCAATACACGGAAGCACATCGGCGGCCCCACAAACTGTATGTTCAAGCTGACTACCAGGCATAGCTTAGGCAGTACATCCTTGGCAACATGTTCGAAAGAGGAAGGTGGGAGAGTCTTGCCCAAAGACTAGATGGAACGTTATCGGTCGGCTTCGTTGACGTTTGCTTTTCGCCAAGCTTGATCCTTCCAGCGTGCGGAAGCAGCATTCCGCAACGTCAGTATCGCCTTAAGCTTCGTATTTTGAACTGACTAATAGTCTGAGCAAATTTGAAAGGGCGTTATGACTGTGTTGTGTTGCATGACAATGCGGAGCAGTGACGATATCGACTGCTTCCAAGGTTCAGGTTTCCCTGTGGCTATTGCCGAATGGGGTAATTCGTGAGTTACCGGTATTCAAGTGCCTTGTTAAGTTCAAGAAATATGACTGAGATTTTAGAATGATGAAAACAAAGGGCCGAATGCTATCTCACCCAGCACTGCACACAATTAATAATCTGGGCTCAGTCGCGATGTTTCGCTCAATCTTGGATATCACGTCTATTGTCGAAGCTACATACATGCTCCACTTTCTTACTCGTCGCTCCCTCCTATCTACCTAACAAGTAAATACGCTTGGGCCGGGCGAGGTGTACGTCTTCTGACCACTGTACAAGTTGTAAATGATGCCAACATCATTTTGTTTGTACGCGCCAGGGAAGCTAACTGTCGCCGGTGTCTTATCTGCAGAGCCACCCACGATGTTGATTTGCGCACACTCCATGTAGAACTGCGCGCCCATGCTGGAGCTCGCAGAGTGCAGGGCGATGAGCTCGCCACGGAGAAGGTATTGGCCTGGAGCGATACACGCTGGGATTTTCACGGTCTGCACGCCTTTGTTGGCGATCAATCGGTCAACGCCCCATTTTGAGCCGTCGAAGGCGTCTTCGGAAATCTGTGTTCACAATGTCAGCCCTGCTATATCATCAAAGAGATGTAATGGCATACCTTGAACCATCCTCCTCCGACACCGGAATCAGTCTTGGCGTCTGATACTTTCTTGAGATACGCCATGACGGGACCCTTGTGGCTGGGATCAATGATGTCGTTGTCGCCAGACGTCAGGGTGTGGCGCCATGTCAGCGTTGCGCTGGAGCCAGCCTGAAGTGTGATGACAGTGCTGGTGCTTGCGGTCGGGTTGGGTCCACCGTTACAAACGATGTCGTTTGATGACACATCGTTGATGGGTCCATCATATGAGGGAACGCGAACACCGTCGCCGACTTTGCCGCCGTTGACGGAAACAAAGATGGTATGCGCCGATGCAGCAGTGGCGAAGAAGAGGGTTGTTGAGAGCTTCATCTTGTGTGTGTGCGTGTATGATGAGGATGGGATAGCTGAAGAATGGGGGTTTTCAGAGAGTTTATAAAGAGCCGAATTTCGAAACGCAAGGTCAACTCCACATATGAGCCCAAAGCTAAGGGCCGATGGCACAGGATCATGATCAAGCCCCGTGATGTCTAGACTTGATCACCTCAAGCCCCCCAAGCATCATCGCCGTAAGATTCCTTATTCACATATCCACCACTCATCATGGTCTCAGAGCGAACACCAAGACGGCCGATACCAGTTTCGCACCAGTGCTACATATGAAAGTGCGATTCGACTATATTAAGCACTATCGAAGCTGTCCACGAATCTTCAAGCTCGCTTGGTGTTTAGCCAATGGCTGAGCCGGATATAAACGACCTACCCCAGATTAAATGAAACGAGTCCAAGAAAACCGGGGAAACCGACATGCGACCCGGTACAGGGATCAAGGTTGGGTTTTGTGGCTTGATGTAACTCGGTATACTTTGCGATGGATGTCGTTGGCGGCTGGTCCGGCTGCACTGCCGACATGTTCGCTACCGCTTTTGAGCAAAGTCCACCTCCTAGCAATAGCGCCGCTCACACTAGAGTCACGTCTTCGAATCTCATGTCTGGCATATGCAGAGCTTCTCCTTGCATGATGCCGTGCATGTAGGCCTCGCCGAGAAGTTCGTACTCTTCCTCTTCATTTTGCATCGACCGGAGCACAAACGGTACACACGCGCCTTCAAACACCACAATCACGTCTCCTTGCTGCGTTCCGCGCGGGACTAGAGCAAAGAAGCCCTTCTGAGAAATGGCAAAGCGTCTCATCGTGAGTGCAGCACGCATGGCTGTGCGAAGATCACCAAGCGCTTTCGCTGGTCGCCTAGATCGGAGACTGTTGAGTGTGAAGTAGCCTCGTCTTCGCCGCGAACTATAGGTCTGGCCAGCCAGAGAAGGCGTTTGACCCGTTGTGGAATCTAGAATGAGGCTGAAGACCTCGCTATGTTCTGCTGTTGGTTCTGCCGTGCCAGAGGCATCGCGCCCTCCTAAGAGTGTTTTCCAGAAAGCGTCATATACAGAGCTATCTGAAGCCGGGTACTCCTCATGTTTGTAGTTTTCATTGATAAGCTGAACATTGCTTGCCCAGCTACTGTTGCCGATGTGAGGATCTTCGATATCGAGCGCCACGTCTTCAATGGTACGTCCGAGAATTGTTACCTTGTCGAAGACGATGCCGTTGAGGGTAAGTCTCGTTTTGTTCTCGCTCAGAATCACCTTACTAGGTCTTCCGATTGAGACTGTGCCTTTCGTGTTTGCTCGCCTACCGGCACTATACATCGTCCAAGCCTTTGTAGAGTAACCTAGTGCCTCAGTTACCCGATTAGTGCTCCAATCTGGTAGCCAAGAGGGCTCAAGAGGTAAGTCATGGTCCACACAGCTCAAAAGTTCGTAGACGAGGGCTGGTAATTGTGTTAAGCATGCCTCATGGTAGACGTCTCGAGCCGTCCTGGATGATGTATAGTCAGGCGTTATATTCGATCTTGCGATACCCAGTACTCCTGCAAACACAAAGTCAGCGATGTTTATGAAGTGCGTAGCAGATAGCGGTAACTTACCGTAGATTTTGTCTTTCGGATCTGATGCTTGGGCATACCTTGTGCGCACTAAGCTATTCAGAAGATATTCTTTCTCACTGAGTGACCAGTTCTGTAAACGGTCGGCCTGCAGTGAATTAATCACACTACCACCAAACGGTAATCTACTTCTAGAGCAAGAGGCACTATGCTCTAGGCAGCCCTGGGATTTATCGCTTGCGAGCCACTGTAGGATTTGACAGTGCTGCAGAACGTAGCACCATGCCGCAAGATCATCCCAGTTCACAACAGCGTTACCACACATGACGAACAAGTTTCTCGAAAGAACCGCTTCTTGTATAGTCCAGAGACGGGAGAGCCAAGGCCTCTGAAGAATTTGGCGCACTGCATGCCAGGCGTGGTGGTTGGCTGGTGGAAAGTCGAGCCTCTCAAAATCATCCGGGGTAATCTCCACGTCGCTCATCTGCAATTTTGCATACACATGCTCCATCGTTTCCAAAGCTAGGTGCGGGTCTTGTCCGTCCCCATCACCCAGCCATATGACAGTGTTTGTTGCATGAGTGTAGATCAGCCCCATCAAAGGTATTTGCTGTTCTTTCTCGCGAGTGTCTGTTTGGTTGATGCAGATCTGGTCTATCCACAGAAAAATGCTCTCTTCAAGGGATCGCAGTCGGAACAAAGCCGTTGCTAGACTGCTGGTGATTGGCACAGACCTTGCCGCAAATCGTACGGATTGGTTGAAGGTGGGCTCACCCCAAACATAGCTAAGGGCTGTGTACCAGAATGGCTGACTAGTCCCAAGCGATATTGCGTGATTGGTGAGTCGTGTGGTCGACTGGTCACTTGCTCTTGCGAGATGTGTAAAATCTATGCTGGCAATGTGTAGGCTTCCCTGCAGTGGCGCATCGCGCTCGCCTGGATAAAGCTCCAGAATGCGAATCTCGCCCTGGGTAAGTGGTTGATACAATTCAAGAGAGAAGGAGCGTTGGAGCCGGCGTTCGTCCCCTTGGTCATGTTTGCGACTGATAAAGGCTTGAATTGTGGCTTGGTCGTGTTCGTCAAAGTTTCCGTTCTGGTCATCAGGGCCACGGGCTGTAGCAGGCTGGAATGCTGAGGCGGTCGAGAAGACTTCCAGGTCCCATGATCGGTAGCAATTACAGGCGGCGCCTAGCGGGCAAATTTAGTGTCAGTGGCGAGAGCAATTTGAGAAAGAGCGATAAGGGCCGTACTACCTGGAGTCAACACGTACGCGCAATCGCGTGCATGCTGGACGGGTCCGTCTAGGAAAGGAGGAGCCCATTCTTCGTTGGCCATGTTCTCAGAACTGCGCAATGTTCAAAGTAGCACGCTGTTGAAAAAAACTGTAAAATTCTGACGTTGCAGCATAGCCAAGCGAAACTTGGCCGGGTCACATCGGGTGCTCAAGGAGGAAGTCACGAAGAAACACGTGGAGCAGAATCAAATGTGACAAAAGGCATGCTTGTCAAATTCAGTGCGCTTCCAGGTACTCGTCGCTGTTGGAGGAAGATGCTCAAGCCAGGCCGGAGAAGTGGAGGATGCCGTGGCCTTTTGCTTGCTTGCCGCCCTTGCCCTTCCTCCTCTTCTTGCGCTTCTGCTTCGGCTCGTCATCCTCACTGCTTTCCTCCATGTCCTCGTCGCTGTCCTCGTCTTCATCACTCTCGTGCTCGCGTTTACCATTTGCGGGAGCTTCTTCCTCTTGCTCATCCTCGTCGTCCTCGGGGACGTCCTGCCAGGTCTTCTCGCCCCATATATTCAGCTTCTTTCCACCGCCGCTGACCATCCTGCCCGTGACGTCGAATCCAAGTCCGATGACGCCTTCCTGACGCAGTTCATCATGCTTGAGCTCGTCAATGATCTTGTTCGGCCCGAGCTTGACGAAGCGCAGAGAACCGTCGCCCAAGCCCACAGCGGCAATTTTTCCACCAGGTCCAACACCGTCCGGAAGCAGGGCGATGACATCCAAGCTCTCGCCACCTCCCTTGGAGCGATCGATGGTGATGCGCTCGTCCTGGTCGTCCCACACGCCGCGCTCCCACAGTGTCAAAACGCCATTGCCGCCGCCCACCAGCACCTTCTCGCCGACGCTGGTGCCCTTCTTCGACAGGCCCGTGACCATGACGGAGCTGAGCAGCTCCTCCTCCTGGTCCTCGCTACGCACCATGACGCCTCTGCGCAGGTCGGTGACAGCCAAAGTGCTGCCTCCGGTAGTGACCCATTGCTTGCTGAAGCCGCTGGTGCTCGCCTCGGTGGGTGGCAGAGGCGTGAGGGAGGAGACGTAGTCGTCGTGTGGGCGGTGCGTGGCCTGTGGCTTGAATGCCGACTTGGCGCCCTGATCGCGGATGTCGTAGATGTGCAGCGCAGACGAGTCGGTGCCGAGAATGAGTGATTGCGGCGAGAGGGCGTGGACGAGGGTGGGCGCATCGATGCCGCCGTTCGCTCTGCACACAGTCAGCAAATGTGCTGTATCTTGGCAGCTACCGCAGTGAGGCTTACAGATCCAGCGGCACGGCGAACTTGGCCGTAACACGACCGGTTGTCGTGTCTGCGACCTTGACGATGCCATCCGTGCCTGCCGAGTACAGCGACGAGCCGTCGACACTGAAGGCCAACGTCCTGCAGCTTCCCTTGTGCCGCCGCGTCTTCCACGTCGTCGCTATGTGTCCAAAGCCTTTCTCCGCAGCCAGCGCCTCGTCCGGGTCGCTGTCGTCGCTCGCGCCTGGCGGCAGTCGATACGTCTGGACATGCCCAGAGGCGAGTCCAACCGCGACGATTGGCTCTTCTGGGTGGATCGCCTGCGCGAAGAGATCCGAGTCCAATTGGAGCGCGCACAGGTTTTCAAACATGTTTGCTGTCGTTGGTGCTGCCGCGGATGGCTCGACTTCTCAGAATTGAAGCTCCAACTTTTTTGTGGAGCTAATGCGGACCACCGAAGGGCAGGTGTAGCCGAGTCTTGGAGACCGGTCTGCAGTAATTAGCTGATGCTGCACGTGACGTCGTATCTCGCCCGCATCACGTTTTGCACTGATTGGCTGCCAGCCTTACACTGTCTACTTTTTCGCCGCCTGCATCCACACCTCGGAACGCCTTCGACATTTTCAATACACATACCTATAAGAACCTCGTCGAGTTCCCGTCATGGCGGGACCGGGTCGTCGACATTCCATTTATCCGCACATGCAACCCTAACGTTAGTCATGCATGCTTCCATGTCACGTGCGTTCCTGTATGGCCTTCTTGCTGCCACGGGCGTCAATGCCAAGTCCACCCCGAAGCACCTTGAGTATAGCGTCGTGACTGGTCTTTTCCTCCAGGACGAGAACACTACAACGCCATCGGGATTCGACTTCATTGGTACAAACTTTGGTCTGATCAACCGTACATATCCATCCGATCCCAGCTGTCCTGACGACAAGAAGTCGACGCAATGGCAGCGTCTGGCTCACTACATTTCCACCTTGAATAAGAGAGGCCCGGAGAATGAGCGCTATGCTTTGCTCTTCATGGGCCGCCATGGCGAAGGCTTCCACAATGCGGCGGAAACGTATTTTGGTACTCCAGCTTGGAATTGCTACTGGAGCGAACTCGACGGCAACGGCACTACCACTTGGGCTGATGCCAAGTTGACCACCACAGGCGTCCAGCAAGCAAACCGAGTCAACGCCTTCTGGGCTCACCTTCTCAAAGACGAGAACATCTCTGCGCCTCAGAGCTACTACACCTCTCCCTTGTATCGCTGCCTGGACACCGCTCGCCTAACATTTCAGGGTCTGCCTTTGCACGGGCATTCCAAGTTCGAGCCCGTCATCAAGGAGCTCCTGCGCGAGGGTATCAGCGCACATACGTGCGATCGCCGCAGTACCAAGTCTTACATCAAGAAGAACTTCCCAAAATTCAAGTTCGAAAAGGGCTTTCCTGAGGACGATCCATACTGGACCCCACTGAAAGCCGAGCCCAGTGCTAATCAGGATATTCGAAGCAAAGCGCTGCTAGATGATATCTTTGAGAACGACGATGCGACGTACATTTCCATTACATCCCATTCTGGCGAGATCGCTAGTCTGCTGCGCGGTAAGTCACCCCGAAACCGGTTCAAATTGGCTCGATACTAACGTGTAATCAGTCCTTCGCCACCGCACTTTCAGCCTCAGTACTGGATCTGCCATCCCGGTTTTGGTCAAGGTGACGACGGTGAAAGGCAATGCGCCGCCCAGCAGTACAGTGCCATGGAACTCACAGAAGACGTGTGCTGCACCTCCCCCGATTAGAGATTCGAGTTGCAATGATTGCTCGTGCTGTACTTGAGTGGTACGATAATGAAGGTAGCAGAGCATGTGTCTGCCAAGATGTAGGATGCGATCGGATGGGCATCATGGGAGCAGCTTTCCATGACGCATGGCTGGGTCGAGAACGTAATTTTGAGAATTGTAATGCTTGTCTCCCTAGGTCAGTCTCGACTTTCCTGGTTGCTTAGATGAGGCTCATCTCGGTCCAACGCAGATGACAGTCCCGCCATGGCGGTTCATCCGTCGATAGTCAGTCCAGCTAAAAAGACTCACCTACCTGTCTATTGCGGACACAAAGTGAAATCCACGATTGGACAGTTGTATCACTACCCACTTGCACGCTAGCACCACTGAAGATTAACGCGAACGTTCAGGGACTTTCCATCGATTTCAAGCCCATTCAATGGCGAACACTGGCGGATATCCATAGCTCGGCTAGTCTGCAGGTCCTCCCGTGTAACCGCCACAAAATCTCGTTTAATATATGAAGAAAGCTCAACAAGCTCTAACGCTCACAACGAACAGCAAAATACTTGCACAGTGAAATTCCTTCGGTATATACGGGACATCTCACATGAGCTGCTATGTACACACCAAGTGTGTATGCAGCCCATTAACCTCGCCTAAACGGAACGGGAATTTGTTACTCCCCGTGGACGGTGCAAGTGTCACAGGATTGGCGTCTTCGGACCGTTCAGCCGTCTTTTGTCGCCTCATCAATCTTGACATCTATCAGCAATACAAGCTCACTATACTACTTGCGTGCTCTTACACATGTATACCCTCGTTGAAACGAGCTGCGCGCATCGTAATTGAGCTCTGTATGCTGTTGGGACAGTTCGGAGGCTATCCGTGCTTACCATATGACCGAGATGCATGCGCACTTTGAGGCCCTGGAGCATGGAAGGGAATTCGATATGTACCTGCAATCGCCTCGATAATGCGAACTCCTGGAACAACTTCCACTGCAATACTTCATCCTATCTATCTTTCCTCTGGCGACACCAAAGAAGCATTATCCAAGCTCGAACCGTGCCAACCACATCGCAGCTACGCAGTCGACAGTCTCTAGTAGTGCACGTTGAAGCGGGTCTAGGACACCAAGCGGCGGCTCATCGGGACGTAATGGGCGTGACGCTATCCAAATTGTGGGCCGCGATCAGAGGCGCGTTGACGGGAGGCGCGCCTGCTGGTACAAACAGCCAACAACAGCATCACCAAGATACCATCACCATCGCCAAAGACGTCGAGAGCGCATCGCATTCGCCTACGACGACCACGGAAGCTACAATGCCTGAAGTTAAGAAGTGGGAGATTACTGAGGTACGTTTTGAGCTTGCGGCTGATGTGGGGTGGGATGGTGGGGGAAACATCCAAACACCCCGCTGAGGTCATGGTGGGATGAGGCTGGAAGCGTGTAATGTGTTCGCAGTCACGTCGAGTGGTGTGAAATACACATGATGGGAGTGAACTCTTCAGGCCACTTCCTCACATGTTGTGGCATCGAGACATGCAATCTCCATGTTAAACGTCTTTGTTGAGTGTTAGGCGGATCAGCTGGTCGTTGATCGCAGTACTCAAGGACCAGAACCCTATGAAATGGGACATTTGTCGAACTAAAACAACTAAATACTGACGATTATCTAGCCATGGCTTCGCATGAATTGCTCGCTCGGTGAGGGTCCATTCTGGGAAGACGACACAAACACACTTCGCTTCCTGGATGTGGAGAAATGCAAAGTTCATCGCGTTGATTTGAACGTTGGACAATCGAGTCTCAAAGTTATTAAGGACTTTGATATCTCAATAGGGTATGTACCCTTGGATCAAAGCAAAAACTACATCGACTGACAAACTACAGGTGCACAGCAGACATCGAAGGCAACCCTAGCGAATTCGCCTTCGCTGGTAAATACGGCTACGGCATCGCCAACAAGCAAACGGGCGAATACCGCTGGATCAAAAAAGTATGGTCAGAAGATGAGATCAAAGCTGGCAAACACGAGAAATACCGCGGCAATGACGGTGCCGTCGACTCGCAAGGCCGCTTCTGGGCTGGCTTCATGTTCGACCCCCTAGTCTCTGACTGGGACGAGCACGGCGCCCTCTTCCGTCTCAACACGGACGGATCTCTCGACCGGCCATTGAGCGACATTGCCATCCCCAACGGCACAACATGGAACAAGGACGACAACAAGATGTACTGGGCTGACAGCCCCACGAAAACGATTTTCCAGTTCGATTACGACCCCAAGACCGGCGAGATTACAAACAGGCGACCTTTCTTTACGATGCCAGAAGATAACCGCTATGGCAAGGACGCTGTGCCAGACGGCCACTGCATCGATGAGGAGGGATTCATGTGGACGGCACTACATGGCGGATCTCATGTCCTCAAGATCTCCCCGGAAGGCGAGATCGTGGGCGAAATCAAGGTTCCAACATCGCAGCCCACCTGCCCTTGTTTCTGTGGCGAAGACCTTGTTATTACCAGCGCGGGTGGCACGAGCGGAGAGGGTGGCAAGGGTGTGGACGAGTTTGCTGGCAGTGTGTTCAAGATCAACGTCGGGGTACGGGGACTGAAGAGGTTCAAGTACAAGAGTGGCGCGTAGATTTAGTCTGGGAAGGGAAAAATCGCAAGGCTGTTGGCGGATAAGCAGGAACTATAGCTTGAGTGATGTAGCAAGTATGGGTTTTCTTCCATCTTATGGAGAATAGCATATATAGTCCAGGAGCAGAACCGTGAATTCTGAAAACATAGTCGATTGTCCAGCATAGAGAGAGGAACGCCTGCGACTCTGCCACAACTTCTAACACACCAAGGTCGAGACGCCCGAGCACTCTTGTGTGACAAAGCACGAGGCTTTAACCACTACACACCGTCCGACAAGTGATGCATATGCGCAACCACATCGCTCGATAGAGGCACAAACTCTGCCCCCTAATTTCATTAATAAGGGAAATAGGCCGGGTCGTCTTGCGTCGGTTTGTGGACGCATTTATGGCTGATCCAGTCACCTAACGCACACTATCAGTCTTCAAAGAACACGCACATGCAGTCCGCACACCCCAACTTACACTTGAAGCCCACGCCGTCAATCCTGCCAATGGCTTCACAGTTCAAGAACGGCCTCCATTCCAGCCTCTTGGGCACCATGGGTCCCCTCTCACACATGATGACCTGGTTGTAGTCCGGAGCTATGTATGCATCAGCGCCTGCACCGACGAGGTATATGGGGGTTTTTACGCACAGCAAGTTAAAGTGCCGACGTCTGCATCGGTTCGGCAGGCTACGCCGCCGTCGACGTGTCTCGCGGAGGCGCAGGCGGCAAGTAGGCACGCGAGGAGGGCGAGGGAGAATTTCATGTTGTGATGTGATTTTGTTTTCGGATGCATTACTGTCCGGTAAGAAGTTGGACAAGTAGTAGTTGTAGATATGAGAGCAAGGAGTATTAATTTTTTTCTATGTCATTTGGGAAGTAGCACGAAGAACTTCTCCACTTCCAACTACCGTGGTACTGTGGTCTTTGGTCTTCAGGCTCTAAGCAATATCGTGTACCAGTTGTGGAATATTCGCACCTGTTTCAAATCCGATTGGCGGAGTTTGAAAGTCCACGTTCAAAAATTCCTCTTTTGGGCATCTACTAGGAATCTTGGTAGGCCTAAGAACTGGATTTGAAGACGAATTATAAAGATGAGAACACGTGTTCGTTCAAAGCGCTTTATGCTGGTATGTTGAGTCTTGATGATATCCACCATGACTCTAAATACATGTGCACACTGATAAGTCAGTAAAAAAGTGAACTAGATACAGATAGCAAGCATATCGCCAGTTCTTATCCTTATTAACCATGCGTTGGTATATGTACTGATTTACACACTCGCGTGGCAGGTGCTTCAATTAAGAAAAATCTCGGCCGAGTTGGTGCTTGTGCTCAGCCGATTATTTAGCGTACCATACCTGTGTCTGCTGCACATTACCAGCCACGACGGAAGATACACACGAATTCACTGTTCTCGCTAATGAGCTCAAGCTCTACACAGTATGGCGAGGTGTGACGTAAAGACTCTGTGTATATTTTAGGCTGTCGAACGGAGTGCCTGCTGCTGCACTTAGCTCGCTATTCATGGTCGGACTTGACAACCTGCAGTGTAATGTCCATGGCAACCATGCAGCACTTGTTTGCCAAGTCCATGTGACGTGGGAGCATTCCCTCTAAATCGCGGCTGTATTGTAGAAGAGAGGGACCGGATTAGTGATCGAGTGGTTATATAAGATCCGCGGAACTAGGATGTGCGACGCGTGATGGACGGCCGCTCACTGCGCGCTCGTAAGACAGGGTCTCGACTGTGTCTGTTGTTCGAAGCTAATGTTCCACGATCCTGCAAGCAAACCACGGCAGATGCTCCGCTCAGACGAATGCGCAGGACAGTGACGTCAAACGTCGTGAGCGATAGCGAGAGTCTCGAAGAATCGAAGCGCATCCATGGTGTTACCCGAGTGGAGCCTATGTTTCAGGACTGAAAGGCCGGCGTTGTACAGCAGCTCCAGAAGTTCCACAGCAAACAAGTGTGCAGTCCGCGGAGTGATGTCCGCACTCCTCCGCTACAATTTATCCGGCAGCGATGTTGCCGCATAAGTTGTATGCGGTCAGAATCTCGGAGATGTCATGAGGAACGGCCGTGACCCATGGCGCACGTGAACTTTGTTGACGAATGCGTGCTGATCGTGCTTTATGGCATGTAGTATACAGTAGTGCTCACTCATCGTACGAAGAATTCTGAGCATGACACAAGGCGTGCTTGTATCCGTGCTTTCTGGAGGGGGAACCGAAGGTGACATGCTGACCAAATCCAAACTAAGGATGCAGAGGTATCCTTACACGACGTGGCTATGGCTATAGACATAATCAACCCTAGTGTGGTGCGAAAGGAACATGCGGGTCTTCAAGCAAATGCATGCTTATACACTATGGTGTTTCTCCCTTCTGGCCGCGGCTTTTGAGGATCCAGCCTGTTGATTTAACTATCGTACGAAGACAATCAGGTCGTTCAATCGGTACCACTCCGTACGGATGTTCTGGATGTGGCATGATGGTACAATCTGGTTCTGACCCAGTCGCAGGATCCGGAGCACCGGTAGTTGAGTCGTGAAGCTGCGATTCAATATTGTGGGCCGGAGATTGGCCAACTGCCGAGTTTCCTGATACTAAGGCGTGCCGGTGCTTTTCGAGCATGATCTCCCACAGTGATGTTCAGCATGATCAGCGCGCCAAGTGCCTCCTGTCAAGCGCGGATGGCCATCAACACCAAGGCCTGGTGCCAGACTAATTGCGATAGCCTACCGGTTGGTCCAAGATGGCTTGGATATGAGAGGCGACGGGAGAGCACCGACATGACGGCTCGGAGCTGGCTCCTATGCCCTCGACAAGCTCTGCTGCGACACCAAAGCTCCTGAGCTGAGTGAGCGCGATTGGACGGACATCGGCCCTTAGCGTGTGATGGTTTTTGCAGCCCGTCCACGTCCAGACTGGGAGTCGTGCATCGTGTGCCCAAGCGGCCACTAACTGTGTGCACCGTTGCCTCATGGAGAGGGGCTGCATGGACATCTTGAAGAAAGTTCAGATACGGTCTTCAAGGCCATCCGAGAATCTTGTCCGCAGACCATGCATCGTTTGGTTCAAGTGTAAGGCGTAGACCGATGTAGGAGTAGGGGGTGGAGAGCTTGCAGGACGAAGAACCAATTCCAGCTGCGCATGATGCGGGTTATCTCCGTGCCTGACCAAATGCGGTTAAGCTCCACGTGGATCCACCGCGACAGGGAATATTTTGGAAGGTCCTTCGGACGACCATGGCTGTATGTGGACGTCAAGAGACAATCTCGCGACTCGTGTGTCCAAGCTGACTCTGCCCGCCTGCTGCACGCGACGCGGGGCCACCACAATGCGTCCAAGAGCTCAAGATGCACGCAGATGCAGACGATATTTTCGTTCTCCCGACGATGAAAAGACGCGCGGGAATGTCGTTGCACGAAAGTGTAGAACTAGCTGCTTCGAGTAACATGTTTCGTCCCCACCATTGGTTTGCGACCCAAGAGCGAACACATTTAGCTGCCGAGGTTGGCTTCGTGCGGTTCATGCACACTTACCCAAACGATGCGCGAACGGCTAAACACCCTCTTCGGCCAGGTCCTTGCCCTGAAACGAAACCACGCTTACAGCCGAATGGTTGAGAAGCTGGGTCCCAGTGCACGGCAGGGGCCCACTTCACGTGGCGACTGGCAAGGCCCGCCGTCATGGCCCACAGCTGCTGCAAATATGAAAGAATACCATCCCTCGAGAAGGGCCTTCCTGGTCCTGGGGTTTCCCGATTACCTCGTTGCGAACTGCGTACGAACACCAATATGTCGATCCCAAATCGAGGTCCGGAACTCCTTGGAGTGAACATTGCCTTTGTGGCAACTGCTGTCCTGGCCTACATGTTGAGGGTCTTCGTCCGGGTGAAGATGGTGAAGGCTTTTGGTTTTGACGATTGGTTGATGGGAATGGCCATGGTACGCCGTATATGCCTCGAGTTGTTTTGACATGTCTAACCTGGCCAGCTGTTCATGCTCTTCTATGTAATATCATCTAATATCGGGATACAATACGGCACCGGGCGTCACCACCGCGACCTGTCCAAGAAAGACATCGAGAGGGCCAGACATTGCTGGTGGTTCTGCTATATCTTCTACAGCTGGGCCATGATCTTCGCGAAGCTTTCCATTGGATATCTGCTCCTCAGGATCAGTATCAAGCGTATACACACCTGGATCCTGTATCTCGCCATGCTGACTTCGATCGTGGCCGGCGGTGCATTCTTCTTCGTTGTCGTCTTCCAATGCTGGCCGGTGTACAGGTTCTGGGTCGATCACGACTTAGCCGTGTGCGTCAGTAACGACTTGATCGTTGGCCTGGCCTACACCTACAGTACCTTCAGCATCATCTCAGACTTCACTTTCGCCATTATTCCTGGATTCCTCGTATGGGACCTGCAGCTAAAGCGGAGAGCAAAGGTTGCTCTGGTCCCACTTATTACCATGGGCTGTATCGCAAGTGCTGCTGTCATTGCTCGCCTTCCCTTTGTCCGCTTCTTCAATTCGCCCGACTTTCTCTGGGCTACCACCGATATCGCTATTTGGTCGACCGTTGAGCAAGGACTAGCTATCACTGCAGGTAGCCTTGCCACCTTGCGACCACTATTTTTCCTCGCCATGCACCGCTTGGGACTCTCAACTCAACGACCTTCCTACGGCGGAAAGTCTAATCCGATCAATGCGATGGGTGGTGCTTCGAGCAACCAGAAACAAGACAGTCTACGTCCCGACGTTTACAAGTTATCTACAGTGGTGGAAACGCGGAAATCCAATGACTCTGGTCACAAGAATAACGACAAATATTGGTATGACGGCGCTCTGCCCCAGGTCCCACCCAAGGAATCTAAGAAGCTTTCTAAGAAGCATCAAAGCGACAACGAGAGTCAGAGGAGCCTGAAGATGAAGAGCTCTTCTGCGAGTAGTGATGACGAGGACCCAATGCAAATCATGGTATCCAAGTCATTCTACATTACAGACGAAGAACGATCCTTGGCGTCGCGTGAGACACCTTATCGATGAGAGGGACGGATGCGCAAAAGTAATAATTTCGACGATATACCCATGTATTTTACTACGCGGCTACCATGGCTATGGGCCCAACAAAAGCCCGCTTGCTACCTAATACGACCTCTACAACAATGTCTTCTCCTTCCGCCACAGCTACACCTCCAATGTGAAGAACGACTATGGATCAATCCAGGCATGGTCATGCTGCCATCGACCTATCTCAGAAGATCTCTACGCTATCAGCTTGGCGGTCCAGATTGGGATTCCAGGGCTAGGAGAAGCAAAGAAGTCGCGGACTTACTTCGCTGCTCATGACTAGGTCGGAAATCAGGATAGGCGCGGTCCGAGACGCGAAACCAAGGTTGAACAGACGGCGAGCAACGTACCGGTCACTAAGGTCCGGCTCGAGCGGATTGTGGGTCTTGTCAGCTTCGAGACTCCAAGCTATGACTAGTGCAAGTGGAGGTGAGAAGCTTTACGGGTAGGAGAAATGCCGATCGCCTGGATTGGAGGAAAATGAATCCCAATACAAAATTACCATAATGTACATTACCTAAACCACGGTCCAGTGTCAAAATCTACAGATCAGAATAGTGAACCACGCTTAAATCAATTAGCTTCAAACCTAATGGGTCCGAGAAGTCTTCTTAGAACCACCTAGCTTTCTCCCTTATCACTTCAACACCCGCAACGCAGGGCCATCCTCGGCTTTCTTGATCCTGCGTTCCACATACCTTTCTCCAATCACGATTCATGTGGGCTCGGCAAGCGGTACTTTTTCTTCACTAGCCAGATGGACGGGTGCGGAACCTCCCCTTCAGCGCGTAGCGCCACCGGCTGCGACGTGGCGATACCGATTGCGGTGATACAGGTCCGCCTGGGGGCCGCGTTACGAGATTCCGAATCAGGGAATTGCGGTTCAGTCTCCACGATTTAGACTCAGCGCATGAAGTTTAGAGCAACTCCATGACAAAGTACCATGTACTTTCAGCATGCACTTTTCACGCACATGTCTGATTTTCTTTTGTTGCGGCGGCCTGTGGTCCACTGCGGATACATGTCCTCCGCTTGTGAGGTCAGATTTCTACAGGGTACTCCGATATGATTCTTAGCTATGCTGGACATGGTCGGGCTGTACTCCCCCTGTACGGAGTCATGCTTGACAGCAAGATTCAAGATGCTGCATTCTAGAACATGCAGGAGGAGTGGATTCGGAACGTATACACAGCATATGTTACTGGGCCAAAGTCTCGCATGATCATCATTGTGCCTTCAGGCCGCATCCTCTTTTGGCAACACTGGACGATTTGTACCTTGCTGCCATGTGTATACATTGCCTATCGAATTCATCTTGCGCAGCCCAGTCATATGCTTTTTGCTCAAAGGGTTACAGCGCGTGGAGAAGCTTCGACCTGGAATATGCAGTACCTCGAATGAAACTGGATTGATGTGTGTAGGTGCTTGGAGGACTGATTCCTATGCTCGAGTTGTTGATTCGTGCTAATGTGGTGAGTCTTGTTTGTATGTACGATAAATATGACGAGGAAGAAGATGCAAAGTACGAAGCAACTTCAGAGCAGAAGAACGAGGTGCTGGTGCAAAAAAAAAAAACGTCCACGTCCAAAGAGGTAGCGAGTGGTAAGTTAGAGCGGCATTTCACAGTGACAGAACTTTGGGCGGACACAGGGTGAGGTTGCGATGTATGAATTTCGATGGGTATCTTAAAGTATTCGCACTTGGCTGCTAAAGGGTCTCAAGCACGAGTAGCTTCCTTTTGCCTTTTGTTCTCTTCCTCTTGTGGCGTTCGTGTTGTAAGCTGCAGTGCATGAATGCCGCCTTCTTGTGCCAGTTCATCTTTCATGAGTGTGTTGACCATGCGATGCCGCGCCAGTTGCATTTTGCCTTCGAAAGCTGAAGACGTGATGACGAGACTACATGTGTATGTGTTAGTTTTCATCACAGTCTTTTACGTGTTCCTTGTCGTTGCAGCATACCGAAAGTGCGTCTGTGTAGTGTTAGCAGTAGCTAGTTAAGTACAGCGCAATACCTATACCTCTCTGCTGGTGACTCCTTGCATGGCTTGATGGTGTGCGTGCTTGTGTGAGTCGTTAAAGATCTGTAGGGTCGAAGGCTTCAGCGCATCCGTAATCTGCACGACAGTCAGTATACATATACAAAGACAAATCGCCTTGTGCCGAAACAAGTCCGAGGTCATGAGCTTCCCTTTGCCCGCAACGCGTCCTCCATCGGCGTGACGGATTGCGACATGGCTGACATATAACGCTTTGCAGCGACGGCTATATTTTGTCTAAACATTCAAGGATGAATGGATCAACTAGGCTAGCCTGTTCGGGAACCAAAGAGTGTAGGTCAGAGTATTCAACGTTGGTGTGCCTCGGTGATGTGGGCGCGAGCGCCAAGATATTTCGGAATTCTTTTTGGCAGCGATGCCGTCACCGTCCACTGTTCGCGAAATTGTCCAACTACCATATAGTTCAATTGAAAGCCAACATGGCTTGTGCATCATAGGGCGTCGACCGCATCTATCCAAAGACTACACTGAAGCTCTGCGAACCCTGTCGACGATGATTGCTGCATAGCAAGGTCGACAGACGCGATCCTACCGTTTGAGCGACACCGGCAAAAAGCCAGCACCAATTGCCGTAATCCGAGGCCTTGCTTCCGCGTTGGATGCGCTGATCCTGGACGCTTCAATCGCCATGTGGGCTCGAAAGTTGTTCTCTCGCACTCTGACTAAACACAAAATATCTCTGTCACACGATCCCACCCATGGTGTAAGCTACTGTCGTCCCTGCACCTACACATCTTTCAGAACCGTCAGAATGGCATCAACACTACCCCGCCTGCCCATTTTCGAAGCCATAAAAAAACACGATGCGCAAAGCACCGCTGTTGTACATTCCCTATCTGGGCGCACATTTACCTACGGAGAGTTGGTAAATGATGTTGCAGCTGCGAAAGACAAGTTGCAGAGGAGCACCAACGGACAAAGTGCGGAGGGACAGAGAATCTCCTTCTTGGTGGAAAATGGCTACGATTATGTAGGTGCGCATTCAATTTCTGCCCGTCCTAACCCACTCTGTATGCAGGTGTTGACAGTCTCACAGTGACCCTACTCTCCATCCTCGCCGCGCATGCAATCGCCGTCCCACTCTCACCGACGTTCCCTGCCCATGAGCTACGATACATCATCGACCAAAGCGAGTCGCTCATGCTTCTCTCGTCCGAGAAGTTTCAGAGTCAAGCCGACGATGTGTTAAAGGAAGGCATGGAAACGAAGCCAATCAATTACAAGCAGGAGAAGATCATGATGGGAAAGACTGACGATTATGTCACTCTGGAAGAACCTACGAGTGAAAAGGGTGGCATGATGCTGTACACATCGGGGACAACGAATCGACCGAAAGGCGTGCTACTTCCTCAGGATGTACTGACAGCTCAGTCGAGGTCGTTGTTGGAAGCTTGGAATTATACCAAGGATGACGTTCTTCTACACGTTCTACCGCTACATCACATCCACGGCACAGTCAATGCGCTTCTGACACCCTTGTTTGTGGGAAGCACCATTGAATTCCAGTTTCCCTTCAACGCAACGGCAGTGTGGGAAAGATTGGCGGCTCCTTTCCTTCCGAACCCCGACCCAGCGAAGAAACCTATCACTTTCCTCACAGTTGTGCCGACGATATACACCCGTCTGCTGTCTTCGCATTCCACTCTATCTCCCGAGATGCAAGCTGCTACAAAGACTGCTCTTCACCCATCGAACATGCGCCTGAACATTTCCGGATCGGCCGCACTCCCTACACCTGTCAAATCAGCATGGACAGAACTGAGCGGCGGTAACGTTCTTCTAGAACGCTATGGCATGACAGAAGTCGGCATGGCACTTTCATGTGGCCTCTCTTTTGCCGACCGTGTAGACGGCTCAGTAGGCTGGCCCCTCCCCTCGGTGCAAGCACGGCTCGCAGACACCGAGACGGGCGAGATCATCCAAGAAGGCGAAGAGATTGACCCAGCCACGAACCGCGAACGACAGGGCGAGATCCAACTCCGCGGCCCCACGATATTCCGAGAATACTGGAAGAATCCCGAAGCCACGGAGAAGGAGTTTGTCGAGGGCGATGATGGCGCGGGCAAGTGGTTCAAGACCGGCGACGTTGCGGTTCGACGATACGTGGATAGCGCAGGGAAAAGCGAACAAGCATGGGCTAAAGGACCGCTGTATTTTATCCACGGGCGCAAATCAGCCGACATCATCAAAACCGGCGGAGAAAAGGTGTCCGCGCTGGAAATCGAGCGCGAGATGCTGTCCCTCCCACAGGTCTCTGAAGTAGCCGTCGTGGGTCTACCGTCGGAAGCTTGGGGCCAGAAAGTCGCTGCCGTCGTCGTGTTGTCTGAACAAGGCAAGACGGCAGGGAAGGGCGGGAAGCAGTGGTCTGCGCTGGACATGAGGAGGGCGCTCAAGGAGATCCTGGCGAATTACAAGATTCCGCAGGAGATGAAGGTGGTGGATGTGATACCGAGGAATGCTATGGGGAAGATTAATAAGAAGCAGTTGGTTATTCAGATTTGGGGGGAGCCGCTGGATGCTGCCGAGGGCAAGGGGAATGGAGCGGTTCAGGTGCCGAATGGAAGTGTATGATTGGGTACATGTAAGAGATGGCAATTTTTGTTAATACATTGTGAACTAGACTTTTTGTCGTGTATGTACTAGGTAGTTCAGAGTCTGGGTGCGTAGTGCTGGACAATGTGGCTGTCAATGAAATGAGTTCGCTCCACGGCATGCTCGCTGAGGTGCACTGGATCAAAATTTGCCTCGACCAGAAGCGCTGGGTGAATTCTAGGCGTGATAGACAATTGAAGCTTCCTCACACACTGAGGTGGTATGTTGTATTGTTCCATGTGTCCATAGTTCCCGTCAGCATATTGAGCCGAGAGTACGCTCTACACAATCGGAGGGGATTACCGCAGCGGTGAGTGATCTCTTGGACTCACTAGCCGTTGCGACAATCGCCTTCACCGACGCGAACATGGGAGTAATCTGAGCCGCGGAGTCGGCACGGTGAGTCAAACAAGGCTGCGATACTCGTGGTAGCGGTGAAGCTTCGGCTGCCGCTGTGCATAGCATGTCAAGAATGACGATCAAGAAGATGCAGTGTAGCATTTCAAGGTTTCCATGTCCATATATTGTTCCCCTGTGTGAACGTCATGTCTAAATGACTCCACAAACTAGATACACCATCCTTCCTTCTAGTGCTCCGTCCTCTTCCCCCTTTGTACCCGAGGTCTACAACTTTGCCGCAACAATGGTGCTATTTGATTTGGTAGTGAAGCCGCCATTAGCACGACGCCAGTACGTGAAGTGCGATCCAATGTCCGACAAGCCGGTGCCCTGATTGTTGACCAAGAGCCCTTCGCGAGCCATGAAGTAGGCGTAGCGGTGGATGTCGCCCGAGTCTTCCATCCATGGAATCACTTGGTCGAGGAAGCTCTTTTTTAGAAACTGTTAGCGTGTGGGATTCTGTCGAGTCTGGGAGTGACATACCTTGATCTCTGCATCGGTGCCCTGAGGACCGAGCTCGGTGATCCAGATTGGACGGCCGCCGGCAACGTCGCGCGCCCTGTTGATGTGGTCCTTGAAGTATTGGACGTTGTTGGCTTTGTCGTACCTAAACATTATTAGCTATGCGGAGACAATGGTCGGCATAGACTGACCAGTGAATGCAGATGAAGTCGATGTTGCAGCCGGCGCATTCCTTTACGAATTGACCCAGCCAGTCCAGACCCATGCCAGTTCCGCCGTTCGTAACGGCAGGAGAGCCAAGGTACATCTTCTCTTTGAGGGTTTTGGCAGGCTCCATGTGCTGCCGCCATGCCGCAACGGAGTCACTGACAGACATGCAGGCGCCACCAGATCCCATCCTACCGCCAAGTTAGTGAGAGCGAGAGACTCCAGAGCCTCGAAATTCGAGAGGCATAGACTCACCTGCAGTTGTCGGGCTCGTTGAAGGCGAGAAGGTGGGTAGGGTTGTCCTTGAAAATACCTCCTGCGTCCTTGATTGAGTCCCACCACTTCGAGGTGGAGCTGTCTTGGTTGCTCCAAAGCATCGGAATGAACTCGAAGGATGTATGTTGCTCCGTCGGCCTTGAGGCCCAGTTGTAGGACCAGCTCACCTGACCACCTGAATTCATAACATCGAAGTAGTTGGCGAATGGAGGATTGTTGTAGGCAACACCTCGACGTCTGCTCGGAGGGTCTTCCTTTGGAGCTGCTGCTGCTGTTCTAATCTCGCCAGTGATAGTACGTGCAGCTGCCAGTAGCGCGAGACACAAGGTCAAGAGAAGGAACTGCATGGTGAGCTCGAGAGTATGGTGATGAGGCAGACTCTAGAGCTGGAGAAGGAGTGCAATTGACCACGGACGAGCACTCCGTTGTTTGAGCGAATTTGTGAGATTGTGGAGGAGACTCAGTCGGGGAGGGGATTTATATGCGCTCCACATAGGCAGGTGCGCACCAACGTTCCTTCCTTTTCACTTTACCACAACCTTATCTGTAATGGCGGTGACCCGATACCGGAGGAGAGATTAGCTCGTGGACGAGATTCCAACGCATGTTACCTTTACCCAGTCGCCTCGAGAATAGCGGCGATGTTCCGGTCTGCGATTGCAATCGGTCTATGGAGCTGGAGGCCGAGTGATTGAGGAACGAGGTGCGCACGGAAAAAGATTGAGCAGCGAACAAGGCACGACCTTGGTTCAGGCAGAGTCATCATGTGAGGCCCGTGTGTACTCATACATACATTTACAATATCTTGGACATTTACATCTTTCCTCCCGTCAAGGCCTCGGCGACCTTGCGCACCCTCTCCTTGGCCAGACCGACTCCTTCCCCGCCCCTCAGCTTCTGCAGCATGTCGCCAACGCCCTCGGGCATAGGCCCATGCCATGGACTCAGTCCCTCTTTGCCCTCGCTCCTCAGGCCAGCATCGCCTCGGACATTCCACCCAACGGGCTGGTCCTCGGTACCAAACGCCTTCTCGATGGCCGCGTCCAATTGGCTCTCCTCGACGATGAACTCGCGTGCATTGACGTACAGATCGTGCAGCCGTGATGCACGAACAGCCTGCACGCGCGCCACGCGGCGCTGATAGGCTGTGCGGCGTTTGGGGATGTTGGTGCGGGACGATGTCGGTAGGGCATCGTCGAGGAAATCCCGAATGCCCTTCTGGATCGACGTCGACGTCAGCAGGTCCGTCTCGCGCGGCGGCGCAGTGGCTCGCTGCAGGCGGTCTGCATAGGTGGCCTGGAGCTTCGCCTGGAACTGGGCGTCTGTGGCGACTTTGCGCTCGTGCAACTGCTTGACACCCTCCTTCAGCGCAGCGCGCCGCGCCTCGGCCAGACGTTGCTTGTAGAGCTGGTACTCGGCATCTCTGCTGTGCGGGCCGGGGGCTTTCTGGGCCTTGGGGGCTTTGGTGGAGCGGTTGAGGAAGACGTCCGAGGCTTTGGGGTGCTTGTTGCGCGTCTTGAATATGTCTCGCGGCACGGGGAGGTGGCCTTTTACCTCGGGCTCGAGCGCAAAGGTGGGCTGGCGGGGCTTGGGGACGTCGATGTAGTTGGGCGACTGGGGGCCGAGGGCGAGTGTGGTGGGTGTCGAGGTGAAGGAGCGCACGCAGCGCGGGAGCGGCCCGTCCGAGCCATTGAGGGACGAGACAGCCGGCCGCGAGGCCCAGGGCGAGCGGACAGGTATCCGAGGAGGCATTGCGTGTGGGGGCTCTGTGTGTGAGTGCTCAGTACGCCCGCTGCGCTCGCTGCGGAGCTGGCTTCGGTGGTGTCGGTCGCGCCTGCTCGAATATTTCTGCCAAGCCGCTAGCGCCCGCCGCTGGAGAAAAAGTTCCGTCGCAGACTCGCCGTGAAGCTCTGCACTTGCACACCTCCAAGTCTCGCAAGGAAGCCGCCACCATGGGTACCCAGAAGAAAGAAAAGAACCGCAAGGAGCGCGAGGGCAAGACGGGCGATGGCATGGGCAATGTCAAGACCAAGGGCGAGAACTTTTACCGGTATGCATGCACCGCCTGTCGCAAACTCTGGTGGCAGAAAACTAACTCGCGTGCAGATCTGCGAAGAAGGTCAAGGTCCTCAAGCGCCTCACTGACGGCAAGGCCCAGCGCAATGCCAAGGGAGACATCACCAAGTCGGCCTCGTACCAGTCGCGCGAGGCCCCCGTCGCCCGTGTCGAACCCAACCGCAAGTGGTTCAACAACACGCGTGTCATCTCTCAGGATGCCCTCGAGTCGTTCCGCTCCGCCGTGCAGGCGCAGTCGTCGAACCCCTCGACCTACCTCATGAAGCGCAACAAGCTGCCCATGAGCCTGATCGAGGAGAAGGGCAACATCAACGGCCTCAAGGAACATGCCGCCAAGATTGCCGTCGAGTCGCAGCCCTTCAAGGACACCTTTGGCCCCAAGGCCCAGCGCAAGCGGCCCAAGCTGGACTTCAGCACCATCGAGGACCTCGCTGGCCGCACTGACACCATGCACGACACCTACCTCGACCGTCTCGAGCAGGCCAAGCTGCTGTCAGGCACCTCTGGCGATCCCGAGGCCGACAACGACAACCCCGACGGCGACTTTGCCCAGGCACGAGAGTTCATCTTCATGAAGGGTACTAGTAAGCGTATCTGGAACGAGCTGTACAAGGTTATCGACTCTAGCGATGTTATTCTGCACGTCCTGGACGCCCGTGATCCCGACGGAACCCGCTGCCGCAGTGTTGAGAAGTACATCCGCACCGAGGCACCTCACAAACATCTTGTCTTCGTCCTGAACAAGGTCGATCTCGTCCCCTCCAAGGTTGCAGTAAGTCAAGCTCCCCATCACTCCCTTCCATCTAGCCTACCTCCCTCCCTCGTGACCCCTCCTTAAGTCAAGGGCCATCTCCTTCTTCTATGAATTGGCTCTGTTACAAGTTGGGAAGATTGACGGCGACTCGCTCGCCCGCGGTCGTTTTGGCCAAGGGTAGACCGGCTTCCGTTTTGGTTGCTGGTCGCTAGAGTTGCAAAGTGATACGTTTTTGAGTTGAGGGCCGCCTCTGCCGATATATGTGCAGATAGGTGGCGGTTCTCTTAGTAACATTTCACACATTTCTCATCGTCGACCATGTTTTGTTTAGTTGCTGTAGCCGAGACTGACATGTTCGACAGGCTGCCTGGGTCCGACATCTCAGCAAAGAGTTTCCCACACTTGGTACGTGAAAAATTCGTCCTATACTTGAGCTGCTGTCTAACGTATGACAGCTTTCCACGCCAACATCAACAACAGCTTCGGCAAAGGTTCCCTCATCGCCCTCCTCCGCCAGTTCTCATCCCTCCACAGCGATCGCAAGCAGATCTCCGTCGGCATGGTTGGCTACCCAAACACTGGCAAGTCATCCATCATCAACACACTGCGAAAGAAGAAGGTTTGTGTCGTTGCGCCCATTGCTGGTGAGACCAAGGTCTGGCAATACATCACATTGATGAAACGTATTTACATGATCGATTGCCCGGGTATTGTGCCACCGAATCAGGACGACACCGATGAAGATCTACTGTTGAGAGGTAGTGTTCGTGTCGAGAACGTCGAGTACCCAGCACAATACATTGAGGCTGTACTTCGCCGAGTACAACCAAGGCATCTGCAACGGACATATGAGATCTATGATTACGAGGATGGGGTCATGTTTCTCGAGCAACTGTGTCGGAAGAGCGGCAGGCTTCTCAAGGGTGGTGAAGCCGACATTGACGGTGCTGCGAAGATGGTCTTGAACGACTGGATACGCGGAAAGATTCCCTGGTTCACTCCACCACCTTACAAGGAGGGCGAGGAAAATGCACCTGTCAAAGAAGGCCGCGAAGGTCGCCTAGGAGAGATGAGCAAAAAGAGGAAGCGAGATGGCGAGAGCGCGACCAACGGCAGTGTCGCAGCCACTACTGACACCACTGGTGCACCCCAAGACGATGCAGTTGACGAGGATGACGATGACGATGATGAGGACGACGAGTTTGGTGGCTTCAGCGATGGCGACGGGCTCGAGCTTGACGGCGATGATAGTGAGGACGAGTCTGACGAGGGTGGCGCGCCTGTCGATGACGAAGAGGAATCAGAAGACGATGCAGAGGTCGAGCAAGAAGTCGCTGCGATATCAGAAGCACTAGCAAAAGCAAAGAAGCGGCAACGGACGGCGTAGCTGCTGTGGCATAGATGACGATATAATGATACCCCATTCATGAGCGCACGAGAGCTTTGCAATCCCCGTCTGCGCGTTAACGCTGTTCTGCGTCAAAACGATGTCCTGTTCCTCGAATGATGGCCAATTGCCTTGTGCAACGGTCTGACCCGGGCGAATATCTCTCGACGTGCTATCGGCATGAGACTCTTCAGCAAGCATGAGCACTGAGCACCGATTTCTTCACCATGCTCGATTCGCATGTCTGACCATTGCTTTACCCCTACACACCGACCCACGTCCTGAATTTGTTGTACGATGTCCTATTCACTACAAAGACCTAGCAGCATAAATATCTACACAAACTCCAAACACCCATTCCTATTCGCGATCCGCTCATCCAGCACAATCGAGCGCACATGCCACTGCCCATCCCTCAGCAACTCGCCCTCAAGCCGCTGCCCCCCATCAACAAGCCTTAAATTCCTCGCCGACGCTCCGAAATTCCCTCCCCCACGGCTGCCTCCCCCCGGTACCTGCAGATTCTGGCCAGGGTAGATCATATCCGGGTTACTAATATTGTTATGGCGAGCCAGGTCTTCAAACGAGCAGTGGGCGAAGCGCGCAGCGATGGCGCGGAGTGTATCCCCTTGTTGAACAGTGTATGTGGACGCGCCGTTGCTCTGGCCCCCGGACCAGCGGAAACTGCCGCCGTCGTTTTCTAAGATGCTGTTGAGGCTGATGGTGCTTGCTTGGTAGGAGCCGTCAGCGCGGCGGCATTGGGCGTGCAAGTTAAACTCGCCATGGGAATCGAGGCGGATGTCTCGTGAGGACGCACTGAAGTTGGCGCCGAAGTCGGTGTGTTGGCGCTGATCTTGTGCGGGAGGATTCGCATGGTGTTGTTGTTGCTGCTTTTCTTGGTCTTTTTTCTCGTCGCGTTTGTCTTTCCAGTCGGATGCGGCGTCTTGGGCTTTGTGTCCCGTGTAGGCGCCTGCGAGGGCGCCGATGATGGTTCCGGACGTCCCGTGGCCTGCTTTGCCTCCGAGGGCGTGGCCGCCAAAGGCGCCTGCTGCACCGCCGGCTAGACCGCCCATGATGCCTCGATCACCTTCGGGATTGCCCTCGCCGTTGTACTGGTTCTGGTGGCCTTGGTTGTGGGAGTTGCGGCCGGAGTTGGAGGAATGGGCGGCGGCGGAGGGATACTGCTGGTATTGTGGCGGGGACTGCCCGTACCCTGAGTCTCCGAGATTCTGTTGTGCTTGCCCATTTCCTTGGTGAAGTGAGTCCTGATGTTGGCTGTAGCCTTGCTGCTGCCCGGCTCCATAGTACGACCCTGCTTCGCCGCGATGGTCTTGCTGGTAACCTTGAGATTGACCGTAGCCTCCGCCATTCTGGTGAGCCTGGCCACCACTGGGCGGATATTGGTTCTGCTGCTGGTAGTTATCATAGTTAGACATGATGTCAAGTTGCAGATAGGCCTATGTTGGGAATCCTGTGTACTGTAAGATCAAGGGTGAACTGAGTGCGCATGCAATCGTGAAGCATTTCACTTCTTATAGCATCGTCGTGCTGCCATACCCATGCAGACACCGCCACGTTCCCGACAATGTGGGGATCACACGTCGTAAGTGCGAGGCGCATCTCCACCTGAGCCACGTCTTCGGCCAAATAAGGGCGTGCAGTGTCTGTTCTGCGATCAGTGCTGCGGAAAACACGGCATTGTCGAGATTTTGAGCACAGCCACTTGTGACGACGTTCACTATAAAGATGAATCGACGGCGCGGACAGCACAAGAGCTTACATAGTGCAACATTCGTGGAGTAACGATACATCTGGGCATGTAGCTCCATCGATGCCTGTAGCGCGACATCTTGGTGCCTTGGCAGACACTTCCGATTCAAGAAACCTTCACCGTCCACATCTCGCGAATTGATAGTGCACGAACGAATGCCTCTAGTTATTCTACGACGTAGCCACTCTGTGTCCTTGATACCAGCGATTTATGTGTTGATTTCTCCAGATTGAGTTGTGTCGCATAGCATCGATTCTCCATCCTACCCAAAATTACATCTACTCTTATGTAGGACCGTTATGAAAACCACTAGAACAAGTTGGCAGCATACTCGACCTCTGGATAGCTTCCTGATTTGAGATCCGGCGCGCCTTCCAAGGTTACATTGTGGCTTGCCCAGGTGCATTTCGCCAGTCCTGTCCTGTCGACCCCGCGTTGTCCTACTTTCATCCTGCGTAATCCTCCAAAAACAGCAGTAATGTATGACATTCTAAGACATCCTTTCGTGATCCTCTTGATTCAGATCAACGCCGTGAAAGTTGCGCTCGAAGTCCCAATCATCAATGATCTCGCTCATCAAAGATACAACATATCCATTGCGCTCGGCACACCACCCCAGCTATTCTCGTTACTTTTCGATACCGGATCGTCAGATATATGGGTACCCCTACCAAACTCAGTAGGGTGCGCCCCAGATTGCCCTCGAGGATTCAACACCGCGAGATCATCATCAATTGTGGACATTAGCGTGCCTTTCGATGCACGATACGGTCTTACGCCCGACCTTGCAGTCCTGGGGTCGTATTACAACGACACAGTATCAGTCGCGAACCTTGCTGCTTTTACAAACGTGCAATTCGCAGTAGGAAATGTTCCGAAGCGTCTCTTCACACAGGGTAATTGGGGCATCTTTGGCATGGGTTCGCGGTACAACGAAGCCGTATATTCGGGTCCTACCTCGCCATTTCGTGGGAACAAGAATGCCACCTACACACCGTTGTGGGAGAGAATCGCGCTGGCATCGCCGTCGAGCAAGAAGAGATTCAGCGTCTGGATGAACAGCCAGAGCGCGGCGCAAGGCTCGGTGTTGTTCGGAGAGGAAGACTCGACAAAATATCATGGCGCGCTGAAGACTCTACCATTGAACTTGGTTGATGGGGAATTGAGGGGGTGGAACGTAAATGTTACAGGTGTGACACGCATCTTTTCCGAGAACGTGAAAGAACGACTGACACCAGGAACTTACGCCGTCGACTTCACTGTAGACACCGGAAGCCCGAATCTGTACGTTCCTACTGAACTCTACAAGGCGATTGTCAAAGGCCTCAAAGCCACTGATATCATCAACGGAGCTCCATATGTTCCATGCTCTCTCAAGAACTCTTCGACGGAACATCTCGAATTTGAATTTCCGGTCAGAGCGCGGACGCACCACACTGACGATTTTGCCAGCATTCGTGTACCATACGGGGAACTCATATATCCATTCGGCTTGCCGTCCACAGTGCCCCCGGTCAGGAATGCAGACGGCGTGGAGATGTGTTACTTTGGAGTGGTTCCGAACGATGGGCCCATTCGATTGCTTGGTGCATCCTTCATTCGGAGCGCATATATCGTATTTGATGCAGACCAAAAAGCCTTGGAGATCGCGCAGGCCAAGTGGAAAGCCTAGGTGCAACAGGATTGAGATGTGGCGAAGAGAGTTTCGAGCCTTCATTAGATTGCGGGTGCCACTAAAGCATCTCTGAGGAAGCCTGAGAAAGAGAAGGTTGACTGTATCGTTTTCGCAGGATAAATGTGAATTATAGCAGCCTCAAGTCGCAGATCAGTTAAAGAAGCTACTCATGATCTTTCTAGTTCCGATGTTCATCCTAACATAAGAGATGGCGCGCAGGAATTTGGTGCATGCCGAGCTACCGCTGCGGCTTTTGGCCGTACGTGATATGGAACTGAACATACGTATGGACAGCCGGGTCTCGGATCTCGCGTTTTGCAAGCGCAAGAATGATTTGGAGATCTTCTGCTCTTCCTCCCAGTACTTGTGTGTACCCTCGCAGCATGTATGCTTCAAATCCGCCTTCCAGGATCATGATCTGCTCTAGGCGACCAACTGTTCGCAGTCGCTTCGATCGTGGCCACGGTCCCATCGGGAGCTTGTAGACAACATCTTGCACATTTGTGAAGCCAGCTGCACGCATTTGCTCAGCCCACTGGCGTGGAGCGTCGGCTGGAGCGCCCATCTTCTCCGTGATCTCAAAGTATAGCCGTCCAGATTCAACATATCCGCTATTGGGTGGTATGCTGTCATCATCTGTGAGGGCGCCAGGTATGGTGCTGGCCAGCTGTATCCACCCGCCTGGTTTGAGGTGATTGTACGCTTGATCCAGCAAGCGCGGCCAATCACGAATTGCGGTCATCAAGTCACGGCCGTGGATGAAGTCAAACTGCGCAGGTCTGTATGGCCAGTCATCTTCCACGTCTTCGATCTCGAATTGGCAGTTTGGGGGTACAAAAGCAGGTTGTGTCGCCGCAATGTCAACCCCCAAAACCTCGGCCTTGTACTTATCGGCCATGTCAATGGCCCATATACCTGTACCTGTACCAAGATCCAAGATGCGACTGCTTGGATCGTCCAGGACTTGTTCGGAGACGGGCGCAATGAAGAGACAATCTTTCAAGAGCAATGTATACTTGTGGTGTTGCAGATCGTTGCGATCCATCTCTTTCTCATCAATGGGCATGCCATACTCGTGCTTCCCATAGGAGGGGTACAAGCGGCCTTCAATCTCAACACCTCGCCGTACTTCGGACAATATCGACGAGAGAAATGAGGAAGTATCTGAGTCGGCATACCTGTAAGCGTGGTGAGCATTTGCCAAAGTTTTCTCACGATGAGACGATTACCCTTCGTCAGTGTCGGTGGATGCTTCGTCCGACTCGAACTGAGCTTGTATGACATGGTGACCATGGTTATCCTGGTCGTGGGCGTCGTGGGACGGGCCAGCGTCGACGCCGGAATCTTCTGCTGGTAATGACGTAGGCTCTACCGCAGGTGCAAGGGGCTCCTGGCTTGGTTGCACCATAATGCGCAACAAGACCACAGGCAGCGTTAGAATGTGTGGATACACAGGGATAGATGTGCGCGATGCTGTGGGCCGTCGAAAGTGCTCTGGCTCGTTTTGATGGATGCAGGACTCGGCTGCAGCCTCGGCTTCCAAGGTTGAAGAGGGGCAATCCTTACCACGTGTAACCTTCGACCGGAAAGATACCGCTCACTGAGGACGACTACTTGAAACCTTCCACTACTGGCCATGGCTGCTCCTTCTGATCCACCATCCGAGCGTACTCTTGCGCTCCTAGACAACATCGCTGAACTCAGTGAGGGCCTGAGAAATGGCCGTTCCGGCGCAAGAGAGGGCCTGTTGGGTGCCTGTAACAGCCTTGTCTCCGAGCTCAGCAATCCCATGGAGAACATGCTGCAATTGTTATGGGCACGGCCAACCCACCTGTCCATCATCCGCGTGGGTGTAGAAGTCAAGCTGTTCAACGCCATGCAAAACGTTTCTGATGCCGGTGCAACGCCCGCCGAGATTGCGACCAAGTGTGAGAAGCAGGTCGACGCCGTGCTCGTGGCACGCATGTTGCGCCATCTGGCAGCCATGGGCACTGTTCGAGAGACAGGGCCGGACAAGTTTGCACCTACTCCCACGACGGATGCTTTCTCCGATCCTGCATTCCAGGACTCCATCTTGTACATCGTTGACAACTTCCAACCCGCGCTGCAAGCCATGCCTTCATTCTTCCAAAGCCATGGCTTCACTTCTCCTGACAGTGGTGTTGATGGCCCTTTCCAGCATGCCTTCAACTGCAAAGGTAGTCATTACTTCGAGTACTTTGCAAAGTCTAACCCTGAGATGGGCCGGCGATTTGCGAGCATGATGGGCGTATGGAGCCGCGGAAGGCCGCGGTGGTTCTCCGAGGACTACTATCCAGTCAAGGACCGCTTGATCGCCGGCGCCGAGCAGGACAGTCCTTTCCTAGTCGATGTTGGTGGTGGTTCCGGACATGATATTGAAGGTTTACGACAGGCGTTTGAAGGTCAGCTACCAGGTCAGCTCGTCCTACAGGATCGGCCAGAAATCATTGAACTTGCAAAAGTTGGGCCTGGGATTGAAGGTATGGTGCACGACTTTATGAAGGAACAGCCTGTTCGTGGAGCCCGGTCTTATTACCTCCATTCGATTATTCAAGACTGGAACGATGACGTGAACACCAGCATCTTGAAAGCAATCGTTCCAGCCATGAAGCGAGGCTACTCCAAGGTTTTGATTAACGACTTCGTAGTCCCGGACCAGGGCGCGCATTGGGCGCAAACTTGTCTGGACTGGGAACTGATGGCGAGTCTTGGAGCACGGCATCGCACTGAAGCCGAGCACAAGAAGCTATACGAAGGAGCTGGTCTCAAAATCACTGGCATCTGGCGCCATCCACAAAGTCTGGATGCATTGATAGAGTTGGAACTCTCATGAGATGACTAGTGTACATCGCACGTAGTTGACACGGCGGGCCAGCGTGGCGTATTCCAGCTAGTGTGGATGAAAAACCCGATGTCGTTGCCAGAAAAGCGGTCGGGAACTCTGAGCTTGCCGTGATATGGTGAGGTCCAGGATGTGGCAGTGCTTCTACTCTGGAGTAATGACTATGGCATCATGCTTGGAGCATATTCTCGAGAAGATATGAAAGACGTCACCTCATGGCTGTCGACTTGCGTCTCATCAACCATCATTCCCAGCCAAATCCATACACCGCCCTAGAAGACGCGTGCATGCGTGGAAGCACCGGGCCTGAAAATCCTTGCGGCGCTGTCGCGGCTAACAGTGGGTCCCACTCAAGTAGCTGCCGAAGTCACTCCACTGCGCCACCGACATTCGATCATCAGCGTCACGTCGAACGATAATAAGTCGGGTCAAGATCTTTCGGGGTCGGTGCGACGAAATCTGATGCAAATTTGAAAGCTTGGTCCGTCATTGTTGAGGGCGAAATCGAGCGAGGCGAACGTGTATAAGTATGAATGACTGACTTCGGAAGATTTGGCTTGCATCCACAATTCTTCTATCTTCATCAAAGCATACAATTCACAGTACAAACTTCAACATTTATATCAATACACTTGCGCATCACAACATCTCCACCATGCCATCTTTCAAGGGTACGACTTGCTCCGTTTGCCCCATTTCGCCTTCATGTACTAACTTCATTCATCAGACTCCATCTCTTCCACCCCAGCTGGCCCTTCACCCGCGCCCACCCCATCTTCAAACGTCCCATCGGTCCCAGTACACGAGACTCTGCATGGCGCCGCTGCAGCTCTGACCTCCCAGGGTCTTGAGCTATGCCCACACTGCTTCCGCGAGATGAAGCACTGCAACGAGCGCTTCGAATTCGCATAAATACTACGATCCCGTCACAAGCAAAAGTCGCTGGCACGCATGGGATCACGGTGAACTTGAGTTCATCTAAACACACGAATTAAGGCATATGGGAGGCGTTTGGGACAGGCATAGGATTACATCGGCATACCCCACTTTTGAGCATTGCATAGGGAATAAATATCTCTTCTTTTTCACCATCGAACATTTGCGAAATATGCGAAATGGTATTAGTTACATTCTGTTCAAATGGATTCTTTCAAGCTTGGACTCGCCACAGCATCCCATGCACTGATCCTTCTCTCAAGCTAACAACATCATCCCTGATCATCTGGCTTGTTTTCTTCCCTGTTTCCTGTGAAGGACTCAAGTATCGCCAAGAAACAATATACTTTCAAGTCATGCTTCATCAACGGACTCTAAACCTCCACCCAACACAACACGCCATTCACAAGTCGCTCCCCAGACTGCGGTGCGGCGTCACGCACAAGCCCGCACAATCCGATCCTCCCTGCGCAGGATCGCAGTCGTCCCTTTCATCATCAAGACAAACTTGGTTTTGATCTGCGCACTCAAACCCAGCAAACCCGCCGCAAATCTTGTCCTCGACACAGATGCCCAGACCGTCGCATGCAGGCCCACAGCCTGGTGTGTACGGATCAGTAATGCAGGTGAAACCCTCGTCGCACTGGAACGCGTTTGCGCGACCACCGCCACAGAGCTTGTGTGTGTTGGGAGGCAGGAGTGTAGGTGCTGGTTCTGCGGGCAACGTGGATGTCTGTAGTGTTGTTGTTGTCATAGAAGGGATTTCGTTTGGAGGACATTGCTTGATCCATGTTAGCATACGACGATTGATTGGGCATGTGGAGGCATACCTGCAAGTTTGGGACGACGCCGCATTTCTTATAGCACGCTTGCGCAGCTGCATTTGCGCAGTAGCAGCTTTCGGGGAATGACTGGGCGCAGAAGACGCTTTCACACTCGCATGTGGCTTCGGGGGTGGACTGTGGGAGGTCTGGGCAAGACTGAAGCTTGGGAGGCGTGCCTCCGCACCTTTGGTAACAGTTTTGCGCTGCGGTGTTGATGCAGTCACAGAGCCCGGGTCCCTGAAGGCAGTTTACTAAGGGGCACTCGCACTTGGCAGGCTCAGTGGTTGGTTCGGGTGATGGCACGGGATCTGGCAACAGCATGGGTGGCTGGTATGGGTATGGACAGAACTGATGTGTAATGTCAGGATTCTGCTGATGGCGAGCTTGGGCCTGGATATACGTACACGGTATTTCGGCTTGTAGTCAGGGCACCGGTCCTCGCATTTGGCTTCACGATCATTGAGGCAGTTACATAATGCCTATCGAATGGTATCGTCAGTCTCATGCATGTAAACTTGGACATAAAGGAGGATTTTTACTCACACTCCAGTCATCAGTGGGACACTTGACCTGAGGGCAACGGCAACGAGCTGTCGTAAGGTCGGAAGCCAAAACGACGACACTCACCAGAGAAAGTGTATAGAAGAGTCTCATGGTCGCGACATCAGGTGCTCTGCTTTGCGTGCGAACGTGAGTATATGCGAACTTAGAGTACAGGCTGCAGTAGAGAAATGACGAGAAGGAAGACGCAACGAGTCACGGCTCAGCAACTGAGCTGTCTAAACTTTTCGCAAGAACACTGAAGAAACTATATGCCTACAGCCAAGCCATCCAACGAGGCTGCCAAATCGTTAGCTAAGCCCCTTGGCTACAATTCCAGGGTCGGGTGATGGGCTGTTCATAGAGATGAACACGAGAAACAGGAGTCTCTGGAACGATGCAGGGACTCCTGTGCCTATCCAGGGTATGATGCAGAAGGATGGTCCCATTAGTACGCATTCCTCAGCCCAAAACAGCTGAGCGTGACCGAAAAGGTAGCACAAGAGAGAATGTGGGAAATGCTGTTCCTGCATCAGAATGTCGGACGTGAATATCATGAAGCTAAACATAGATCTTCCCCACACGATCATCTGTCCAGATGAGACATTTGCATCGCTCGTTCGCCGGCCAAATTAACATAATGTTTGCCAACCAGCATGATCGGAATGCGCCCATTGCCAAGGAAGCAATATGTGCGACTCGTATTTGGCCCGCGTAATCATGGATCAAGGATGCTCTGCAAATAAAAGATGACAGTGACGCGTACCTTACTTTGATGAAGTTCGTTGGACCGGCAGGACGGTGCGGGTTAGGTGCTCGGTTATCAGATTACATCCGAACCAATCTAGAATATTCCCCAGCACACATACCGTCCTTGCTGATTTCACTAAGCTTTCTTGAACGCAGAACGATAATTAAATGAGATTGCTCGCTTACCATCGAGTCGGTTCGCTCACTAGATGGCATTTTGATGGCTTTGTATATCCCTCGCGAGAAAAGACCTTGGGCGTAGATTTGCGATTAACACTTTGGTGGAACGCAATATCGAGAACGTCCGTTTGTAAACTGAAGAAGCAGAGGTGAAGACCATATACGAGGGGGGATATTGCATATGCGGAAATGTCTCCGACTGCAAGTTTCGAGTATCAAAGAAGTCGACTCTACCTATTGGCTCTATAGAGCACAACACCAGGTGCCAAGGTGCACCTTGTTCGGAACGCCGTTGTGTCTCAAGCCCAGGGGTATATTCCAATGCAACCAAGTCCGCTATGCCAAAACGTGTATTCCCAAAACGAAACAAAAATCAATCATCGATTTCTGTCGATATCTTCCGGTGGGCGCCGCTGAAAGCCGGTCGTGTTCCTCACCGCTTCTACGCCATGCCAGATCACAGTGGAAACAGTAGAGCTAAGTTCTCGGAAAGAAGTACTAAGGTCGGCAATTCTGTTAGCTGACCGGCCCCTTGATCCTGGCCCAGTTTCGTCATCAGACCAGTTTGCCTCAACGTCATCGTCCAAGACCGTGGACCGAGCGGCTGGTGCCGAGGCAGATATCGGCATTGGAAGAGAAGCAGAAGGCGAGTCGTTGTGAATCTCAGCCGCTTGTGCCTGAACATCATCTACGTTATTTAGGTGCCGGTTGGAACGCGTCGGTGATGGGGACGGTAGTCGATCATGATGAGACTGTGCAAGGGATCGTACGACATCACCCTTACATATGGGGCAGGTACGTCGACGGGTGACAAGCCAAGGGGTTCTGGAAAGGTCAGTTTCATGTATGGAAGCGGACAGTGAAGGGGAATACTGACATGCAGTCCGCATGGAACTCATGACCGCAAGGTAAGCTCATGACTTGGCTGACACCATCGACATATTCGTCAAGACAGACAACACACTCTTTCTGTCGACCCCCGTAGCGACGCCGCCACTCTGCTAGGCCAGTCTCGCGCTTCTCCTCCTCACGGACTCGGTTTGTTTCGCGGTTTGCAGAGGACGTTGCCGGTCCTTCGTCGTCACTGACAGAGTGTGATGAGGGCGTAGGAGAGCTGTTTTCGGCCGATGAATGATGTAGCAGCGGTGTTCTTGGGGATGTCGCACTAGGCGTGGCGGATGTGATTGAATCGCTGATGGTTTGATAGGTTCTGACGGGCAAACGCTCAACAAGGGACTTTGGCGCTCTCCAGCGTCGACGGCGAATTCGAGATCGAAGTAGGAGCAGCGCATATACTACGGTTAGTGTGACTAAAGGGCTGACAACAAGCACTAGGAGGGTATCGAAAAACGGGCTTGTTGAGACGTTTGTAGGCGTGAGCGTGACCCACAGGCCTTTGTGAGGTGCTGAGCGACCCGAGGAAGTTTTGATCTTATCAAGGCTCGCATTAGCGGTGCTGGTTCCGAACCACTTCGCCCACCATGCAGTTTGTTCACCGCTGTCTCTGGGTGTCTGAGAATACTCTTCGCCTCCAGGTGACACGTTGCGACGCGATCCTGAGGTTTCAGACAGTAGATTTTGGGAGCCATCTACAGGCAGAAGGGATGAAAGCAGGTGCGCGGTGGTGTGCGACGTGAATATAGACGGTATGGTGACATTGGAGGTATCGTCTTGGGCGTACATGCGGATCAGGGCGCCACCGCGTACGTTGTCGCCCACAATGACGGCGACTGCACCGCGTCTTTGGGCCCAGAGTACCTTGGCTAGAAATCCGCACTGCCCTCGCTTGAGAAGAACTACCTTGCCGTCGATTTCGGCACTTTCTTGCAGCGACTGAATATCGTCATCCATGCTGCCCTCTGATGGCGTATCTCTGGAGTTGTCTCTTGTGGCTGATGCCGGTTCGTGCGTGAGGCGGTCCACATGGCGGGCCCAGTCGAGACTGTCGCCGCAGCCCAACTCGCCCTTGCCCAAGCTGTCGTCCCCAAAGCCACTGCCGACCCACAGCGCGCTACTGAGTCCGTCAGCCGGCAGTGTTGGCCCAAAAGCAGCCGGCCGAGCGAGGAAGAAGGTTGAGTTGTCGTCAGTCAGACTGATAATCGCCGAGGGAGGGAAGAGCGATCCTGGCGAGGTGAAGGACAGCAGTGCCTTGAAGCTGCCATGCTTGCGTGTGTTCGACTGCTTCCGGAACTGCTCGTCTTGCGAGGGTACTAAGATTACATAGAGAAGAAGGGTAACGGCTATGAAGCCTGAAGACAACGCAAGTAGTAGCCGAAGTGGGCGCATGCTGGGCGAGTGCTGCACACGACGTGGGAGGATAGCGATGAGCAGCAGCAAGAGTCGCTGGCCCTTTAGTAAAGAAGCACCATACGCGAACTTCGGTGCAGTGCTAGTCACGTAGAAGCTTCTCGGTGGGCTTGAACGTGAAAGGCAGGGTCAGGTGAAGATGTAGGTGTGTGCGGTCGATGATGCGGTGATGCGATATGGCGAGGACGTCACTGGTTCGTGGGGCAAGCGATGCAAATAACGCAGAGGGAATGCAAAACACGTAGCTTAGGGACGTGAGAATGAGAACAGAGGCGGAGATTGCAGACGACCGAAGAGGGCGAGCGCGTTCTTTCCAGGTGCTTCCAGGTCGAGTCCGAAGCGTGAGCAACCAGTCCAGCCGGACAACTCAGGCGGGCATGTGCACTGTCATGATGCACGGCACTCACCGCACATGCCCCGCGCACGCGACACCGCCACCACCACCACCAGCCTCACACCTGCACCAACATTATCGGGCGCGCCTCGGTCCGTCATTTTTCCGCGCTCAAGACGTCTGCGTCTGCGTCCGATGTGATAACACTGTCTCACTGCTGCACCAACTCTTCCGTCACTGCAACCAACATGCACACGTCTTGATGCAGGTTCGATCATCGTGTTGTAGAACTGGGCCGATCTTTGCTCGTTGACATGGACGCTTCGAGGCATCAACATGGTGCCTTCTACAGGCAGCTGGTGCACTGTTTAGGTGTCGTGGCAGTTTCTGCTCGACCGTGATGAGGTAGGCACCGGAAACATCCACTCTTTCCTCTTCTCGCATTACCACATCGTCATCCCATCTACGCACATCTGTCTGTCTTCTCTTCCTCTTCCTCTTCCTCTTCCTCTTCATCTTCTCAATACCAGCTTACCTTTGCTACCTATACTCTCCTAGTTTCTTTTGCCCTTATCATCACCCCTAGATCATTTCCTATCTGGTCGTGCTCCATCCTACCTAGTCTCACCCTCAAAGCACTCTTGTCTCGTACGCAACCGCTGGTCTATCCTCGGCTCACCGCCGTCACAAATCCCTCAAGTATCGCAGTTATGAACGCTACACGGCGAATCCACAACCCATCACGAGCTTCATGGTTCTGCCAGGCATGAAACCAAGGTATACTGAAGATCCCAACCGCCCTGGCGAAAGACGCCTTCCAGGCTTCGGATGGCTCCCCAATCGAGTCCGCCATATGTTCATCTCATGCCTTGGCGAATTTGTGGGCACATTTCTCTTCCTATTCTTCGCCTTCGCTGCTACACAAGTCGCCAATAACCTCCTCGGTACCGGTGCTATGAACGTTGGAGCGTTGCTCTACATTTCACTTGCATTTGGCTTCTCGCTGGCCGTCAATGTCTGGGTCTTCTTTCGCATCAGCGGAGGACTGTTCAATCCTGCAGTACGTGTGCATAGGCTACCTGGCTACATGTCTGACTGATTTATCTGTTAGGTGACCGTAGCCATGGCGCTTATTGGGGCCGTTGGCTGGCTCAAGGCCGCCGCTCTCATCATATCACAAGTCCTTGCAGGCATCGCTGCGGCCGCTATCGTGTACGGTTTGTTCCCCGGTCCCCTTGCTGTACGTACCAGTTTGGAGAACCATACTTCGATCGTTCGGGGTCTGTTCATCGAGATGTTCTTGACCTTTGAACTCATCTTCTGCATCTTCATGCTCGCAGCCGAAAAGCACAGATCGACCTTCCTCGCGCCGATCGGTATCGGGCTAGCTCTCTTCATCGCAGAATTGGCTGGTGAGTTTCGTCCCAACGAATCACTGCTACCCACTGCTACCGCGCTGACCATGATAGGTGTCTTTTTCACTGGTGGATCGCTCAACCCGGCTCGATCCTTTGGTCCTGACGTTGTCCTCGGAAAGTTCGATGGCTACCATTGGATCTACTGGGTTGGTCCTCTACTTGGTGCTATCTTGGCCGTAGTGTTCTATCGTTTCATCAAGACACTCGAGTATGAGACCGCCAACCCAGGCGCAGATGGAGATGGCCATGAGCTACACGATTATCGTGGATCAAGGGACGAGACTCGTACTTCCAGTGAGGAACCCTCCCTTTAATAACACCCTCCTACATCATGTCTACCGTATTCAAAATGACACCGCTGATACTTCTATAGCCCGGCAGACAACCGATGGGACGGATGAGACCGACTTCGGAACACGCATCCAGACCGCGAAGAGAAACCCTGCAGCTCCAGCTCGCCAGAATACATCTTCTCGATACGACACCACATTTTCGGGCTCGACTACGAATGGTGAGCTCAGCCAGCCCATGCAGGCATTCGTCCATGGCGGTGACGGTCATCGGTCCGACACAGACACGTCCTCTCTTGATCATCCCAACGAGCGACCTCGCGCTCAGCACACCTACAGCTCCAGACGCTCGAATCAATCAAATCACGATATGGCATCTAACATCGGCTATCGTAACGGGCCAAGCGTAGAGTCTGGCACGTCGAGCTATTAGTCTGGCTCTTCTACGTCCTCTTCCCGTTCCAGTGCTTGACATGAGAATCCGCCTGAAGAGGAGCCTGGGTGCATGAACGGTATACTTTACTGGCCTTGTTGCTGGCTCCCAGGCTTTGTTCTGCGGGCAATATTCTGTCCTGGATGAATTGCGCCGGCCATGAAGAAGTGTCGACGTCTTGCATGGTGCCGCCTCGAGGTCGGATCTGGCGTTGAGTTGAGGCTTGGTGCAGGTGTACAGGCGACCACCTCCTTGTTGCATCGCGTCCATTCTCTAGTCCAGTAGTGAATTCAGGTCTCTCTTCACAGTGTGCATTGAGCTTATGCTCGCAGTTCAGTTTGTGCGATTTGCAAGTCTCTCTACACTCTAGCGACCGTGCTGCCAACAAGTCATGGCCGCTCGATCTTAGGCAGCTAACGAGGCTATACATGTTGCAACAGCCTTTATATCTCCCGCTAGCGTGTACAGAGGAAGTCGTGAAGCTCAATAGGTACAATCCTCTAAGAAAGCCTTCAAGATAATAGTAATGATTTCGTTCTTCTTTCATATATCGTCATATCTACATGGAGGAATTATTTCCAAGCACATCCTCTCCCCGCATGTCATGCGTAGTCACTCCCGGGTATATATAAATTCGCAACTTGAATATCCGCCTCCGGGTGCTCCATTGCCAGCATGGCGCACCCCAGCGTAAGATATGCTGTGCAGTCATGGCTTGCGCCTGTAGTGTGTAGTTGTAAGGTGATGGTGATAATGACGATGATGATGATGCAACCTTTTTTCGTCGCTATGCAATACAAAATCGAACGAGTGGGTATAAGGGAAAAAGAGCAAATCTCGCTTGAACGCAGCAAACGCCGATGAAGAATAAGCCAAAAAAAAAAAGAGGACCCATTATAGTGTAGTTGTCGTTAGGGAGCGCAGCTCGTGTCGTGAATGGAAAGATGGTGGGAAGGAATTAGACGCTGACGGTCCGGCGGACGCCAATCTCAGGCTTCTGGGCGTACCCGATGAGCATTTTGAAGCTGGTGCCGCGCTTTTCGCATTCGTTGATGAGCGCTTCGTCGCGCCAGATGCTGGTTTGGAGAAGGTTGGCGGACGTCTCTGCGCCGGGCTCGCCGGCTTCGGGGAGGACGAGGGACTCGTAGCAGCGAGAGTACCACCAGCGGCCGACGCGAGCGACCATATCGGTGATGCCGTTGTCAGTGGATTCGGAAGGTTGGGAGGCGTTGAGGAGGTCGGAAAATGAGACTTCGGGCTTGGGGCCTTTGGCAGTGAGGGTGCTGTTATTCTTGCTCTTTGAACTGGCGTTGCTGCCGGTGCGCTTGGCTGTCGATGTCTTGGTGTCGTCCGGGCTGGGTAGCTTGCCTGCAACAGGGACACCTACGACGCATCGATTGCATTGGACGAAGCCCTTGCGGCCGATGCCAGCCATGATTTCGTCGCTGATGTTGCGGAGGGAAAGCGTTTCATCGGCGACCTGCATTCTCATCTTCAAACCACGAACAGCACGGCGGGCGCGGTTGCCCATATTGACCAAGTCAAGATCGAGAACGCTGAACTCGAGGTAGCCGCCTGGTCGCAGGACACGCTTCGCTTCGCTCAGAATGAAGCGGTGTACAGAAGGCGGGAGCGCGGTCGGGAATCGAAGGACGACACATGCGAAGAAGTGCATGGGGAACGGAAGCGCATTCGTCAGTGATTCATGGCAGATATGGCGGTGGTTACTGAGAGTCGACCATGGCTCAGCTGCACTGTTGCTCGGTGCAGTGGATGACAGGCCGGGTCCGACGTCGTAGACGGTTGCTTCAGGATACGTGAGGGCGCAGTAGTATGACCAGTCCTTGCCAAGACCATCGATCACGAGCACGCGGTCTTCGCTCGGGTCCTTCAGGTCAAAGTGAACAGGACTAAAGAGCACGCGACCGAAGGAAAGCCATTTGCTTGTCATGAGCGCACCAAAGCGGAGATTCGCCATGGAAGCGAGTCCATCCGCTTGAGTCTCGGCAATTTCCATCAGGCGAGAGTCTCTGTATCTGTTCGCGGCAGCACTTTCGCGATCTTTGCTTGACCGCGAAGTTATAGTGACTTTTGACTGCCGAGCGCTCAGTGGCAGATTGGCTGGTAGACTGGATCGAGTAGAACGCTTTGTGGCCGAGCCCGTGGACAAGCGCGGGCTAGAAGGTAGACTCAGTCGACCAGTGACCGGGTCAATCACGCTGATCTTCCGTTCGCCATTTTCTTGTAGGAAGTCATTAAAGGATGCTTCAGAAGCTGGAGACTGAGTCGAGTGCAGAACGGCGAGCAGACGAGAGCGGCGAAGATGTAGCGACGGGTACGAGACCTCCTGAGTTGAATGGTCAGACTGCGAGGACTCGCATTGTGCCTTCGTCTTCAGCGGCAGCGGCTCAAGCGATGGGTGTTGACTCCGAACGATGGTTCGATCTTGGCTCGTGCGAGAGCTGGCAGGCGAAAGGACTTCGTCGAGAAGATCATCGTATTCGTTCCACAACTCGTCGTCGGAGAGCGGTGCTCCGGGACCAGGCACAACTGCAGTTCCAAACGCGGGAGCGAAGCTCCAAATACCAGAGCTACTCGAGTAAGACACTTCAGAGTCTTTGCGAGGTGGAAATTTGAAGAACTCGCTGCGCGTAGATTCGTCGGAGGGAGGACTCATGGCGGCAATGGCTGATCCATGTGTAAGCGCGCTGAGACCATGCAGAATAGGATATGGTTCGGATGGCCCAGCTGTTGCAACCATTGAACCAATAGAGTCAAATGATGTACGATAAATAGCGGCTGGTCGTGGTTGTTCAGCTACGAATGGACGCGAGAAGGACCGCGAAGACGGGCGGCGTGGTGCATGTCGGGTTGAGACCACTTGTGGTATACGGCCAACCTGAGGCAAGCGACTGGGCCGAGGTGGCGGGCTCGTAGGTGGCGGGCCTGGCGGGGGTAGATGCTCGGGAGGTGCTGCAGTATCCTGGACTGGCGCAGGTATCACTGGAGCAGGTGTCGGGGCTAGAATGGGTGCATTTTGAACCGGGACTACTTTTTCGATCGGTGGGGAGGGAGGACTGAACGGCGATGATGGAGGCGAAAGATCCATGGGCGTGAGGTCGATGAGCGATTGGCGTGCAGAAGTCCGAGGGGCATATTGGATGTTAGTGTTGAGGAAGAGCTTCTGAGGACCATGCTCCTCTTGCTGATACGGCTTGCGCAGGTTGACTTTTGGCGAAGCAGAGCGCACAGGTGCTGCTGCACTGGTTGAAAGAACAGGCTTTGGTGGTAGCAGCATGGACTGCATCCTCTCTTTTCTCTCTGGTTCATCGTCAGAAAGCGCGCCTTCTGTACCTTCGTCTCCGGTGTTGGCCTCCTTCATCAGTTCTTCGATGTCGTCCATGTCCAGACCCGTCTGGTCCATCAATGCGTAGTGCGCAACAGACCGAGAGACGGGCGCAGCCGTAGTGTTGGCAGTGGGAACCACAGCCGGTGTGTCTGCACGCGGAGCTGCATGAGCACGTTGAAAGAAGTTCCACTTTTTGGATGACTTCGGCTGTTCTTTCTCGACCTTTGATTTCTTCGACGACTTCAACCATCTACCTTCTTTGCCTTCGGTTGTCATGTCGGTGGTAGAACCTTTACGCCCTTTCTCCAGTGACTGTTTCCCGGTCGCTTCAGGAGTCTTGACCGCCCGCGACGTACGCCTTGATGCCAACGTAGGCAAGAAGGACCTCTTGGACTCTTCGTCGCTTTCAGATGGCCGCCTTCGGCCAAGGGGCGTCTTTCCCCTGGGGGATCGACCACGCATCGTATCAGGCATCGCCGAAGGGAGCAACGTCGGCTTGTTCTCGAAAGCGTTTTGAGACGTATTGCTGCTCGTCTTCTTCAGATCATAAGCCGACTTTGCTGAGACGTCTAGACTGCTACTACTGTGCATTGGTTCTGGGCTACGCGATAGCTCCGTGCTGTTGCCAGTGCCTCGAATGACTCTGGGTGCCAGTCGATTGAGGAAGAAGTCGTCGATATCAGTGCTTTCTGTGCTTGTCATGCTGCTCTTGCGGCTCGATGGCGTTCGATCAAGGCTCTCTGATGTGGTTCCAGCACTTGCGGATCTCCCAATACTGGCTGCACTGATGGAGCTCCCACTTCGACCACGAGCTGAGTATTTTCCGTACCCTTCATGCCCTGTACCAGCTACTGGGCCCTTGCGTTGAAGTTTGTTCTCGGTCTTCGTAGCAGGTGCAGGGTCGGTCTTCGTACGTCGACTGAAGAATCCAAACCTGGGTGTCTTACTCGGGCTAGGGGCCGGAACTGGGGCTGGGGCTGGAAGTGTGCTAGACCGTCGTGTGTTTCGATCAGTTTGACCATCAGGTGTTGGCCCACGCGAAGGTCCACGCGAGTACAATGGCCCTGGAGAAGGTAGTCGGGATGGTGCTTTGGCTGACACGCCCACTTTCGATCTTGCAGCCGGGCCAGGCCCAGTCTTAGACTCTGTAGAGCTCGTCCGTCTGTGCGCCGAGGGAAATACCATCATGTTACTTTGCACTATCGGGGAGGGCCCGCGAATGCCCGTAATCTCTGGAGTACCATCCCGGCTTGGTCGTGTTGGTCGTGCTAGTGTTGGTAGCGATTTGGGCGATTGCTCCACTAAATGAGCAAACTCGGGGGGTGCTTGATTTTGAGTCCGTTCTCCAGGGTTCGGGTCTTTAGATGGAATCGACGGGCTTTGTGGCAAGGTGGTCAGTCCATCAGATGGCTGCTTGTCTCGGAACTTGCCACGCTCTGTCACGACTGTCGACGCGGAAGATGAAGACGTGGATGACTCGCGCACAACGGAAAGAGTGTGTGGGTTCCGGGTGCTGGTCTCGTCTGGCGTCCTGTGTCGAGTGACCGGCGGCCGACTTTGCAATGGACTGGCTTGTTTTGTGCGATGCGAGTTCCGCGAGAGCGCAGTACCTGGGGAATATGATGACATCGACGTAGGCGTAGACGAAACGCTGAATGGTCCTGGCGATCCCGAGTATCTCGTTGAGGGTGTTGCAGAGAGGGCATACTGCGGTGTAGGTAGCTGCAAGATATCCGTTGACCCAAGATCGTAGCTATAGAGGCCTCGGTCAATTGCATCGACGTCTGGCTCAGAGCGTGCAAATAAAGTCGATGAGGGTGGAAGCGAAATCCCCAAGACCGTCTCAGAGAAGGGATCCTTGTAACCGCCAGGAATGCCATCTACTTGTTGGCTTTCCTCCTGTGAAGACATTGAGTCGTCCCTGATGCGCAAGGGTTGTCGACTACTAGCAGTCCCAACGCTAGTCTGTTTCCTCCTCAAAACGTTAGAGCGCGGGCTCTCGATGGTTGATGCAGATGATCCAGACGCAAGAGATGGTGTGCGTATGTTCGCAGGTACATCCAGTTTCGGCAGGCGTGAGGTCTGAATTTGAGGAGCAGTCCTTGTGAGGGGGACGCCTGGGTGCTGAGATTGTGAAGCTGTACTCGAACCACTTCGCTGAAATGAGGCAGCGCTTCGTAAAGGTGCCCTTGAGCTCGCAGGGGCTCTGCTCGTGTGCAATTGTTCATCTCGCGAAGGCCTCCTCTTCTGTAGTTTGGAGTGACTTGTGGAAGGTCTCTCCGCTGTGATCGTGGTTATTGTGGTAGGAGTGATGGACCGTTGCGGTAACCGAGTAGTCGGCGCTCGGTCCTCAGTCCGCCTAGGTGGGACGAACTGTGACTTATGTGATGCCATGTCGGGTAGCCTTGTGTTACCCAACTGGATGTGCTAGAGAGGCTTGTGTGCGCCGAGTAACTCATGAAGGCATGTGCCTGATGGGCTGTAAGGCGCTTGGGTGGGGAACAAACACGACGGTGCTACCTCGAGTACCCAAGAAATGCGAGTGCTTAGGGCCGTCAGACGTCAGCAAGATTCAGCTCGGGTGAATGCCGTCAAGCTATTTGATGGAGTGGGTGATGGTGTGAAGGCTAGACTGCGGGGACGGGTGGCGAAGATGGTATAATCCAGGAACATGAAACTCCAAGTCCATCAATATAAGTTGGCGAGCCAAAATGTACAACGCATTCGCAGACTTTCGGTGAAGACTGCTGCTCTTCCTCGTACGCCACTTATCCACTTATGCCGGCGGGTCCGAGTGCAGAGAGGCTGTGGCGCGGTCTTCGGCAATGCCCGACTTGGGGCTGTGTAAGGCTACGCGACTGTGGGCAAGAATCGACAGCGACACGTACAAGCAGCAACGAGACGCGAGGTAATGTTATACCTGTGCGCCAGATCTAGCTCACGCGTCCTCCCGTCTTGAAGGCCTTTAGGGCGATTCAACCGTCTCTTGCCTCAGTGGGGCGAGTCCGCGGAAAGGCCGGCCAGTTAGTATACACCTGTCCAGTGGGCGTGTGCGAAGTCCCCGTGTATTAGGTTATCAGGTGGCGGATGTAGCAGGGACAATGAATGGCCTCGACGATTTGTTGGATCAGAGTGCTTTGCAGCAGCAGCCGGGGCGAGAGACGGCTCACCACAGGATATGTATGAAGTCGCGGCAAGCGCAAAAAGACGCGCACCGTCGACCCCCAGCGACCATCCCAACGCCGGCGGCCTTGCGATGTTGGGCTGACCCGGCACGGAGCATTCATTCTGGTTCAGTTACGGGCGCTTGCGCTTGGAGGGCCGGGTGGAGGCGCGAGAGAAGACGTCCAGCCAGTTGCGTTGTTGAACAGCCATGGAGGGCGACGATTCGTGAAGAGCCCTTGTAGGCGGCGGTCTAATACGAGGGCCAATTGGCCTACCCATCCTCGCTAGTCGTCGTTTACCCACACGCTTTATGCCGTTGCAAAGCCTCAGGATACCTTAACAAACTTCAAACCCCACAGGCTCCGTATACCGACGGGGGCTGTTATCGACAAGAGCTGAGTCAAGGACTATAACGAGGTGCTAATGTTTGCGGCCATCTTGAGGCCGTAGAACTCGCTCCACCACGATCGCTTTCAGCTCACTCTGCACCGGCCAACCACTACCATTGGATACTGGGCGATGATCAGTCATCGCTTGTCTGCTTCACTATGAGAGGATGATCAATCTGGGGCATTGACGGCTCGCATGCATCACTCTGTATTCGGAGCTTGGAGAGATTCGTTGGGAAGCCTTTTCCGACTAGGGCTTGAGGCAATCAGAGCTCGCGGCGCAGAGACACGCCTAGGTCTTTCATGCGGAAGAGTCATATGCTCTCAGGACCTTTTTTTCCGGCAATGCATGTCCAACGCTTTTTTCTCATCCCCTCGTGACCCGCTGCAAACAACATTGAAACATGCTGCAGGATTCGCTCACGTGCATCGCAAGTCGGTAAGCCCGTGCGGACAAGCTGGAGTGTGGCTAGGTGCAGCTTCTAGCGGCAGCAAATTGAGGCTGAGTGTTTGATCGACCTTCGCCACGTTGACAACACATCAAGAGCATCGCGACGCCCGCCAATGTGAGCATTTCGAGGTTTCGCATTGTCGACGAAGGGCCGTTTTCCTTGCTCGTTCTCAACAAGTCCAAGGTTTGAGTCGCGCCCCGTGTGGATACACGGCTTTCTTCGATCCCATCCCGCCATCCAGGTTAGATTCAAGCCACCAAGTGTGTCTACCCCGGTTCAGCACGCTCATTCGCCTTTCACCAGCGTGATAGTACGACGCTTGTCGCAGCAGATTTCGGTCATGTGATGGCACCTTACTCAAAGAAGCAGAATACATCCAGTCAGACTGCCAATAAGAGTTCAAAGGTCTTTTGCAACAGGGTCACACGCCGCGGCTATACACACAGGGATCGGAAGCCTACGTCGACGACCACATGGGAACTCCACAGAACGTGCCCGTTGCGATTGCAGGTATCATTATCCGTGTCCCATGATCGAGACTATGTTTGTTGATGCTGATCAAGGTGTCGTGGACATGATCTCTCGAGCTCTTCTATGCGCAGTTCCAACCACGAAACGATCACTACTTCCAGAAGGGACTGACCAGCTGATGTGCTTTCAAGACGGACGAACCACACTGACACCCTGGGTTCGAGGTTCGAGACCGCCGAACTTGCCTTCGGTCAGAAACCTCGATCGGCTTAAATGTAAATTAGCATCGTCGAAAACACCAACACCAGGCAAAATGGCTAAGAACATCAACCAGCGGTGTGCATTCACCATTTTCGAACCATATACCCCATCTCTATAGCCGCTGATATGCAAAAGAGCGAGTTGGATGATTTGCACCGGTTCAACATAGTTCGGAGCTAAGTAGTCTCGCGCACCTTGCTCCGTTCACCTGCTGGTCGTAGTCAACGGAAGAGGGAGGGCGGCACGGAACGAGCTTGACTACCAGCGATGCTGAAGCCTCGGTAGCCCTGCATGTTCCTTGTGGAGCCCGGCCCGCAACGGGCAACCAAACAACGAGGTAGTTCGTCGCGAACCGCTCGTGCTGGACATGACATAGAGTTTGGGCTTGCAAAACTGGTGCTTTGCCGTGGTTGGGAGAGGTGCCGCCGGCAAGTGAGTAGGTACCGTTGACTGTAACATCGTCATGGAACTCTATTAGCGGCGCTTCGGGCAGAGGAAAGCGTTGGCGCTTCGGTAATGGCGGTGAACTCGTCACACAGATTCAGAAACGACTGTGAGGAGTCTGCGCTGGCGTAGTGTGAGTCACATTCACTTGGACCTTTGGAGCTTCCAATCAGCGATTCTTTGTTTTTACTTTGTCATCGTGAAGAACAGCGAAGCTCCGCGCTTAAGACAAAGAGTAACGAAGCGTCACATGACTAAGACGACAAGTTTGAGATCGTTGAGTGCAAGAATCAGCAACGTGTTTCAACCATCCCTCAAAAAGAGAATGTATTAATGATAAAAGTTCATCTTTCAGTTCAAGTTGCTGTGCTAGTCTAAGCCCATCGTGGAATAGCCATCAGCCTATTTGGTAACTTGCGATATCCAGAAAAGCATATTTATGTGTACAGATTCCATGCCACATACTGTGCAGAAGCAGTATATCATCATTCGTGCAAATTTTATCTCGTTCCACGCAAAGCACCGCGTACGCGACTTGTACGTCGCACACGCTCCTCCTAAGAGGTCACATCCAAAGCAAGCCCATAATCCCAACACCACCACCCCTTCCCGCGCGGCCCCAAAATCCTCACTTCCCAAACGCCCCTCGCCCCACCAATTCCCAATCCAACAATGTCCAAATCCCAACCCGTCACAAAATACCAGGAGCGCGTCTACGCCGCCCTCCAACAAATCCCCTCGGGCAGAATAACATCCTACGCCGCGCTGGCTCGCGCTCTGGGCAGCAGTCCGCGCGCCGTCGGCGGCGCACTCCGCGCGAACCCTTTTGCGCCGGAGATTCCTTGCCATCGATGCATCGCGAGTACGGGTGTATGACTGCCGCGACGCTATGGATACGTGGGTAAACGCTAACGACGGGACGGCAGTTTGTTGGTGGGTACAAAGGCGACTGGGAGAAGGCGCCGAGCGGGCAGAATCAGGATTCGAAGCTGGAGCTGCTGAAGGAGGAAGGTGTTTTGTTTGATGAGAAGGGTTTTTTGGTGGATCGGGCGCTGTGGTGGGATGGGTTTGATGTCGAGAAGTTGAAGTAAGCTACATGCTATATTTGCTTGCTTTGGGGTCGTTCTAGCATGTGGATAAGCACTTCTCCCTGCCCGAACCTGGGGTGGATTTGATCCCTCTAATATACGTCCTAAGGACGTCGAAGTTTGCAGAACCGGACGGGGGCTTCATAGGACACATTTGAGGTCACTTAACAAGAGGACCGAGAAGGTTTGATGCGAGAAATGGCTCTTTGACGTAGGTGTTGATAGCTGGGCCACTATGTCGTTGAGAAGGCCTTGGATCACACTGGTAGATGGGCAGCCATTGCAAGGACGGGACAACTTCCCCGTAGAGTAGGTATACTTGATTTAGTTGACCATCTCCAAAAACATCGCCCAGCCGCCTTTTCATGTCTGGCGTAGCTGCAGTTTGTCGATCGACGCCGCCCATATATCAAAGGGCAGAGACAACTTACAAAAGCAGACATCTACGGCTTGATCTATGGTGTTTCTTTCCCGCAGCTCTAATCTGCCCTGCCCTGCGATAGTAAAACAAGGCCTTCATTATGTCTGCAACTTCAAATATATGGTATCTCTACATGTAAAAGATTCTACACTGAAAGCCCATCCAAGTCGATCTAAATCGTAGCAACTCGTCTTACCAAAGCACCTTCCTCCCCACAAGCACAACCTCATCGTCACTGTCCTCCACTCGCTTCGTCATCTCGGACTCCTGCAAGCTCTCCGCATGCCCGGCCGAGCTACCCAGACTCCTCGTCTCGACCTCTTCAACCCTTTTCCCTGTCCCATTTTGCTTCCCACCGTATCCATCCCTGTGTCCGCTTGCAGTCTGCCTTTCCGAACCGCGGCCAGCAAACAGATTCGTTTCGCTAGTGACGGTGTGTTCCGTCGTACTCCGGATCTGATTGAGGTTGAGTATGCTGACGACGCATTTTGTGGGTTCGGGATGGTAGGCGAAGCCGTCTAGCTCCACAGAGCTTTGGTTTGAAGTGTGCGCGCCGAGCTTGGAATCCGTCGTGTCTAGGCTGCAAGAGCTCTTGTATTCGTTCGCGACGGCAGACATGCCGGGAAGGCGGGAGTTGGTGATGGCGATGCGTTTGATTAGGTCGGCCATGGCCATTTCGATGTTGAGCTTGACCAGGTAGCAGAGTGGGTGGAAGAGGATGTAGCTAGAACAGTCGGTCAGCCTGGGAGCACTGGATATGGTTGTGGATGTTGGCTTACACCCAGGTTTTAGGCATGGCGGTAGCGGCGATGAGCATAACGTCCATGAGGAGTGACAGCACGATGATTCGTTCGTTGAACCGGACGAGTTGCTTGTACTTTGTGATGCCATTGGTGATGAGGTTGGTTCTGACGGTCCGCAAAAAGTACCAGTTCAGAGCTAGATCGAGAACGAGGAATATGCTCTTCTCAGTGCGGTCCCAAACAATGCCGATTTTTGTCCATCTGTCGCTGATTTGCATCTGGGCTGGCAGCCACAGGACAAATGCAGTGATGATTACCATGGAGATGTATGTGGTGACTCCAAGGAAGATGTGGTTCGAACGCTCTCGATTGATGTCGATGACTCGGATACGATTAATGATAATCTGGAACACACACATGACTTGAACTGCCCAGCAAACCGCTGTGAAGAATATCAGCAAACACACCGTTTAGGGAACAAAGATTTAAGATATGTGCATACAGTTCCCAAAATAAAGAGCAAAACCTGGAGATTGTTAACAAGGCGCTATCAAAGGCACTGGGGGGAATGCACTTGATGGAACGTATCTCAACACGTGCAGATACGCGAGTAAACCTAGTGAGAAACAGGCCATCATCGCAACCCAGATCATCCACACATAGCTGCTCCGCAACGGATCCCTCGCCGCCTTGGTCTGCTTGTAACCCTGCCATATCGCGATAATGAAGTTGACAAGCGTTAATGCCCAGGGAATCGAAGAAACGAGGACATCGGAGTTGGTGGTCGCGGGATCTTTGAAGTTGGGCGAGATGATTGGGCCCCAAGGATCGTTGCTGGCATGTGGTCGGTATAGATCATTCATGGTGTAACTGTGATACAGGCGCGCAGCCGCGGACTGCGTTCGGGAGATCAGGGTCACGGTGAAACCGCTTGCATGGCTACCATGCCCTTATGAAGCACTCAAGAGTTCCTTGGAGCAAGAAGTCTATTCTCTGAATTTTGACTCGGTTTCCAGGTTCTGAGCTTGTGATCCAGTCTAGGAGCTCTGGAACCCGCTGATCATGGTGCGGGCATTTGGTCCGATGCCATAGGGAAGGCAGCAATTCTGAAAGACAAAGCAGCAATTCTGACAGACAAAGCAGCAACCTTGACTGAAGTTTGATCTAGTCTGAGGCGTGGTACGATGTGGCGCCAGGAGTATATTCCGCAGTCTCCGCATTGGAAGCGATCAGCAAAATGGGCAATTAAGGTTTCGCCTCTCAGAATCGTAAACGGATAGATCGATCCCCGCGACCGTCTTCAGCCTCGAGCAAAGTCTTCGGAACTTTGGAACTTTGGTCGCCAGATACATCTGTGCACAAGGCCTAGGGAAATGCATGTGAATAGTATATAAGATCAAATCAATCCGACGAGTCGTAGTGACTGGTCAGGACTAGATGTCTTTGGATATTGGTACCGTACTCGGGACAGCTGTCCTTGAATCCTACAGAGCGAATGCCAGTATACCTGTAGAGGCATTTTAGTGTTGCGCTTGCTTCCTATCTTAAGCAATCTCGGTAAGTTCAGCGACTCACATTCCACGACGCTCAGTGGCAGCATAGTAACGCCAAATCCATGCATATCGTAACAGCCAGCCACTATCAAGTAATGTACAGTTGAATGATGTCCCATGCTCTTAACCCCATACCCTGCACAGGGCCATGCCTCCCATGCGCCTCTCGACACACTCCCTTGCTTCCAAGACGCCTCGGTCTGTCGAGATGAACATGCACTCGCCCGGATGTGTCAAGCCCTTGACGAAGCTCGATGGCCGTGTGCGCGTGATTCTACCCAGGTCCTCCGAGGTCAACCAGATGCGGCGCGTGGGCTTGGATATCAGCTTCATATTCCTCAGCACGGGCTCGTTCTGCCAGTATTTCAAGCCGAGCCACAAGCGGCGCTTTGCCTGGTTGTCGGGTACTCTGACTTGGTGCAGCTGCTCTTCGCCCAGAACCTTGTCCACGAGCGTGTTCCCTTGGTCGTCGGCCTCCACTCCTGCGGCGTATGCGTGCCAGGGCTCCTTCTCGAGTACTTCGGCCATGTGCTCCATCTGCTCGGGGCTTTGCTGTGCTTGCAGGAGGAAAGGCTTCGGGGGTGTGCGCCCGGCAAGTGTCACGGACGAGAGGAAGCCCTCGCGCTGCAGGCCGAGGGCGAGCTTGACGTGCAGCTTGGAGACGGGTATTGACGTCAGGCCGAGGCGCGCTTTGGAGGCATTTTGCAGATGTGAGCACACGTGTGCGAGGTTGACGAGAGACATGGTGGAGGGTGGATGCGGATGCCCGCAATGGGCTCTGGCGGTCGAGTGCGCGCTCAGATGCGCGATGCGAAATTCCTTGCGGGTGTTGGAGGTGGGACAGCGAGCGTGGGGGGTGGGGGGAGGTGAGATGATGGCAATTGGGCGTGATGTCGTCGAGCGATGCTGGAGCTGGCTGCAACAAAATTTCGGAGGTCCGCAGGTCACGAGTGGTCGCGGCCACCACCAGCCCTACGAATGGCGGAGCTACCGTTATGGGCGGCGCCTACATGCTCGCCCTAACGCGTCCACGGGCGCTTCCAGTCGACACAATTAGAAGCTGGTGCAGCTGGCGTCCGTTGCCCTGAGCTGTCCGTGTAAAAGCGGCCGTATATATTCAATGTCTCTCGCGATTCTTGGTGTCTTGTGTCTTGTGCTGACCGTGACTTTACCTGCTTCAACTTGGCTGCAGCTGTCTCCATAATTTGGGCTGCCATACATCTTGAAGCCTGCCACCAACACGATGCCTCCGCAGCAGGGCGAGGTTTCGCTCTTGACGCTGTACGTCCTCATGTGAATGACATTGCAGACGGTATATTAATTAGTCGACGACAGCTTCGCCGACATCCACTACTTCATCTCCCCGCCGGCGCAGAAACCACCCCACCACCGCTTCGACAAAGGCTCCTATGTCTACCTCTACCACAACCCCATCCGCCAGACTGGTCGCATAGAGATCGCAAACCACGCGGGCACCCCGGACCAAGACGCCTTTGCTGGCCGTAAGTCTGCCCGTCTGCCGCCGTGCCTCGACTCCGTCCACTGACCTTGGCTACGTAGAGCTGGACACGGTCCGCGTCGAGCACACGTTCAAGCACTCTTGCTTGTTCACCCTGACCGTCGACGGCTTCCGGGGCCAAAATGGCAGCCCTGCGCCGAGCCCTCACCAGGACACTTCCCAATGGCATTTGCCAACCCTCGACCCGAGCAACCAAAGCAAATACCTGTACAGACTGCATACGCTAGACATGTACTTCTGGACCCCGGAGGATGCCAGTCTCTTCCAGGACTCGCTGCGGAGGGTGCTGCAACCGCATCAGCTGCAGATTGTCGGCAATCCCAATGCTGTTCCTCTGCACACCGAGCACAAGAACGATGCGCTGAGCCCAGTGATTGCCAGGCTCGAGAGCGCAGCCATCTCGCAGTCCAGTCCAAGCCCGAGTCTCGCTGGCACACAGCCGTTCCCAGGACCACCTACCGCTCCAGCTTCGGCGTCGAGCACTCCGGCTGCACAACCGGGATATGCCCCCATGGCCTACAATCCGGCCGCACCTGCTGCACCAGAACCCATTGCGCATCGTGAAAAGACACCGCCGCCGCCCGATGCCAACGACGGCACTGGTCTTGGGCAAGCTCCATTGCAAGATCACCATGCAGCGCAGTATGGCAATCCCTTGCAGGCTTCGTTCGCACCCCAGCCCACGTCTGGTCCTTATAAACCAGGCCCACCTACTGGCGGTATAGGCTTCAGCGGACCTCCAAGCGTGCAGCGTACAAACACATCAGGGTCGTTTCCCGGGCCTCCGCAGAGCCCACCGTCGTTCGCCCCGCCTCCATCTGCCCCTCCGCCAACTCACTTCAATGAACAGACTCCTCCGCCTGGCGTTCAGCGGACATCGACCATGCCGGCTCAGCAGTATGCCAACTACCCTGCATCACCTGGATTCCCGCCTGGCATACAGTCGCCAGCAGCTCATGCATCCTTACCTTCGCCTGGATTCCCTTCGCAATACCAGCCCATGGCGTCACCCCCTCCTGGCGGTTATACTCAATTTCAGTATGGCAGCACAAGTGCACAGGTTCCTGCGGCGAATCCACATGCCGTCAGCCATGAAACGCATCAACAGCTGTACCGTCCGAGTGAGCAAGAGGCTGCCATTGTGGACAACACAAACCCCAACCCAGAGCCGCGCAACTCGAACCTTGGGAAAAGGGTGGATAAAGTAGAAAAGGGCGTAGGGAGGTTTTTGAAGAAGCTGGACAAGAAGTTTTAGGCGATATTGATTATATCAATATTTCAGATTGTAGCGACTTAGCAAGCATTACATCAAGCCGAGGAAACTCATCGCGAACGATGGTGGGACGACGCAATTTCGCGTCCACGGCGATGCAATGCGCAGACATATGAATTATGATGAGCTTGTACTGCGGGAGCCAATCAGAGCGCAACGCTAGACTGCGGAAGCCCATCCTGGAGCTTCCACGGCAGGGGCCGCTAAGAATAGCAGCAGGTTTTGAGCATGACATTGTACATGCCAATTCGCCTCTGTGCTAATGTGAGCAACTTCAGCGCCTCAATTGCGTCTTGGAAAACCACTGAAGAGTGCAATTCTACGGACACGCTGCCCTCTGACGCGTACCACAAGAGGCATTAAAGCACGTAAGCACGGCGTTACTATCAACTCCCATGTGGCTGTGCTACACTTCCCGGAGTCCTCGAGCAGCCCTGTACTGCGCATTTCTTCGCATCCCGGCCTCAGCTTAAGCCAAGACCGTTTGGCCGCAGCTCAGCCCTGGTAACACGTGCGAAGATCCCAGATCCTCTCGTCCTGAACATCCCCTTGCTGCATCTACTCCCTCACCGAATCCGCTGTCTAATCCGTAGACTCACCCACTCCCGAGCCTTCTTGTCGACGTTTGCTGTCTCGGCATTTGGCAGCGATTAGTACGAAACGGCACCGAGGAAACGGGCACCCTAGGCGTAGGCGATCCACCTTCTCCGGTCGAGTGATCTCATCTACCAAACAAGCCTTTCTGCGACGTTTCTTGGGTGAAGGGGTTGACGTTTGACGTCTGACGTCTGACAGCAGGTGCATGGGAATTGCGCGCCATGTTGCTGCCTGCGCGGGACACGACGGACGACGGGCAAGATCAGAGAGGGTTTAAGAACAACAAGACGTTCATTGTAGTACGTAGCAGACCCGTGTACTCCCCGCCTTCCATTGGCCTTTGCTTCTCTTGCATGACGCGACAGGCTTACTGACAATGGCCCGCCTTGTAGATAGCCGTCATCGTTGTTGCCGTCTTCGCAATCCTCATCGTCACATACCTCAGCACAGCCAAATTCCGCTTCCGAGGCGCGCGGCCCGCCGAGCCAGAGACCAACGACAAATTACCTTCGTTATTTTCCTGGAGGAACTTCCGGAAAAGACCGCGACGCCATGAGTACTCGACGAGTCTGCAGGACACCGAGTATCGGGGAAGCACCAGCAGGGAAAGCCGAGAGATGAGCGGGGCCGCGACATCAGACCCGGAAAGAAACACTGGCGCTGCCGGAGTCGACAGACATACATCGGTGCGCAGTGTCATGACATTGCCCCCATATGCTCCAGCACCAAGAGAGGACGAGAGGGTGTTGGGACGGGAGGGCGAAAGAGCTGGCATGGACAACGTCGTCGAGCTGCCGGAGACGGCCGACGACGAAGAAGGCCGAAGAGAGGACGAAATGGAGTCATTGTACCAGATCAGACTGGCACGCCGCATCGAGGCAGCCGACCGAGAAGCAAGGCGACAAGCGCGACGTGACGCCCGCGCACGAGGCGACATCCAAGCACTGGCAGACATCCGCCGCCGAGCTGAAGAGGCCGCTGACTTGTCAGTATCACAAATGCTCATAGCCGAGCACCAGTCTAATACACGTGCCCGCGAACGACGAGTCTCCTCTGTAGCTTACGGCGACCTTGGTGTAGCCCGCCACGATGGAACACGGCTCCGCGCCAATTCTTCGGAAAGCGACCACCGTCCTCTTCTCGATTCCGCAGCCTCCATGTCTGGACGAAGCCACCATTCTCGCGCGCACTCTTCCAACACCCTCGATCCTGATACGCACCGCCGCGGTCTCTCCGTCACCTCCTTTGGCTCTCGCGCATCCAGCGACTTTGACTTCTCCGATCCTGTCCGCACTGAATCCCAGTCGCGACAGTCTCCCAACGGAACCAGCGAGGATTTTGAAATCGTCTCGTTAAACCCTGAACGAAGCCATGGTGGGAGTCCGGCCATGAGTCCACACATCGATACCTCTAGAGAACAGGCTCCTGCATATGAGGACCCGCCAGTCTATGAGAGTCCCGTAGCGACTGGCGCACCACAGCTACCAAACCTTGAACGGCTACCTAGCATTCAGGTCACGTCAGAACTGTCAGCAGACGTGCGTCCGCATTCTCCGCCTAGGTGACAAGGCCGTGGGTAAATGTCCAATCCCCCATCATTACAAATATTTCCATGTCCGGCCATTTAGCGAGTTGAGATTGTATCTAGCCATCGACGAATTAATGACAGCCATGCTGAAGGTCAGCATGTTGCGCTTCAACTATGAGGCACTTTTTAGAGAGAAGGAAGGTTATACATATGGGGGCGTCTGATGTAGCACACGCAGATGCTGCGTAATGTTTATATGGATTGTCAAAGTGTGCACTAAGCCACAATACACAGACAGATCTTGAATATATACAAGTATTCAATGGCAATTAGTCTATCCGACGCAAGAATTCCAGGCGTAGATACATCACACACGACCTCGTTGCGCTCACCTGCCATCCCAATCTCCTCCACCCCCCCTCCGAAGCCCACCAACAACATCACTCCCTACACCCGCCCTTCCAACAACATCTTCAGCCCCAGCCCCTGCGCCTCAAACCCCCGCTGCAAATCCCGCTCAAACCCCTTCTTCACCACCCCCGCCAACGCCCCATCAAAAACCTCCCGACTCTCATACAGCACCACCCCGTCCCCAACCTCACTCACCGCCTGCCACCTTTCCGCCCGTACCAGCGCATCCGCCGCATACTCCCAGCACAACCGCCCCAGCCGCGGCTGCACATGCGTAATCCTCTCATACGCATACTGCGTCGCGAGCGGGCGATCCCTCGTGTCGCGCGCAACCGGCAAGTCCAGCGGGGGGATTTGAGTGCGCAGAAACAAGTTTTTGCCCTCGACGGGGAACTGGTCTTGCAGGGTGGTGTTGAGCGGCGAGACGACGATGGCGGCGCGCACGAAGGGGTTCCAGGCGGCGTAGGCGGGGAAATCGGTCAGTGCGGCCCAGGCGGCGGGCACGCTGGTGTTGGAGATGAGGATGCGGGTGCTGGCGGTGAAGAGGCCTGGGGAGGAGGGGGGTGGGAGGTTTGTGTAGGGGTCCGGGGATTGGGCGGTTGTGAGGGGGAGGAGGACGAGGAAGAGGAGGGAGAGGGGGAACATGGTGAGCCTGGAGAGATGCGGTGTTGAAGAAGGACGGGAAGAAAGAAAGGTGTCGGACGCGGGCGGCCTAGGTTGTGGACATATTCCTTGGGGCATGGGAGCGGCGAGGTGCCGAGGAGGTAATGAAAATCATCTCGGCGCCCATGGGCCATGACTAGAAGGGGCCCCGTGTGGCTTGTGGATACGAGTTTGATCAGGGTGTGGATTTGGTGGAATTAACGACCTTCTTAAACCAGCGTGAGATGGCGGAATCTAGGGGTTGACGAAGTAGCGGATAAATTCGAGGTACAGTGAGACTCGCATGCCGTAGACTCGCTTCGATGTGGGCTGATGATGGCGCAAAGCGGGAAGGAAAGTATACTCTAGACTTTGATTATGATAGTAATACCCCTGTTAGATAGACTGCTTACGGTCGCATCCTGTTTGCTTCAAGTCATAGTTGAACATGTAGTTGGACTTTCCTGGCTGGATTAGTGAAATATTCCGACCCTAATTTGTAACTTGTTAGACAGCATGACACATCGCGCGTACAATCCCAGATGCTGAACGCCAATATGCCCGTCCCAGACCCCAGCCCAATGCCTCATCCCCATATAAGACTTCTATTCTTCCATCTTCTCCACACCGTCGCCACCATTGACAATCCCCGCATTCCCCTCACCAAGATGTTTCAACAGCCAACTTCGCTTGAAGTAAGTATTCGGATGAACAATGGTATCCAGATCCGTCGCGCTCCAGCTGCCGTCGTCCTTGACCTTCTTAATCTCGCGCTTGTGACTCCACTCAAACACCCTATTACAAGCAACATGATAACGCTGCTTGGTCACGTCCTCCTTGACAGTTTTTAACACATCGCGGTCGTTGACGCCAATGCGCTGGAGCAGAGGGATCAGATTGTCCGGCTTGTATGTCCGATATGGACAACCGTGTGTTTGGCCAGGGCCAGGTTGTGGCTCGGTCAAAAGCTTCTGACACGAATATGGCGTGTATCCACGCCCGCGTCGATTTGCGTCTCCGCCTACATCGCCATACGAATGGCGGATGTTGTACTTGTATTCCTTCTGGAACTTGTCGTCGTCGATCAGCTTGAAGGATCGACGCCAGAAAACCAGACACTCCTCGAGGCTCAGACCAATGCCTTTGAGGAAGAGGGTGTATTGCAAACGACCAAAGTGCTTCAGATGTGAGTTCTCGCGAAGCGTTGTATGTAGGTTGCGCATGCAGAGTGGGAAGTTTTGCGACAGTGTATCGATGCTGGATGCGCGAATCGCAGAGAGGCCGTCGATGTTGGCATCGGATGATGAGTATGCGGCATCCGGCGCCGTGAATGATTGCGAGAGGTGGGCGAGAATGGGCGCGAGGCGGTCGTCTTCGTCAAGTCGAGGGAGAGCGCGGGCTGTCAGCTAGCCAAAAGTGTCAGTACTGCATTATTCCCAGACTAATATGGCAAGGACATACTTCAAGCGCATCGTCTAGCTTCTTGGTGAACTCAGCGACCACCAGGCTCATCTGTTCTCGCTGTGGGACATAGGCTTTGCCTCGCTTCAACAGCACTCTTCTTTGCTCGACGAGCTCAGGCACTCTCTCCCAGTCAACCTTGAACCACTCCTGCTCCTCTCCCTTCTTGTTCCCGCTCGCCGCAAGCAGCCCCTCTCGCAACTCCCTCTTTTCATCTTCTTTGACCTCGTCCCACTCCAGATTCAGGCTGCGTACAAATTCCTGTCGTTCTCGCGGATCGTCGTCTTTGAATCTTAACCTAAACAGCATCGTCTCTAGCCGTGAGAAGCGTCGTCGCAGGTCTTCGGTCGAGGAGAAAGCAAGTCGCAGGATGAAATGTGAGTAGTGGTCCTTCCGCCGTTCGTCCTGAAGTTTCTGACTCCGCGAAGAATCTGACCTCAGAGGGAGGTGCTTGTCTAGGATGCCCTTCATGTACTCTGCCGTCTCTTCAGGGCCCTTGTTGCGGAAAGTGCATGCTTCGAGCTCGGAGAGAACTGACGCCATGCGGTTAGCACTGCACGAGGCCACCGACCTTCAACGCGTTCATTTACCCTTCAACCTGTTGATAGCCCATGTCTCAAATTCTTCGAGTGTGATTTCAGCCGTCGGTGGAAGCACGTAGAAGTTCAGTCGGTGTTCGTATGTTTGCTGCTGGAATTCGGCCTTTGCAAATTGTCTGCGCTTGTGGTCGAGATTCGCGCGTCGCTTGGGATCGACTCTGGAGTAATCGTGGCGGATCATGATTGTTGCAAAGCCAAAGTTGTGCGGTGCCGTGTTGCAGTTTGTACGTTATGTTGCATACGCGCATCCTGAGGTCGCGTTCGCGTCACGCGTAGGCGCTAATGTTAATTGAACCTAAAGGGGTCTAGCGTTACGCGCGAGCTCGCCTCCATTCGACGTAAACGCAGGTACCCTCCAAGGTACTCCTAATCCTAGCCTGTAGAGATTCAGGAATACCCAGTGTAGGATTAGAGGTCGCCGCCGAAATTGAATCCTGTGTGTGTATCTAGCTCTCATAGCCACCAGAATAGGGTTAAAAATAGGTTTATAGATGCGGAGGCAGAGCTTCTAAGCGGGATCCGACGCATCACGGTAGTAGAGAACGGCATGTAGATAGTGACAACCGCACCAACCGTGTGTTGAAAAAGAGGATAAGTTGAGCAGTATACGTTAAATTCCTCCGCGCTCTCTAAGACGCTTACGATACCACGTAGGCTACTTATGTACATTTGGCCTGCTCTTTAGCATCTTTCTAATTATAATCATTGTTATCCTTAGTGCACTAGACGGAGAGAAAGTACCATTAGCATACATGCTATTACATGAAAAGGTAGACGAGAATAGAACTTACCCTATAATTGGCAAACTGTTTTGTAGAGCACTTGACAATGCGGGCTTCACCGTTGACCAGGTAACGGCATTCGTCTTGGGCCTTGGTAAACTTCGAGCAAGAGCTAGAGCAGTAAGTTGTGATTCGGGTGGTGGGCTACTACAATATAGGATACAGGCCTTTGCTTACTCCGCGGTGCTTAAAAAGCACGCCAACATCGTCTCCAGCATCAATGCTATTTGACTATACCTAAATTAGGTTAGTTGCTACGCTTATTACAGCAAACAGGAAAAGAGCAGCTGTAGTAATCTGCATAGAGGAGGATTAGAGATGCTAGCGTTGCGAGAAAATGCTGGTTGTATCGGTGCCTTGCAAAAGATGTGCACCCCCCTAGAACTTCTATAATGACAAAAGTCTATGATAAATAATGATGTAATAGGAGAGCGGTGATGTACTTGATGATATCATATTGCGGGCAGCAATTTTAGAGGTTAGAATTATCTGGTTCGCTCTAAAAGTGACACCTGTTAACGGCTATCTAGACCCTCTTAGACTATCACGAAGATCTAAGCCAATAGGAGTATACGGAGGTGTCTCTACGCTCTATTCAGTGAGGCTGAGGGGGGGTGCACATCTTTTGCAAACGATAATAGTAGAGATTATAGGTTTGCGGGTGCAAAGATAAACGTTATCGATGGGATAAGATAGAGAGTAGACCTCTCTTTTATAGAGAAGCGTATAGAGCTAGCAAGGAGAATACACTTAATATGTACGTAAGCTATGCACTCTTATAAACGTTATTATTATTATATTTGTAGGCGTTACTCTTCTCTATTAGCAGAGAAATATCTTTCCTTGTTCCACGAAGATGCATGTGGTCACACTTAAGCGCAAGAGTAGTGTCGGGTCAGCATGCACTGTGCTGACATTGCAAAATTAGAGGCTAGGAAGACTGTGCCACAGAGGCACGGCAACGATAAACTTTTGAAAGCTGGTGTCGGGAAGCCTGAAAGTGGAGGCTAGAAAGACTGTGCCACATAAGCACTGGCACAATAGAGTTTTGAAAGCCAGTGCCGGAAAACGCGGAAGTAGAGGCTGGGAAGACTCTTCGTACACAAAGGATTGCTTTTTACTAAGCCGTTATTATACGTAGTTGGAGAAGAGTAGTTAGCAAAAACACGTAGTGTGAAGCCATGTCGCAGGCGTTTACTTAAGAGCGTGCCTCTAGCTATTAGGAAAGAGTACGTTTTGTTCCTACGTCTCATGCTTATTCTCAAGCGACTGAATAAGGAAATAGATGAGAATAAAGTTCATAGAGAGAGAGGCACTCCAATTTAAAGAATAAAGCCCGACTCTCTTCGTCACGAGAACGGATTCATGTCCGCAAAAGTGCATTGTTTACAGTCCAATCAAGTAGTCGAAGCGAAAGTAATAAGAAGCAAAACGTGACAGGATCCTCGCGGCAAGCTAGGATAGGCATAGGTTATCAATTTACTCTAACTCTCTTCACCGGGCGTTTCTCCAGCTAAGCACATTAAATGTGGGTCCTGACGCAAATCATGCCCGCCGCTTTGGTATGCCTGTAGAATCGCCGAGTTGCGCTCCTTTACATTGTTGGTCATACGGCTGATAGCATCCGCTGCGTGTTTACTCAGGCGCTTGTTGTCCGCTTCGTGTGCCTCTTCCCGGATCTCATGAAGACGCTTTAACCAGTACATCCATCGCCAGGGCGTGAATCCGGTGGGGGATCGCATGCCCAGCGCTGACTGGACAAAGCGCTGGCCGCCCTGGCCAACCGTGCTCGGGCAATCATTCCAGAAAAGGTCTGACAGTTGGATGAGATTGTAGTTGGCCTCCTGGATCCACGCACACGCAGCTGGCAGCAAGTCTGCTATGCCGAGATCCTGCATGGTGCGAGAGGGATCTTCCTCCTCGTGCTTCCCCGGGACAAAGAGAGCTCGATCCTCTTCGAAGGTCGAGCGAAACAGGACCAGAGCCATCTGGCACAGTCGGTGGTTACTCACGCGGGTGGACGCTAGTTTGGCCAAGAAAGACGCAAAGTTAAGGCGATGCACAGCGGAAAGGGGCGCACATCCGTTGATCCAGAAACTAGTCATGTCGGTCACTAGGAATGGCAGGTCATTCCAGAGAGTGCCTTGGACTGTTCGGGCAACGTCAATACCGTAGTTCCCTGACACCGGCCTGGTCAATGGGCCGAGTCCCTGAATGCGAACGATATCAAGGACTAGTCGATCTTGCTCAGGCGTCGCATGCAAGGTAATGCGAGCCAGTTGATAGTATATGTACCACAACGAGTGAAGGTAGCCTTCGAGGGAGTCTACTCCGTCGCCCCACGGCGCAGTACCGGTCGCTGACGATACCAGGTTCGATTGGTTAATGAAGGCGCCTAAGCGGAGTGATTCAATTTCGCCGCGAGCGATGCATTCACGGACTTGATGCTGATCATGTGCGGCATCGTCTTCCTTTTGGATATCAGACGGGCCCTTTGGCGAAGGGCTTAGGAGTGCATCACGGAGAGCGTACATGTCGAGATGGTACTAGGGTGGTAGTGGGGCGGTTGTAGGGGTGATGTACAAATAAAAGTAGTATAGTAGGCAGGTTAATGGCGGGAGCGCAAGTAGAGAGTGGTAGGTATTCCATAGTATAATGCTGGTATTTATTCTCTACCGCCACTGGCCGCTGGAGAGCTAGCGAGATAGGCCTGTTCGTTCAGCGCGGATGACGTGTCAGGCAGGCCGAATTGAGTAGATTAAACTTTGTTTAGCACACACTGCCGCCGTGCGTATGCATGCGCGTATAGCGGTGCTTTCTAGTAGCGGCTTGCCTAACAGGGAGTGCGACTGTAGATGCAGTAGCGTATAGAACGTTAAGCGAAGACATAGTAGCGTGCAGAATAGGTATGATTATGATAACGTTGTTCATGAAAGAGAGAAGAAAGCGGACGGTTGCCCAGTCGGCCCAATCGTTGCCAACCTTCTTGACGACTTCGAAAGCCCAGATGGTACGGGATGGTATGATACGGGATGGAATGTTATAATCTGCGCGTTTCAAGTAGGCTTTCGTCCCTGTGTTAGGTAAGACCCAAAGGTCTGCATTTCCAGTATTGCTCTGCAGATTGTGACCGCAGAAGAACACTCTTGTAAGTCTCAGAATCTGTGCGACGCCATTTTTAATCTTCTTAATGAAGATACTGGCCCTGGACTGATACATGGTGCCTAGAGGACTCTCTTGCCCATCGTAGCCACGCGATTCTCTTGCGAGTGTTTCTGCCATCACTGCAATGTTCAGGCCTGCAGGAGTTTTTTTTCGGATAGCAGGTTTCTTGAAGTGACTATCGAGCCGTACAAAACCCACTTCAGAGAAACGCGCGAGGTTCTCAAAACGTCGCATTCTTCCTACCACGGTATGGCGTCCATTGCTGTCGCTACCCCTTCTGGGCTCCCTGTAGTCTTTCGCGAATTTTGTGGGGCCCACGCAAGATACATAGGTACGTAACCATAGATGTCTATTCTTTCTATACTCGTACTGTCAACTATGCCAGATCGTTCATGCATTCGGCCCTCTCAGCCCAATAAGTCGCCCAAAGCATTCACATACGCCGAAGGCCCGTCTTTGCATCATCTGCCAAGAAGTCCTCCTTCTTGCTGACTCCAGTCAACACAGCCAGCGTGCCTCCAAGCTTGCCCCTCTATACCGAACTGGATGTCCGTGTTCAACCGGTCGCCGACCATGCATGTTCGACTGCGGTCGAACTTGAATTTGCCCTCTACGGCATCCATCATCGCCTGACTAGGCTTGCCCAAAGACAATGGCTCTCTTCCAATTGCCTTCTCTAAAGCTGCGCCGGATGATCCTGCGCCAGGGAACAGAGAGTGGGACGCTGGCAGGGTGCTGTCGATGTTGGTCGCAAGGTACACTGCACCGCGCTGCAGATAGTGAAACGCTATCGCCGTCTTGAGGTAACTCGGATGGAAGTCAAGCCCAGTGAGCACGACACCCACGTCTGGATCCAGTAGCGTGCCGTTTGCGATGTTGTCAAAGTCTTCCGGCATGCGAATCTCGCGGCGATACTCAGGGTCTGTTCCTCCAATGTAGGGAACACCCTCCGACTGCAATTCCTGCTCAACGCCAGATTCACCGAGCACAAATACCTTGTTCTTCGGTGCAGGTAGCTTGAGGATACGGGCAATGTACACGGCGGCACTGTAGGACGAGCCGAAGACTTCATCCTACTGTTTGGTCAAACAAAAGTCGTGCCTCGCATCATGAGCCACTTACCACTTCTGCGGGTATGCCGAGCTTGTCAAATTTCTTCTTGTAGTCCGCTCGTGACTTGGTGCTGTTGTTGGTCACAAAGACCAATTGTTTGCCTTCTTAAAGTCATTTGACCACCTCAACGTCATCTCGGGAACATGCATTACCTTCTACTTCTCAACGATCGTACAGATGTGCATAGGGGGTTCTTCGAACAGGTGGTGGCCGGACCATAAGACTCCTATATGTTTCCGCAGTGAGTGATTATCACACAAGTCCATGCCTTGAAAAGTTTAATAGAACGTGGAAATGCATCAGACATAAAATGAGCATAGCCACATACCATCGCAGTCGAAAAGGAAGACCTTGGTGGTTTGTCAGCGCAGTCGTATTGGGGCAGGCCGCAGGACTTACATCGAATCTTGACAGAAACTCATCTGTGGCAGCTTTATCGCCTGACAGGAAATTGGGGCTGTTTGGACATTTTGCTCAGTATCAGCGTGGATGTGGAAAGATGAGGGCTGCGAAAGAGAGTTTGTAAGAGCAACCAAAAGTCTAGAGCAATTGCGGAGCACTAGCGGGGTACCGCATGAACTCACGGCAGCCAGCGCAACAAGAGTGGTCCGTCGACATAGCGCCAGCCAACCCGAGAACTAAACTCTTTGATTCTGTCACAAGTAGAGGCCTCTAAGAGCTGCTGACCGAAGTTAATTTTGTAGGTAGTACTTGGGCGGCTGGGACATGTGGTTCTTGGCGCTGGACCCTGATGTCGTTTTCGGAATTAAACTCACAATGGGTCGGAACATGGATATCAAGTCAAGGTAGGCTTGTTTACTTAATTTATTTGATTGACATATCTACAGCATCGAAGTTCATAGCTTCGGTTCAACTAGTCAGTCGACGATAATCTTCTTCTCCAGCTCCTCGAAGTTGATGAAAAAGCTCTCGAACAAGTTCACGGCATGCTCCACGTCATGTGCGCCACCAGTCTCGCGAATGCTGTGCATGCTCAACTGTGGGTTGCCCAGATCAAGCGTACGGGCACCCATGGCTGCTGAAAGCATGGGACCACATAGTACTACCACAGGACGAGTCGTTACGCACAACGAACAGCTGCAGCGGTACGCCCTCCTTGGCCGAGGATATACTTGATGAAGCTTTCTTGGCGCGGCGAGCCGCTTCCTGGAGCAAGACAATACCGGGCGTGTTCGTGGCGTAACGTGCGTTGGCATTTACTTTGATGACGGTTCCCTTGTTCATTTCAGGCCTGTGTTGAGACTCGTATTTAGCGGGGTAGTTGGGATGCACTGAGTGAGCCATGTCCGCGGAAATCAAGAAGGAGGTGGCTAGTGTCTGCTCGTAAACAGTGGCAGTGTCGGCCTCGACTTTATCGTATGACTTATCTGAATCGCTCTCCGATGCTGGGAGGGCAGAGAGCCGGCGTATAACTGCTGGCAACAAGTTTGAGTCAGCTCCTTGCGCGGTTTGCGAACCAATCTCCTCGTGGTCGAAGCAGGCGATGAGGCGAATGGTAGAGTCGCTGTCCAGAGCTGCAGACGATGACAGGCTGTGAATAAGACCCTCAACGCTGCAATACGTCATCATGAGGTTGTCGAGGCGCGGTGAGAAGATCAGTTCGTTGTTGAGACCACCAACCAACCGATTTTTGCGTATCGTACAGAACTATCTCAAAGTCCACAATGTCGCTGGCATCGGCGCCTGCTTCTTCGGCGATGATGTCGACAATGTACGAGTGGTGGCGCTGGGTTGGAGCTGCAAGCGGCTCGAAGGGGCTATCCTTGGTGTCTTCTTCTTTGGACTCCTCGGTCTTGCCCTGTCTATTCAGCTCAGCAGCTACTAGCCCCGCAATGGGGAAGAGCTGCGTCTCCTTGTTAAATTGGAAATTCTCTTGGCGGTCAAGATGAATAGCCAGAGTGGGAATCCTCAGAATTGGACGGTCCACTTTGACCAGACGCTGCTCAAAGTTGCCGTCCTTGGTGCGCACCATGGCGCGTCCCGCAATGCTGAGATCGCGATCGAACCAGGTGTGCCACAGGCCACCGCCGTATGTCTCACAGGCTACTTGGAGAAAGCCATCACTTTGTCGCTTCGAGACTGGCTTGATGCGGAGGCATGGCGAGTCGGTGTGTGCGCCGATCATGCCAATGGGATTACCTGCCTTCCATTTCTTTCCGATGGCGAAGGCGACGATTGACGAGCCATTGCGCGTCAGGTAGTACTTGCCACCGGGGTGCAGCGTTGGTGCCCACGAGTCTCGCTCCTACATCAATGCATGTCAGTTCGAGAGCGCGTATAGAGGATGTGCAAGCTACGTCGGGGTACACACTTTGATTTCCTTGAAGCCCACCTTCTCTAGTCGCTCCTTGGGCCGACTTGACAGCGTGGAAAGCTGGAGCGGTCAATTGACGGATCTAGGGGTGGGAGCTGCACAGAGCCTACATACGGGTGGGGGAAGCATTAACAAAGGACAGGAAGTCCTCGGCGGCTGCAAGGGACGGTTTAGTCGACATGGCTCGAGCACGCGACAGTTTTACAATAGTTGTTAGGGCGCGAGAGTGTTGCAGCGGCCTGGGTACAGCTACGGGCATATATACGGAAAGACTGGGCCGGAGTGGTCTGCAGGAGGGCCGCGGTGGTGTGGGGTATGGGAGAGAGGTGGTGGCAGGGTTTACGGGTGATGTAAGCCGGGGACACTAGCAGGCGGGCAGCGGACATGATTCGCTGTCGTGGCAAGTCAACGCGCGCGAGCATCCCAAACAGCGACCAAGCGACAAGCAAAACATGGACGTGACGAAACGACGAGCCCATGCGCGCCGCCCACGCCCACGACAACATTGTCGCGATATACCTGTACCGGTGTGCACGCAGTCTGCCCTTGGTCCCCGTCCCCGTGTGCGCCCAGCTCGAGCACGCCCTGCATCCCCAAGACTCGCTGCCCACGCTCCTTGCCGCGATTGTCGTGATTGTGTTCGTCGTCCCGTTCGTTGAGCTTCGACCTCACAACAACACCGTCACCCCGCCATCGCCGCCGCCGCCCACAACACCCAGGAGAATGCGCATTGCCGGCCGCTGAGCACCATTGATTGCCACTGTCGCTATTGTTGCGCCCGGACACCGCTATTGTTGCCCTTGGAACAAGACGGGTGACAAACGACCAAGGGGCTATCACCCTCGCGCAATCGCATCGCCTCTCGCCTTCGCAGTCACCACCGATTTGACACCCGTCTTTCTTTGCGACTTCACCCTCCCTGCTGCCATTTATTGCACGCTCAGTGCATACAAATACCGACCCGTCCTACCATCGCTCCTCATCCTCAACCTCAATCTTCGGCATTCCGACACACAACGGCGACCACCACCACCACACCGACACCGTCGCTCCTGCCGTACCCGCGCGACACCGGCAAGCGCGACTCAGCACCACCATCGACATGGCACCTGGGGAGGTGGATGCAGGCGACGACAGAGTCGCGACGCCGACCCTAATCTCACCGCCAGAGTCGAAGACGCCCCCAACCGCACATCACAAGCGCACTCAATCTCTTGGTACAGTGGCGCATGACCGGAATTCGGAGCCTGTGGACGGATCCATATTAACCAAAGCCTTAGAGCAGCTGGAGCATGCTGGCCGAGTGAGAGAGCGGACGCCCACAACAAGCCCAAGTCGAAAGCGGCCACGCATATATGGTGATAGGTGACTTTGCAGCCCTCTGTACTGACGCGCAAACATGCCGCTAACTCAATCCCAGATTCATTCCAAATCGTGCCGGTCAAGATCTTCAAGCCAGCTTCAATCTTCTCCACGAAGATGCATCACCAGCAACCCCTTCAAGAGCTCGGCGCACGCCTCACAACGAGCTGCACTTCCAAAAGAGTAAGTGACATCTCAAACACTACAGCCAAAATCGCGCTAATCACCACTTAGCGGAAGAAGCAAATCGAACATACTCGGCTGTGCTGCGCCAGGAAATGTTCGAGGGCTCTGTGCCGCAGGCATTTCCTCAGAGTCTGTCTCCAACTGACAGTGCGAATATGCGAAGATCAGGGCGCTCACATACTCCCCCAACAAGGTCTGCAGCATCATTACCGCCCCCTTCAGGAACCCCATCAACCCCTCACAAGAACCTCTTTTCCTACTCTGGCCAGCCAACACCATCGCGGACACCGTCAAGTCGGCATGGCGTGCTCAACTTGAATGCACGCTCAGAGCTCTACAGCCTATCACCAATAAAGTACAGCAGTCAACGCATGCTGCTCAGTCCGCAACGAGCACCTCGGGCCGTTTCCAAGGTACCCTACAAAGTCTTGGATGCGCCAGATTTAGCAGATGATTTCTATCTCAATCTTGTCGACTGGGGCAGCCAAAACATCCTCGGTGTTGGCCTGGGATCATGCGTCTACATGTGGAACTCAAGTAGTGGTCGTGTCACCAAGCTTTGCGAATTGGGCGATGACTCAGTGACCAGCGTGAATTGGATTCAACGCGTACGTACTCACACAGCCCATAGTACGTCCTGCGCTAATAGGAAATAGGGCTCCCATATTGCCATTGGCACGAACCGAGGTCAGGTCCAAATTTGGGACGCCCAAACACAGCGTCGCCTTCGCACTATGATGGGTCACACAGCTCGTGTTGGTGCACTTGCATGGAACGAGCACATTCTGACTTCTGGCTCGAGAGATCGCACCATCTACCACCGCGATGTGCGACAACCTGACCAGTGGCTTCGAAAGCTCGTTGGCCACAAGCAGGAGATCTGTGGTCTTAAGTGGAATCATGAAGATCAACAGCTTGCTTCCGGAGGAAACGATAACAAGCTCATGGTATGGGACAAGCTCAACGACGAGCCTACCTACAAATTCAGTGAACACCAAGCAGCTGTCAAGGCCATTGCATGGAGTCCGCACCAGCGTGGTCTTCTTGCAAGTGGTGGTGGTACCGCAGATCGCACGATTAAGTTCTGGAACACATTGATATCGTCCAGCGGTCCCTCGGCATCTTCCCTTGCTGCTGCATCAGTAGCTGCATCAGCATCAGCAACAAGCAACATTCCGATCCCCCCAACGGCGCCAGCGAACCTCATCAGCAGTCTTGACACTGGCAGCCAAGTCTGTAACCTCGCATGGTCGAAGAACAGCAACGAAATCGTCTCAACTCACGGTTACAGCCAGAACCAGATCATTGTCTGGAAATACCCAAGCATGCAGCAAGTCGTGTCGTTGACGGGTCATACCTACCGCGTACTCTATCTAGCTATGAGCCCGGACGGTCAGGTCATCGTTACTGGTGCCGGCGACGAAACACTTCGCTTCTGGAACGCTTTCAAGAAAAAGGAGCGCACCGGCGGTCTGAGCAGCATGGACAGTTGGGGCGTCATTCGCTGAGGCACTGATCCTTGTCCTTGCGCACCTCGTGCGTGTAATTGCAAGAGAGGACTGAGCACCCAATCGGCGACGACCCGACGAGTAACAGTACCCGGATCGTTCTGGTTTGCGTGCATTTCTTCTGGGCGGCCATAGCATACATCATGGGCATGGAGTTTTGGCGAATTTTCCGGGCTGAAAAAGCCGTGGAATTGCACCGCTTGCGAGCGAGTCAACGGCAAATTACTTGTGGAGGGACCATGGCAATGGCGTTCTTGAGACCTGGAGTTTTAGGATACCTACCGGGCGCAAGGTAGCTGCTCGGCCATTGAGCCGTTCTTGCGATCTTGGAGGCACGATTATGAAATGTACAACAGCGGCCTGAGATACCAAGGGACTTAATTCGATTTTACTGTAGATTTTACTTGATAGGCTGCGCGAACAAACAGCCTCGTGCCGCTTCACGGTCGATCACTGACAATGCAAGAGTGGCAGTACACCCTGCACCATCACATTGAGTGCTCGTATCAATGCGCAGTACATTGCTATGTGGGGTGGACGCTCATTTTACAGCTAGCACATACGCAGAAGGTATCTGTGCGATAGTTGTTTCGCGGTTCTTGCCCGCCCCGCTGTATCAATTTGTTTCAAATGCACGATAATTTATCCGTCTACGGTGCGCCAGTACTAGGTGTAGTGCAACAATTATTTTCCCTTACTAAAAGTTACCCTGCATGCTAAAAACTTTAAAAACTTTAACTTTATAACTATATCTATATACTATTATATAAATAATATATATTCTAACTTAGATACTATATATATAATATCTCTATATAATAGTTATAATATACTAACTTATTTAAAGCTATAAGAAGACTAGAAGTTAATATTAATCTATACTAGCTAAAGCTATTCTAATAGTTCTATAAAAGGTACTCTTATCTAAGCTTTATATAATAGCTACGTAATAAGTATAAAGTCTTAATTAGTCTTTATATACTTAAGATATAGCTTAAAGAATAGCAGCTATTAAGAAGACTAACTAAGAAGAATAAAATTAAGCTTATACGTTATATTAAGCTACTCTACTTCTAAGTTAGACTAAATAATAAGAATATATTAATAGATCTAAAGAATTATAGCTACTTAATTAGCTCTTATATACTTATATAACTTAGATTTAAGACTAGACTATATTATAGAATTTATAATATAGATAAAGTAAAATAGGCTAAGAGAGTTATATAAAAGCTTATTTAAAAAAGACTTTAGTTAGAAGCTATTAATAGCTATAGAAGATAATTTATTTATTTTTATTTTTATTAAATAAGTATAAATATTATAAGAGATTAGCTTTTTAGAGCTTATTATATAATAAATCTTAGTAGTATTATATAAAGAGATTAAGAGCTATAGAGTTAGTAAAGCAAATATACTATAGAAGACCTAAATATAGTATAGTCTATTAATAGGCATAATAAGCTTAAGCTATATAGTATTAAGATCTATATCTGCATTAATATATATTCTAGATATATTATCTAGATATATATAAGCATCTTAAATAGTACTGCTATTAGTATTAAATAGTAATTTCTTAAAGCTATATAATAAGCTAGAGTTATTCTAAAGTATATATAATTAGATTATAAGTTAGAAACTTCTTAGATTATATATATATAGTTTATACTATATATATATAATAATTCTAATTTAGCACTATAAGATTATTATATTTTTAGTAAAAGTACTATAAATTAGAGAATTAAGTTATAGTAGTAGCTACTTTAAAGAAGTCTACTTTTTTACTAAAGAGTAAGTAGTTATATAATAGCTAAGAAATTACTAACTCTTTATAAGATTACTTTAGAGTACTTCTTAAAGTAAGTAAATTTTCTTCTAATTAGCTTATAGACTAGATTATCTTATACGCTATATACTTTTTAATTCTATAGAAGAAGATATACTTATACGTAAATATCTAGAACTTATATAAGATTTAATTTTAGCCGTAAGTAACTATATATTACTACTAGATAACCTTTTATACTCTATAATAACTTATCTATTAGAAAAGAAGACTTTAGTATACTATATAACGCTGCTATGCTTTAAGATCTCTTTAACTACTTACTTAAATAAGATTTTTTAGTATATCTGCTAGATAATATATAATATTAGTATAATTATATAATAGTAGACTTAGAATTTAATTCTTTTAATATAAGTATTAAGACTTTTAAGAATTATTAAGAGCTTTTTAAGCCTATCTATATATAGCTGCATAAGCTTATATAATAGCATATTAACTTAGAAGCTTAGCTAGAGCTTAGTTTATATGCTTATCTAGTAAGAAACTAAGACTAGAGAGTAAGTATTATATAACGAACTACTAAAGTCTGCTAATAATCTTAGCTACTGCATAATAAAGCTAATAATATATAAGAAGGCCTATTAGAAGCAGATCTTTCTTAAAGAGCTAGATTAGTATATGTTATCTAATATAGAACCTTAACCTCTTATTTTTATACTATATCTCTTATTTCTATACTATACCTCTTATTTCTATATTATATCTTATATAATACTAATTACTCTGCTACTTACGTATAATTATACTTAAGCCTAGTTCTTATTCTTAAAACTCTCTTTACTACTATAGAGGCGTATAAGATAATAAATTTTGCCTAGGCTATAGTAAATAGAAAACTCCTGCTATTAAGCTTATATAAGCTAGATTTCTTTCTAGGCTATTAGATAAAATAATTAGTCTTAATAATAATAAGGAACTAACTCTGATAAGCTAAGAAAGAAATCTTTATTCTAGTATATAATACTTAGATTTAACTTACTAATAAAGATAAGTATACTTAAGTGCGTATAATAGTTAATACTGCTTAATAGTAATTAATTACTAATACTCTATATAATAACTTTATTACTAATTATTTTTATAGTAGAGCTAGTTATATAATAGAAATAAAACTTATCTTTAATAAGAAGCTCTTCTTTAACGTTTAGCTTTAGCTTATATAATTCTCTATAATAGATCTAAATAAAGAGTATAAGAAGGTTTTCTTACTTAGTAGTTTAAAGATATTCTATATAAGTATAACTCTTATCTCTTTCTTATATACTAATACTTATAGATTTATTTATACTTACTTTTTAGAATATAAGTATTTAGAATACAGAGGATTTTATTAATTATATTATTCTTACTAATATAGATAATATTTAGTAAGCGTATAAGGCTCTTCTATAATATCTTACTTAGCGTATAGATTAAAAGTATAGCTTATATAAGATCTCTGTAACTATAAAAGTAAGTTATATAGTATTTAAACTTTATAAAGATAGCTCTTATAAGAGATACTAGAGAGGTTTATATATAAGTAAAGCATCTCTACTTAACTTACTATCTACTCTCTAACTTACTATCTATGCTTTAGTATACCTTACTTACTCTAGCTTTCTCTTTTCTTTTCTTTTACTTTAGCTAGTCTACTCTAGAGCTAGCGTATACGCTAGCTTAGCGCCTATACGCCTTATAGTATATATAGCTAGCTACTCTCTTCTCTTAGTAGACTCTTTATCTACTATTCTACCTTTAGTTAAATATAAGTACTTCTTATTAACTTAAGCTTTTTATGCCTGCAGTCTACCTTATATAATAGTAGACTAAAGTAAAAATTACTCTTTATAAGCTTTGCAGCTTTAATTAATATAAGTAGTTTCTTACTTACGCTTAGTTATTGCATAGAATCTTAGATTATTAGCTCTTTATTAAGTCTAGTAGCTTTTTTTATCTTCTCTTACTACTAAAATCTAGTCTTTGCTTTACTATATAGAGTATAGCTTAACGCTTATCTCTTTAAAAAGAACTTACTTCTTAAAGCTATTACCTGCTTATCTATGCTTACTATATATAGTAAACTCTAAGAGTTTATATCTAAAGCTCTAGAAGCTTATTATTACTAGCTTACTAAGGCTTACTATATACCTAAACTCTAAGAGTTTATTATTACTAGCCTACTAAGGCCTGCTATAAACCTAAAGCTCTAAGAAGCATACTATTACTAGCTTACTAAGGCCTATTATATACCTAAGCTCTAAGAGTTTACTATTACTAGTCTACTAAGGCTTACTATATACCTAAACTTTAGAAGTTCTTAGCTTAAGAAGCTACTAAAAAATTAGCGCGTATATAGCTACTCTACTACCTGCTATTATATACTAGCTATTATCTCTATAGCCTAAGATGCTAAGAAAATTTTTCTTAGCCTTTTACTCTTAAGATTATATTATCTTGCTAGCGTAGCGCTAGCCTCTTATCTCTCTCTATATTAGAGTTATCTTTCTTACTATTTAGAATAGCTACTCTATTACTATAACTACTACTATTAGCTAGAAACTTAACTATCTAACTTTCTTATATACCTCTTACTTTCTTTTACTTACTTTCTCTCTATACTAGCATACTATAGCTAGTTCTAGAAATAAGATAAAGCTTTCTAATAAGAACTTTAAGAATTAGAAGACTTATCTCTATATAAATACTAACTTTAAGAATTATAAGAACGTGCGCTGCTTTCTAATAGATAATCTAAAACTAGCTATACTTCTACTTTAATAGGCAGGTAGTAATATAAGTATATCTTCTAAGAAGAACTTAGCTAAACTTAACGTACTTAAGTTATACTTATCTAACTAAGTATCTAAAGAATTTTTAAACTATAATAATAGTATATTTAACTAGAAGCCTATAAAGAAGCTAAAGCTGCTACTAGTGCTAGCGTTCTTTATTAATATAAAGTTAGATTTAGATAATAAGGCTAAGTAAGTTAATATATACTTCTCTAAACTATATACTACTAATGCTAAAGTTAATAAACTAAGCAATATACTAGAAATAACTGCTATAGAAAACTTACTTACTTTTAACTAACTTAGTAAAGCTAATACTTTAGGCTAAATACTAAGCCTTAGCTAGCTTACTTCTACTCTACTTAATATAG